GGGCATAAGGGAAATGGCAATGGAAATGGGCCTGTGAGCACAACGGACCCGATAATGTCCCAATTAATGTGCATATGCAGGACCCAAGGACCACAGGTCTCCAAACCATACAAATTAAAAGTTGCGATAATTTTCTCAACCATTTTTCAGAACTCAGTATTTAATGAAACCATTAGCCTTTGAATTTTTTAAAAAAATGTGAGCAATAACACTTCCATGATTAAATAATAAGCATAAGAGGCTTGTATTCGTGATATTAGTCTTGATAAGCATTACTAGCCGAGTCGATCTAGCCATATCTGTCTGTCCGTCCTTAAAAGTGCTGAGATCTCGGAAACTATAAAAGCTAGAAAGTTGCTATAAACCATGCAGATTCTTGGGGTTACTGCGCAGCGCAAGTTTGTTTCAGCCGACCACAATCTTTACAGATTTTCTAAAAGTTTAAATGCAATTTTGTTTGGTTTAGTAATACCTACCAAAATGTAGAAATAACTTTATAAATTGATCAAATCATTCAAAGTTTAGAGCAAATAATACATTGCCGCTAGGTGGAGCTCCTTAAGCGACTACTTGCTTTGGTTTACCTCAGGCAGCCAATATAATTTTATTCAAAAATAAACACATTCTTATTCTCTACTCTGTAAAAAAAAACTTACATTTTAACTTGAAACCACTATGAAAGTGTTTCTTTAGTTTATACAAATAAACTAAATGAACAATATAATTATGACACTTAAAATCTTACTTAAAATACAAATTAAACAATTCAAATTAATTCAATTTAAAATAACAAAAATTATGTAAAATAAGAAATCAATATGTTGCCTGTATTAAATGTTGGATATGGGCATTTAACTTGATTTTTAACCGTAAAATGCCATAAGGCTGATAAGTCAAGGGATCTATACATTTTTATTATATTTATTCATTTATAAGGAAGTTCTTGTAGCTCCAGGAAAAAATAAAAAAATTATGAAAAACAAGTAAATAAATAATATCATGTAATTGTTTGGCTTCTGAACTTTGGATGATGTATTTTCTTTAATAAATGTATTCACGTAACTGTTTTTAAATTGGCTTCTTTTAATATTAAAAGTTAATATTTATTATTAAAATGAATTTGTGAACGTACGCATTATCCTCATTCCCTCTGCACTATCTTACGCAATCAATCGGCCGGCCCGGAGATACAATATCTTTTGGAGCGGCTTATCCGGGCGATGGAAGGTGTCGGTTGCCGGCCTGCCTGGTTATTAGCCAGGTTATTATCGTTTATAAAATAAATAGGGCCAGGCAATAACGATAATAAGCAGTCGAAAATTGAATAGGGAGGAGGAAGGAAGGGCCATCTGCAGGCCACCCAGGACATGCAGGACATGGGAGATTGGGATACAGGACACGAACCATTGCATCCTTGTTGGCTCCGCTTGGCCTCATTAACGCCGCGAATTAACGGGCATTTAGCCAGAGAACAAAATGCACAAAATGCCCAACTTCGTTGGTGTCCCAAGCAAAAAGGGGGAGGTGATCGGGAACGAATGCAGGATAAGGGGTCCTGGCGATCCTCGCATGTCTGGCGGCCATAAAAATTCATATTTAAAATGCATAACAATGAGTGCCGCACGCGAAGCTTTAACGTTAGGTTCGCTTGGGATCGTATCGGATGGGATATGGATATCAGGGGATATAAAGGATCAAGGGGATCAAGGATCGCGTGGCGGGACTACTGGCACCCACATATAACAGCAGAAACGGGGTTGCTGGCTGGCTGGCTGCACCACCTTTATTTCAACAAAAGCCGACGAACAAACAGCGAAATTAAGCTGGAATTTTGAGTGGCACGAGCCGTCGCATCCAGCGATCCCTGCACTGCACTGCTTATCCTTAATTTCGCTGGCCCGGCTGTCGTCCTGCGACTCCTCCTCCCCCCCCTCTGGTCCTCCGTTTCGGGACAGGTGCAAAGTCCTTAATTTTTTTGTTTTCGGCTTTCGTTTTTGCGTGTGTGTTTTTCGGCTGTCGGCCGTCGTCTGTCCTGTCCCCCAAAAAGTCGCTGCCGAGTGTCCCGAGAGTGTCCTTACCCCGTTGATCCTTGAGCACACACAAAGACACACGGGCTGCATTAATTCGCTTCTTTATTTTTTGGGTAATTGCCGAAAATGTTCCGAGTGAACGAGCGAATCCTCGTGCCCACACACCCTGTCCTCGTCCTCGTTTTGATCCTGATCCTGTCGCGTCTGCGTGCCCTGATCCTGCGTCAGCCGGATTAGGCGACCCCCTCCCACTCCTCCCTATCCCGATTCCGATTCCGATCCCGATCCTTTGCGCTTGATTGCGATTTCACGTTCCTCTCATTTTTCAACAGTTTCAGCAGCCGTGCGATCATTGACTCTTGTCAGGCAATGCGAATATACGAATGCACCTACATGTAAGTATATATGTACACTGTGTGTGTCCTGCGATCGTCCTGAGTTCCTCAGTTCAAAGGGTGCTCAGTTTCGAAATTGGCCTTACCACGGAATTGCGTTTTATTCTCATTTCTTCGAATATCACGAATACCTTATTTATTTAAAAATGTGTCAATCAAGAATGTCAAATTACGTAATATGAGGAAACTATTGTAACAAAAAAGAAAAGATTCAAATTTTTACCGAAAAATCCAGATCCAAATTTTTCACAAAAAAATAAATCGTTTTTTGGCCGTAACAATGGCAATTGGATTGCAAATGGATTGCAAATGGATTGTCATACCTTTCTGAGCTCGTTATTAAATTTCCTATCGATTGGCATTTAAACCTGGACATTTTATTTTTTTGCCATTTTTCGCAAAAAATCATGATGTACCCCCTTATAAAAAATGGAAAATTTGAGAAAATTTTATTTTTTTCAAGATCACCCGGAAAGTGTCATGGATTTATTTATTATTTTGTTATCTGTTCAAAACAGTATGTATTTTTGGTGTAGGACCATTTTTGGCCAAGTTACAGCAAAAGAGCAAACAGAAAATATTCAAATTTTTTACCATAAACCTAGATTCTAATTTTTCACAAAAAATAATTCGTTTTTTGACCGTAACAATATAAATATTGATCCAAATATGGATTGTCATACCTTTCTGAACTCGTTATTAAATGTACAATCGATTGGCATTTAAGCCTGGACATTTTATTTTCTTTTCCATTTTTCGTAAAAAATCATGATGTACCCCCTTATCAAAAAATTTAGAAAATTTTATTTTTTCCAGATCACCCGGAAAGTGTTATGGATTTATTTATTATTTTGTTATCTGTTCAAAACAGTATGTATTTTTGGCGTAGGACCATTTTTGGCCAAGTTACAGCAAAAAAACATACAGAAAAAATGAAAATGGGCGAAAATTTTGCTCTGTGTTTGCTTAAGAAATAATTTAAATTAAACTTATTAAATTTCCCACCCCAAGGAATTTTGCATTGTGCGGAGCTAAGGCAGCTGAAGATCAGAACCGTAGATCCTAGGGCCTAGAACAAGCTGAACTTGATTGCCCATTTTGGGCGCCATTCGAGATCCCCGACAGATGCTGGCAGCTTGGTCAGATTCTGGTCCAGTGGCCGTCTTTCTTCTGGCTAATTTTGAATAACAAAGAGGTCCGGTTGTAGCTCGATCCCGTGTCCATTGTGTGGACCACAAGAGTGGGCCAGCTGTCCAGGAATTTCACTTGGGATGCTGGGCGCCAGCCGCTTCTCACGCTGACCACTGGTCACTGGTCACTGGACACTGGTCACTGGACACTGGTTACTGGTTACTGGCCACCGGTTGCTGACCAATTGTTGAATGGAATCCGAATCCCACCCAATTGCCGGACAGCTGTGGCCCAAAATCGAGGAGCCGACACCGCAAACAAAGCCCAAAGACCCAAAAAACCCAAATCCGGCTGCGGAAAGCTGTGAAACTAGAAAAGCTTTTTGTTATTCGACTCCTTTGTTGTCCTTGCCCCGTCACACGCTCTCAAAGGGGACTCGCACAATGGGCCCTAAGTCCTAGGTCCTAGGACCTTGGTCCTGGGTGCTAGGTCCTAGGACTCGAGTCCCAGACACTTTCTCGTCTCAGCGGGAACAATGACAATGCGATGCGGGAAAAGGAAAAGAAAAAGCAAAAGAGTTGGTCCAAGGCGCCGCGAACTGGTTGCGATGAATACATGAAATAATCTGGGAAGTGCGCTCTTTTGACACTCGAATTGAATTTTAATTAATTTATTTAAATTTGCCATAGCAGCAAACCGTTACATTGTCTCAAATATTTATTTCTTTTGGCATATGTTTCTGCATAAAAAAAATTGTTTAAAATTTAACCAATCGATTTAATATGTAGAACCTTGAATCTTTTTTTTTTGTAAAAAAAAATGATTATTTTTGATGAAAAATTATTATTAAGGAGGTCCCAGCTAAGCAGATAATCCACCTCACCTCACCTTTACCGGAAAGATTTAAATAAAATAGAAAATGCATTTTTGCATCACGTTATTTTGAAAAATGTAATAATTGAAGTTTATAGATGATAACGCCAATCGGTTGGGAATTTGATTGGAATGGGAATTTGATAGTTACAAACACAAATTCATTTTTTACATACATCTAACACCTCTTTGAGTGATTTTGAAACATAAAATCATATGTTAAAAAACACTAATAAATATTTATTAAATCGTGTCTAAAAATTAAGTTACTTTTTCATTCTTTTTCTAATTGCCTGGGTTCAACGAAAGGCGCCATCTAGCGCTTTTTGTTTTTTACATGTTTCTTACATGGATTTTACTGTGGGCGCCATCTAGCGGTAAGAACAGATGTGGCGACACCCAGCGTCAAAAGACGCTAGTCGTTACTTTTAAATTGTATTCTCAATTCAGAATCATTTTATTTTAGTAACACAAATTTGCATAATAATACAAAACTAATTACAATTATAATAAATAATGCATTCCAAAATACATTGCTTTCTTAAATATGAAATAAAACACCGACTTCTCATTCGATTCTGATAAATTTATTAAAGATTCTATGCTTATTATATTAATGTATATAATTCCTATATACCGGGCACACTTAAATTCAATTGGACTTACGACTAAGCGTGAATTGTAAATGTTAGTTTTTTTGTATTATTTTTGCTATTAAGGAAAGAAAGGTAATGTTGGTTTCTGAGTCGTTACAAAATGTACACAAAGGTTATTAATGTTATTGCTTGTCCAAGTTCTCTATTAATATACGTTTGTTTGCCCTCCCCAAACAAAATGTTTGTTTTCGTTCGCTGGTCTTTGTATACAAAAGTTAAGGCTACTCGAGGAGCAAGGAAAGCGGGATGGGATTCGTGGGACTGGTAACCGTTTATGGGTAAATAATAGTTGGTTTTTGCGTTATTTTCAACAACATTGTTGCATACAGGATTTTGATGTATATTTTCTTGTACGTGCTTAGGGCTATAAAACAGTTCTAAATTCTAAAGGGGGCAACCGTTCGCAGACTCTTCGTCCTGGCGCTCAAGCCAGAAGGGTCTTGGTCCAGGGGATCTGCGGACGGAACTTAAAGCGAGTTAAATATACCTATCAAGGGGCTGCGATCATTGTGGCTCGACAATGTGCGCACAACTAACTCAGCGTTTTATTACAATTTAGATGTGACTCTAAAAAAAAATATTAAAAAGTATTTAATTACAAAACGAAAACAAATAAACAAAACATTTGATTCTGTATACGTGGCACTTGGCTCTGCTCTGTTTTTCCCCCTTGCTGCTTCTGGTCAAATGTCGAATGAGAATTACTTGACAAAAGCCTCGGGCGGAATTTTGTTTTCCTTGAAGAGTTGCTCGAAAACGAATGCGGCATGGTTATAGTCCCAATTCGTCTCCTCCAAGCATCTGTTGAGGGGAAGAAAGATGAGAGATTCAGTTAGCAATGGTTCAACTAATATGCAGAATTTTATAGCTCTTACTTGCGACTCCAGAGCACGTTCATTTGGCTTTGCGCACTCATCGCCTGTATCATCTGCATTTTGGTGTTCTCATCCTGCACGCCAGGCGCCACTGCACCCACTGATAAGGCGGCACTGCCGCTGTTCACCGGTGAGGTGGCTGCCAGCGGATTTCCTGGCAGAATGGCCACCGGCCCGGTTGCCACGCCCACCGGATTGAGACGACCCTGCAGACCCCCAGTCGTCCCTGGCTGCTGCTGCTGCGGACTGGTCGCCGTGGCACTTGTCGATGTGCTGGCCATGGAACCGGGAGCCGGCTGGTGCTGCGACCGCTTGAACTCACGCACCTGCTCCTGCGAGGCGTTCGTGATGAAGATGGTCTCGTTGCGGATGCAATAGCCGGTGTTCTGCGGCACCACCACGTAGGTGCGGGCAAAGTGGCGCAGCTCGTACTGCATCGACATCGAGCCGGAGGCGCTGGCCTCGCCGTTCAGCTCCTTGAACAATCCCGTCACCGTGAATACCATCATGGAAGTCTGTGGGCAGAAAGGGAGTGAAATTGTGATTAGTTTCCACTGATTATGCGGCAGGAAGTGTATACATATTTAAGGTTATTATGGTTACTTTAATATAGATTCTAAAACTGTATTCACCCATTCCTCAATTATTATTTATACAAACATTACGATTCCGTGGCCAAAATCAAATAACTAAGTAATTAAAATATTCATTGCTTAAGCTAGTTTCTCAATTGATATTTTTAGTATAGTTTGTACTACAAAACACTCGATCTAACCCACTAGATAATTTCTTATAAATGTTATGTTTAAAAATGATCGATATTTTCGATATTTTGACAATATCGATTAGATAATATCGATGCTTTGAAGGGAAAACACAAAGAAAATATCAAGAACCAGCAAACTGTCGATATTTTATAAGCACTAGTATTTTGGTTCGAGAATTTCTCTTTAATTATCGATATTTTCGATAATTTTCCTTTCAATAATATCGATGCTTTGAAGGGAAAACACAAATGAAGTAGAATATTTGTTTGGGGAATTTCTCTTCATGAATAAAACACACGGACAAGAGTCTTGATAAGCATAAGATCGATAAATTAAGCCGGATTTTTCTATTATCCGGAGAACTTCTAATGATTTTTTGCTCACATTGAATATGGTCAGGTCGACGGTGAAGGTGCGACGCTCGTGCAGCGTCCTTGGCCACTCGTCCAACGTGGAAACGCAGGCCAGCCGTCCGTACTTCAAGTGCCGCGTGCGGTTGTCTTCGCCGTTCACCAGGCGTCGCAGGTTGCGATTGAACTTCCAGAAGCTGTTCAGCCTATTTTGCAAGAAAATTAGGGAATATTATTGGATGTATGTTTAGAGTTATTAATGAAGACAGCACTCACCTTCCCGCCTGATTGGCCGACGGCATCGTTATGGACAGCATCGCGTTTTCGTGGTAGGCATCCAGCAGGGACTGTCGGCTCTCCGAATCAAAAATGCGGAAGTACTGGTCCAGGAACTGACGCACCACCTCGGCGCCAGCGTTGTCGCACAGGAAGGAGGCCTTCGTCTCGAGAATGCGTCCCTGCTCGGTTAGATCAAAGGTGACCTGCGGCGCCAGGGCCTCTCCATCCTGTAGGGATTTAATTTAGTTATGGATCGTGGGTTCTTAGAGACGGATGATAACTAGCAGTGATGGGAATTTAACAAGGAACCTAGTGTAGGATCCGTGGATTAATATGTAGCTTTCCAACCTCAAATAGGATGATATTATGATATGATATTATGATATTATTAAATTATGATATTATGATATGATATTATGAAATATTATTTTGATAAATTTCTATATGAAATCCAGATGGAAACCTGATTTATTTTAATATTGAAGAATTAACATTGTAACATTCCCATCATTCTGCTAAACGATGTTCTACGGGGGCATTGCACTTACCAACTTCAGCAGTTTGGGGAACTTGCGACGTACTTCGCTGTAAATAGTTCGAAGTGGATATTCGGCCGTATTTTGGTTGGCATTAGCAGGGAGGCGATGATAGATATGCGAGTTAAATAGCGAGAAATAATAATTAAATGGGTTTATTGTGTGTGGGGGGGGTGGTGTATGCGCTGCAGGTGTTGCGGACACAGGCAGGCCAATTACCAGGGGTTACTCTCCCTCGCACACGAGATCCACTTGTGATCTGGCATAGTATTACTTTATTACGTTACTCGACAGGCTCGCCAAATGTCGCGGAGCTTTGGGCAGCTGAAGAGGCAGAGGCACTAGGTGCTTGGCCATTTTTGTGCCATTATTTGATTGATGCTGCTGTTTGAGTGCAGCGGAAAAGTACAATTGAGCACTGCATTGTGCCTGGGCATCTTTTGTGTTTGTTGTATTTTATTTTTTTTATTTTTTGCCTTTTTTTCTTTTTTTATTTTTTTTTTAAAGTTGTTTTTTTCTTTTTTTTCGAACAGTGTGGGCCCAAGCAAAAGCTGGCTGCGTTGCCAGACCGGGGAAAGCTGGCGGCTGTGTCACTTCAGTCCGATGCCTTCGACATGTCTCGTCATGTCCCGTCACGTTCGCACACGTCGCATCCGCAGGCGGATCACACGCCCAACGATGCCGTACAAAATGAGTGTAAACGGCTCGCAAAACAACGCGGCGGCCGCTGGCGCCAGCAAAATATGTCCGTAGTTGAGTGTTTTGTGTAGGTTTTTGTCCGTTATGTCCGTTTTGTCCGTTTGGTATTTAATTGTAATTTCTGCTAGACGCTGCGCACCTAAATAAGGGGGCCTTTGCGCCACTCCTCCCCCTCCGCCTCCTCTTCTTGGCAACCGCCGCAAAATCAACAAGCGGCGACACAACAACGCAACACAACAGCGCGCACAGGGCACGCAGCTTGGGGGACTTGGCGCGCAAACGCAAGTGCGCAGGCGCATGCGTGCGTGCGCTGGCGTGGAGTCGCTACATGTGTGTGTGTGCCCGTGTGTGTTGTAGCGGGGTGCGCGGTGGGTGGGTTGGTGGGTATTACGTTTAATTAATTATTCGATTGTATGATTTTACTATTGATGTGCTTTTGCCAACGTTGTTGTTGCTGCTGTGTCGGGTATTGCTGCATGTCCGCCTGCTTAAGTGGAAGTGCGAACGGTGCAGGTATGTAATGTATGTGTGTGTGTGGTACAGTCTCGTCTGTAGCTCAGCGTTGCCACATCGTCGAAAGTGTTGAACACTCAGCTGGTTGTAGAAATGGCTTGGGCTCTACTGTAGTTTTTCGTTTTTTTTTTTTTTTTTTAAACAATTTTTTTTTTAATTTTTTACTGCCTTGCCCAAAGTCTCTTCCGCTGCTTTCGACCTGCCCTTGCTTTAAGGCACTTTCTTTAGAAACTCTTTTCCCTCAAATGCTTTTGCCTGCTCAACCGCTTCTAAACTTTAGGCTGAAGGCCTTTTCAGCAAAATTCTAGCGAGGATTGGAGTTCCACCTGATTTTGAGCCACAATCCTGCAGCGCATTCACTTCGAAAACAAAACAGAAGAATAATGGAGACAACAGAACAATGGAAATGTGCTAATCCTAATTCCTCTGTGACTCCCGACGCGGCAACTCCCACGTCGACCATGTGGCAGCATCCTCTAGAAAGGTTAGAAGTCACACCAATCACACCATAGTATACCTGATAAAGTGCTGCGAGTCCTTGTAGCGGGAACGGCAGGGATTGTTCTTTAAGACCAGCTCCAAAATAGACAGGTTGCGAAACACCACCAGGTGGGCCAGTGATGGTATCTAAAGAAAAAGTAGTTAGTATAGCTAGTAAACAAATAGTTATTATAGTTTCTCACCTTATTATCCCCCAAATAGAGTATCTTGAGGTTCGGTATCCGCTTCTCCACGCCCTTGAAGGCCTCCATGCTGGTCATGCTGTTGTCATTCAGGTTGATCGCCTCCAGATCGGGTATATTATCGCAGATAATATCGATGGCGGCGCTCATCACGTTCTGCCGGAAGAGCGGGCAAAAGATCAGCTTGAGCTCCGGATCGGCATGGAAGCGGGAGAGGTCGAGTGCCTTGGTCTGCACATTGTACCGCTTGGCCATGGTCACCTTCATCTTCTCCTTGAAGGCATCGTCGATGGCCACCAGCGGAATGCCGCTGCGCACGCGCGGCATCAGCCTATAGCCATCGGGTAGCTGGGCGTGCCTGCCCAGATGTTGAATGCGCTCGGCCACCTCGTAGTCGTCGGTGAAGAAGATCACGCAATTGCGTTCCGCTCGCCAATATTGCGGTATGAAGACATGCGGCGACATTGCCGCCAATAAGGCCCGCAAAAGGGTTTCCTTTTCGTAAATCTGTGCATTTTGTAGCTGCAAAGGGAAGGGGGGAAAATCATTAGACAATAGACAATTATATGGGTTTATATGGTTTATATAACACAGATAAGCAGCCGCTGAAATTATCTCATCGGCCAACTCATGGGCGGTGTTCTATTTGCCATCACTGCTCCACATTTCGTGTTGATCTATCTATCTATCAATGGGGTGTGTAAAAGCTAAAATGTATAAAGCAGAGATAGCTCCAAAAGTCTAACCATAGGAAAGCACGTACAAGTCTGTACAAAAATGTCGTAATATCCAACTTTCACCAGTTGCACTCATTTAAACTTTTGTGAATCCCCGTTCAAATGACTGATTATGAAATGCTCTTTTTAGCACATTTCAATAAACACAACTCAGTAAAGAAATATAAATAAAATACCCACATATGAATACAAAAGAAATTAGCTTTCAATAAAGAAAATATTATAAAATATAATAAAGGTCGCGGGCGTTAAGACACTCTCAAGAGTGTCACAAGGCCCACCGGCCTTATAACTACACTTAAATATTATTTAACTAATATACTAATATTATAAATATTTTAAACTTTACTTAAAAATCACTGGGGAACATGTTGTATTAAAAATTAGCAATATTTTATAAAAATGTATAAAAATAGATTTTAATCGTAATTTGCCAATTTTAACTAATTGGCTCTGTTCCCTCGTCACATTCCCAATTACGATATGAGAATTAGCAGAACGCTCGCCGATTTGCATGCCATTCGTTTTCATTTTCGAATATGTGGGTCTCGTCACCTAATTACATTTTTTCGGGCAGGGCAGTCTTATCACTCAAACTGTCAGTGATTTAATTACGAGCACTTATCCGGAAATGGTGAGTGTGTATGGTAAACAGACAGCAAAAAGCGAAAAACAATCCCGGGGTGGATCCAAAACTCTGCTGCTGCCAATGCGAAGGTCAGACAACCATCAATATCGGTCACTTGGCTATTATTGTTATTATTATTAATGTTATTATTCGCCGATGGCCGATATCTAATCGGACTGCAGACGTACGTATATATATGCACCACATATACATCCATATAAAGTGCGGGGTCTGTGCACAAAGAATCACTGGAATCAGTGGTAATTCAATTTATGGGATCACTTCGGGTACAGTCGGGCACAAAGATGGGGGCCATATGCGAATAATGATCGTGTGAATGATCGCCGTGATCCCAGCCCCTCCGGCACCTCCGTTCGCCACTCGACCCTATTTATATCAACGGTATCAACAAGATAAGTCACAGCACATCTAGCCCACTCATTCATTGCGCATTAATGCGATAAATTTATTTATTACGGGCATTAGCTGTTATTATTATATATATGTATATTCGCGTCCCTCCTGTCCACAGAGTCCCCGATATCAGCTGGAGTTGTCTTTATTTTCCATTGACTTTGGCAAATAAATATAAACCCCTCGATGATATCGTATTCAAAAATGGCAAATTGTAGTTTTTTATCAGCGTGGGTTTTTTTTACCCCTAAGCCCTTAATTAGAAAACCCAACCAATGGGCTATTAGAATATTTTCATTTATTGGCCTTATTTATTATAATATTTTATATAAATATACTTCTACTATTAGGATTTTCATTTCTATTGACTGACTTTTATTTTAACTAAGTCAGCTTTTTATTGGAATTACCTTTCGCTTTAATCTTAATTTGATTTTTTCATTTATTGCCCTTATTTGTCAAAATATTTTAATATTGTGATAAGAAATACTTCTACTATTAAAATTTTTATTTTTATTTAATGACTTTTAAATTGGACCTTTCTTAAGCCCTTAATTAGAAGACCCAACCAATGGCCCATTAGGATTTTTTCATTTATTGCCCCTATTTATCAAAATTTACTTATAGATTTTTAGGACTTTAAGACTTTTAGGATTTTTATTAGCTTACTTATTAGTCAGCTTTTTATTGGAATTCCCGGCTGAAATAATTGAAACCTATTGGGAATGTTTACCCACCCTTTGTGTATTTTAAATAGACCACAGACAACAATGGGATCCGTGGAATCGAGGCGACGCACCTGATCGATAGGAAAAATGAACCATAAACCGTTAAGCCGCCAAGGTTAGAGGTTTCGCTTTCGAAAATAAAGATGATGACTGTATTTCGGGGGATCGCAGACACTCTCAGGGGAACCTAGAGAGTTCTTGGTGATAGGTAGGTAGGTAGGCTATGAGGTGGGTGGTGAGTGGTGTAAGGAATGTGAATGGTTTGTTTGTACAGCTCACAGATATAGCCACACATTTTGTATTTATTGTATTCAACACAGAGCAGTACCGAACAGAACAGTACAATACAATACAAAATACGAGCTGGCTGAGACATATTTCTAGAATTGATATGGAGCCATGACAACTCCGGCGTCGCAGTCGCAGCTGGCGGCGCAGCTTGGGCTGGGTTGGGCTTTTTGTTGTTCGGTTGTTCGGTTGGTTGGCCAACTGAACAAGTGAACTGAACAGAACAGAACACCAGACCATCGAACACCGGCGAACGGAGCGGCATTCGCTGACAGACGTGCGCCGATGAAGCAGTAACATATAACTGAACAGAGATATATAGACATCGGACATCCTCACACATTATATACGGTATATATTCAAAGTTTATAGAACAAGAAACCAAAAACCAAAAGAATGGGTGGCTGTTGCTCAAAGGATTTGGATGATAAGCGCTCCTGGAGCCCCGAGGAGACCAAGAATGGCGTAAGAAATCAGCTCATAAAAAAGTTTCCAAGTAACATAATATATTCTACCGATTCCAGAGCACCACCTCGACCATCATTGCCCAGCCGCTGGATGATGTGGGCTCCACCGGCGTCTTCACATTGACTCGCACCACAACCAGCACCACGCACCACACACAGGAGAAGACGGTGACCACCACCAACGACGAGGATCAGGAGGATTAGCTGCCCTTATTTTAATAGATTTAATATTTTTTTTTCTACACCTCTTTGTTGAAACAATTTCAATGCCATGTGTGTGAGTGTGCGAGTGAGTGTGTGAATACCAAAGTGTACATACAATGTGAATATGAATATGAATCAAGTTAAGCTGTTAACGAGTAATTATTAATTGTTATGCGCCTGAATTCCAATTTCAAAATAAATTGTTGAATCGCTAAATATTCCAGACCGCTTCACAGTGACGGGCCAATCAAGCTTGGGTTCTCAGGCAAATTAGAAATGCACTCAATGTCGTTATAAAGTGGATTCGATTTAGAGAATCTATTGTGGTTCTTTTTTCTGGAGTTTGGAGCTAAAGAGTATTTTTTTTTTACCGAGTTATTTAAAATAACTATTAAAAAGCCTGCATCTATATTTAACTAAAAGAACTTAAGGGGTTATATACCTTTTTTGAGCGAAAAAATTAAGGGAACTTTGGATTTTTTTTTTGGTGTGTAGCAATTATTTTATGACAGTGATGTTATTATTTATTGATAGTACATGTTTTTATCGAAACAACAAGCCTTTGTTCTTGAAAAAATATGAATAATTTACGAAGTTATGGCAATTCTTTCGGAACCCTTTTTTTTTTATAGTGGCTTGCGGTGACCACGATGGAAGTCCAGCAGGTCAACTGATATCAAAAAACCAAAAATTTTTAGTTAGTATAGTGTTATATCCAGTTCGTGAACGATTACTTTTAAGAATATTTCCTTTTTTCTGCATACAGTAACAATTTTTCCAAAAAGTTGATTTTTCAAGTTCTAAAAATTTTATTAAAAAATTCTGATCTGCGAAATTAAAATTGGCGCATAAAAACTGAATCGTTCACGAACTCGGCACAATCATTACGAATAATTTAAAAAAAAATTGGAGAAGATCGATCAAATAGTTCTTGCGCAATCGTGGTCACAGCGAAGGCACTTTTGGAAAAACCAGACTTTGAGATAATCGCATTCAAAGTTTTACTTTGACGTTGCAACTATTGAAGTCGAGCGCGTCAAAACGCTGTTTTCCTATCGAACTATTATTCGGATCTGTATGAAAATTTGGGAAGATGTTCTCTAGGGGATATACTTTAAGATTCAGCAAAAAAAAAAATTTCGTTTTTTTGAAAAAAAAAAAGGTATATAACCCCTTAAAGGACTTTTATGATTTTTTTTTCCTGTGATGTATTTGTGGAAAATCTGAACTTTTCCCACAATATGTAAAAATTTTTTTTTTAATAATAGGTCAAGTAAGAGTTCGAATCCTCCCGCTAATGCAATTTTTTCTCATTTTTAAACAAACAATTTAAATAATATATTTCATTATAATTCCACTTTAAAGATTAAATCAAACAATTTAACATATTTCAACAAAAGTCAACTAAAAAGATTAAGATGTCTTACAACAGGCATTTTTCAAATTCTTGAAATAGAAACAAAAATCAAGATTCATTTAACCGATATCCACTGTACAAAAGTGGGATTACAGATTGGAAAAGTGGCACTGCGGACAGGATGGAACGGGGGGTAGGTAGAATCTGCCAGTTCAATTGGCGAGATAAGGGGAACGAACCAACGCATTACTGGCCGATGACATCAGGAGATGCACACAGAACTCAGCACTCAGCCAAATGGTGGGCAGGAAAGTAGGGGGTTCGGAATTACCCCCCACATGGCCTGTCCCATCCAGATCCAGTGAGTCAGTGGGTTCTTTTCTGGCCCACAACTATGGTTATCAACGGTGACTGTATGGTGCTTTCGTTCTCGGCCAGAATGACTAACAACCGAACCACCGGGCACGTGTTTGCCGTCAGCTAGAGACTAATAAAAAAATAACAACGATCAGTCATTGGAATGTTTTGGCCATTCCATTCACACGTATTCATATTTATATACAGCATAGTTTGTGAATCCATTAGGAAAATGCAAATCGGCCTGCCAATTGCGATTCTCGAATTGCAATTATCAATACTTGGCCAGGTCGTTTGTTACATGCCACTCGACAATCTCGACTTGTTCCCTTGTCACTCAGGAACGTCGTTACGTGTATTTGTCAAATCGTTATAATACATAATAGCACGATATGAAAATAATAATAATAATAATACGTTTGTTGACATTCATTCGGCAAGCGGTCGGTCGCTCCAGGTGCAACTTTGCTTTACAAATTATACGAAAAAGCTTTTTCACAACGCCTGAAGGCAGGCAAAAATAATTGTAGCGAAAAGTAATTAATCAAGTGCCATGTCGATATGAATGTAAAATTCAGTTAATCGGGCTGGGAAATGTATTTTATATGATTTTACATTATAATTTGCACCTTGTGGGAATACTTTAATCAAAAACGACTGGGCATTACTTGTTTTTATCCCATATTTTATTATTATAATGGGAAAATTGGATTTTCTTTCGCCTAGCTAAATTACTATCATACAATTTAACAAAAAGAAACTATTTTTTTTAGCGGTACTTAAATTTGTTATTTCACTTTTAGGTTGAAAGACTTGATTTTCTTTTAAAATCAGTAGGTACATGATGCGTATATTAATAGATTAGCCATCAAGTTGGTTGGATTAGTTGAAATGAATAAAAAAAAGGAGGGTTTAGCATTTTTTTTTTTCAACTTTGTGTCAAATAATTAATTCTAGAACTTTAAAATATACCGACAAAATCCCAAAACAAATCACTTTTTGTCCATAACATTCAAGGAGAATTGCCCATATCTTAAAATCTATCATCCAATAATGGTAAACGGTTAAATGGTTAACCTAAAAAATAACGTGACACAAACAAAAGTTGTTCCCATACTTGATAAGTTAAATAGCCCCTTCTGCTTCGATACTTTGACCGATTAACGTACGATGTGCGGTTAGGATTGAATGACTGATGGGTTCGCAAAAACTATTGCTAAATGGACGATCTACGGGGCGTCCATTAACCCATATCAACGGCAATTATTGAAAATTCTACTATTACAACTCGTTCAATTGGGGTTTTCGCCAGAGAGCGAGAGGGAGAATTACAATAGATAAGATTAGGCCAGCAAACATGCAGAAAATAGAAGACAGCGAGAGCGCACAAACTGCGCAGATAAATTGAATTGGAGGCGGACATAAACGTAACACAAAATACGAAATACAAAATACAAAAGCGAAATCAAACGAAGCCACAGGCAATTAAAGAACATATGTATGTACAAGACCGAGCGGAGGGGCCGATGTATGTGCAGCATATGCAGATAAAATAATTTAACCGACCCTACACTGACTTTTCAATCAAAAGCAGCCCCGAACGGCAGTGATGCGACTTTAGCCTTTACTCAACATTTTCGCTTTTGGCGGTTAAAAAAATAATCAAGAAAATCAAATATGAAATATTAAATTCTCTAGTTATAATAGATAGATTTATAATAATAGATTTCAATTCTTAGGCAGACAACATTTTTATAATAAATAATATTTTTTAAATTAAAACATTTTCATTTGGGGATGGCTTTAGTTATTGTAAATACTCGAAAATACAATTTTCAAAATATTCTCTTGAAAAATATCTGAAATTTCTAGAGATAATTATAATGTAAACCTTGTTTATCATAGTTTTTTTTTTAAATAATCATTTTATATCTCTTGATTTTTTATACTCCAAATTTTTGAACATAAAAAAGAATGCACTCACAAATTTCCACCTTTTAGTGGTATAATATTTTGAAAATACGGACAAATATTTATTTTTCTGGCTTTATTTCATTTGTAAATTCTTTGGGTTCCTAAATCTCTAGATACTTTATATTCAAACTTTTTAACATATGTTCAAAAGAATGCAAAAAGATTTATAGGTATAATATTTTGGAAATACGGACAAATATTTAATTATTTCTTAATTTTTTGTGTACCCTATCAGTATCATAGCTTTCTGGCTTTATTTCATTGGTAATTTCTTTGGGTTAAACATTTTTGAATATATGAATATATATGAAAAGAAATACACTCACAAATTTATTTTGGAAATACGGACAAATACGGACAATAAACGGAAAAAAGCCAGATATAACGGAGAAGAATGGCCATCACTGGCACACGGGGTGCTCGAGTGGGTGATATGGAAGAACCGGGTGAGAGCGCGCGGGACAGAACGGCCAGAACGGACAGAAATTGGAGCGCACCCCGAGAGTCCAGGCGACGATCGACAGACGAGGCGACGGCAGTGCCACGGCAAAGCTTCTCGCAGTCGGACGCAAACATGAATTCCATTCCGGGCAGCATTCCGCTCCTCTCGTTCCTGGTGATCCTCGGCGCCTGCCTGGCCTGGTCGCTGCCCATGAACCCCGACCAGCAGGATCGGGAGCCGGTGGGCCAGCAGTACAATGGCGTGGCGAAGAGCGAGAGTTTCGTGGGCAGAGTGGCGGCCAAGAATCAGAACATCAACGATCACACTGCCGAGGATCGGGCCCTGTTCGATATTGTGGAGCTGCGAAACGATCTGGAGGCCGCCGGCGTGGTGTCGGGCGATAAGCGGGAGCTGCATCAGCTCACCTACACGGAACTGGTGCGACTTTTGGCCCTGTGGCACTTGTCCCAGACCCGCAACGTCTACGAGGCCCGAGGACCCGAGGAGCAGCCCGATCAGGCCCTCGATACCGAGACCCGCTAATGGGAAACGCTCTCTATGAGTAAGCTCGTTTATTAAAGCCAAAGTTCAGTTGATAGAAATGTGACGAAGAGAAAAAGGCTAGTATGTATGGGAATAAATGATAAATATATGATACTCCAAGATCGATATGATGGCACTTTCGTAAATAACAATGTAACTTTTTCTTTTTCTATCACAATTATTATCTAAAACATCTATAATGTTAGAGTGAACTATTTAGATTTGTATAAAATTGCTATTAAACTTAACCGTATTGGAAAAACAAAGCAGGTTGTTCTCTTTTGGATTGGCCATTCTTTTTAGAAGTGCTACTGACTCAGCTGAATGGAATTGGCCACGATAAGAAGGCAATATAACACTTCATTTAGCGTTTCTAAACTCTAAAGGTTACGCCACAGCCTTGTGCTTCTCCCACTCGATCTCGTCCAGCCGTGGAGGCGCCACCGAGATGCCGCCAATCTCCGAACTGGTCCCAGTGACCACCAGTTGGGGCATCTGTCGCCGCTGCAGTCGCTTGGCCAGCGGCGGCACAAAGAGATCGTGCTTGATCAGCGTACAGTCCGCATCCTGGTAGATGCGTCTATTGTTGTCCCAGTTAAACAGCTCACACAGCCAAGACAACAGCCAGCCGCCAAAGAAGGCAATCAAGAAGCCCAGGGCAGCGTACCACATGTAGCTAATCCTGTACAGGTAAAAGAAGTGCTCCTCCTGGGACTCCACCTTTGTAGATTTCAGAAAAACATCGCTTGCAAAGCTCCTGTTTAGAGGACAACCCTCTGTGGACATATCCAAACTGACCAACGGCGGCTTTGGCTGCCCGAAACCGATCCAAAAGCAGAACACCAGCGAGATGAGCAGGCCTCCAATGGCTCCTTTTTCGTTGGCCCTTGTGACATACATGCCTAGGGTAAAAAGTCCCAGCAGAGGTCCACCGATAATGCCGAAAATGGAGAGCGCTGCCTGCAGGAGTCCTCCAATTGAGCCCGCCATAAAGGCCATGCCAATGCAGAGGGCGCCGAAGAACAAGGAGAGCAGCTTGGAGTACCACAACGTCTGGCGATCGGTGAGCGTTCGCTTCGCGCAGCAATTGACCAGCGGCTTGAGGTAATCCTCCAGGGTGACGGCCGCCAGTGAGCTGATTATCGAGCTAATCGTTGACAGGCTGGCGCAGAAAATCCCCGAAACAAAGAGGCCAGCCAAGCCGGTGTACTCGCCCATGGTGTCCACGACAAAGAGCGGCATCACTTGGTCACGCGAGTTGACCCTTCCCTCCAGCAGAGGATCGCAGTTGCGATAGTACCAGTAGATGCACAGTCCCGAGAAGCAGGTGCTCACGCTCAGCAGGCACAGAATGGGCAGGCACCACCACAGAGCCGCTCGGGCGGCACTCAAACTCCTCACGGCCATCAGTCGCTGCACTTGCGTTTGATTCACTCCATAGATGGCCAAATAGGTGGCACTTCCGCCCAGGATCTGAGTGAACCAGGTGTGCCGTTCCGCGGGATCCACACTAAAGTTGGTGAAATCGATGCGTCCATTCTGCTGGGCCACGCGCCAAATCTCCTCCAGGCTGCCGGCCTTCACCCAGGCGCAGATAATCACGCTAAAGACGGCGGCGAACATGAGTAGCGATTGGTAGATATCCGTGATGAGTACGGCCTTCATGCCGCCCAGTGTCGCATAGAAAGTGCAGACGACTCCAACGATGACGATGGAGAAGACCTGGTTAAGTCCAGTCACCGCCTCCAAGGCCAAAGCAGGGGCATAAACCACAATGCCCATGTAGAGGATCATCTGCAGCGAGAAGCTCAGCGAGGCGGCCAGTCGAGTAGCATAGCCGAAGCGCAGCTCCAGATATTCGTACACACTGGCCGTTTTCAGGCGATAGAAGACCGGGATGATGAGGTAGGCAGCCACGGGCGTGGAAACCACATACGACAGATTAATCAGGACGAACATGGTGCCGTACTGATAGTTCTCCATGGACACACCCAGTATGGTAATGGCCGACATAAAGCTGGCCATCAGGCTAAAGGCCACCGGGGCGACGCCCATCGACCGATCCGCCAGCAAATATTCGGTTGTGGTCTTCTGTTTGCCGCCCACAAAACGATAGTAGATGCCAATGGCCACGGAAATGATGAGAACCAAGGCCAATATGGCATAGTCCCAGGCGCCCAGCGTAGCCATTGCTTTTCCTAATCGCACATCTAATCGCTCCGCTAAAGGCTGATAAGTTCCGCGGGCCTCTTGAGATTCAGCTAAGGTTCGCCGTGGAGCAGCAGCAAGTCGTCTTCACCGTCTGCCGGTTGTCGATGAAATAAAAAAGGCCCAAATGGAACCGCCGCCAGCCATCAGCATTGGGCATTTACGGCATTTACGACCCCGCCGAGAGATAGCGGCCTGTTGTGTTGCACCACGTGTGGTTGGATGGCTAGTTGGCTGGAAAATAAAAGGGGGAAAGTCCTTGGAATCCATTTCGGCGAGGCTCTTCGCTCTTCGCTCTTCGGTCATCGGTCATCCAGTGCAGTTTCAGCTTTTTGTGGGCTAGTGAGAACGGGGAACACACACTTGTGGCTGGCACTGTGTCGCCAACAGAGTTTAGCCATCCATAAATATTTATTTACCCGCTCGTTGGCTTGCAATTGTAATTGTTGTAGCGATAGAAGACCCCTTTTGCCTGTTTGCTTTACGATTTTTACGAGTGAAATTAATTAATAAACACAACCAGAGCACTGGAGCACTGTACATATGTACAAATAAACAAGAAAGTTGCAACCTATGCGATTCTTGGCGGATGCTGAAACCAAAAAATAACCAACAGACACCGCATCACATGATTCTTTTGGAGACCAAAAAAATAGTTGTATGGCTGTGCCATCGTAAATCTGCTATCTATATGGACCAGTCGTCTGGGGTTTGTAGTTCTGGTTCGGTGTGATAATAAACAAGAAATATGCCAACCTATGCGTTATATTGCGCGAACTTGTGCCGGAATAGCCAACAAATCTGGGTATTAATGGTTATACGGCTGCCCATATAAATCGGGGCCTCTATATGGGGACTCTAGTGATTCGAGGAGCTCCAGGCGACCTTTAACTTGTGTCTGTCTAACTAACGAATCACTTGATTCTCTTCTGCCCATTCTAAAATACGATATTAATTGTTATAGGGCCTCTATATGGAGCGTTAGGGATTCAAGGACTTTTAGGTAGAGCTTGAAAGAATATTTAAAAGGATTTTTTTCTAAAAACATTGATATTATCGTATCAATATTGTGAAAATATCGAAAATATCGAAATTATCGATCATTTTCAGGCTCTACTTCCGCGACATTTATCTTATGTCTAAATAACTTACGACCTACACATCCAAAAATCTGATATTAATGGTTATAAGGCTGCCAATATAAATCTGACCTCTATATAAGGTGTGTTTCAAAATTATACGACACCATACATTTCTTAAATATTTTTTTTATTAAAAGTCGTATTAAGGTGATTGTGTTCGTATTTAATCGTTATAACAAAACAAAGAATTTCATGTGAAAACAATATAATATTTGCCTCCGGGGCATAAGTTATAACAAAATCTTAATTTTAAGGTGTTTCATAATTATACGACACCATTGATTTTTTCCGGTTCCAATGATCAAACTTACCCGAAATTTTTTTTCTGGTTAAATATAAACTAAAAGATTCGATTTTGAGAGTAATCCAGCTTTGGGATGGATCTTTGATCCTTCTAATCTTCGGCCCATACATAAATATTGAATATTTCCTCTATACCTTAAAAAAATTTTTTTTTCGAAGTCATATCCCACAATTCGTCTTAACTTTGGTCTGGTCAATATTCCTAACACTTTTGAATCAAATAAGAATCCTGTTCAGTGTATTACGTTCACGAAACAGACCTCAAAAATCATTTTTTAAAGAATTGCCCTTTTGGAACCAAACTGTTTTATTCCAAAAATATTTGATTTTGAGCGATACTTCCTGTCAAAATGCAAAAATTTGTTCTTTAAAACCTTAATAAACTTTCCACATTTTACGATTGGAACATTTGAAATGCGATCACCAGTCTGCGCCCCCCGAATGAAATCCCATGGAGAAAACACTCAAATTCGTATGAAAAAATTTCGAAAAAACTTCAAAGTGGCGCAGACTGGGGATCGCATTTAAAATGTTCCAATCGTGAAATGTGGAAAGTTTATTAAGGTTTTGAAGAACAAATTTTTGCATTCTGACAGAAAGTATCGCCCAAAATCAAATATTTTTGGAATAAAACAGTTTGGTTCCAAAAGGGCAATCCTTTAAAAAAAGATTTTTGAGGTCTGTTTCGTGCATGTAATGAACTGAAAAGGATTTTTATTTGATTCAAAAGTGCTAAGAATATTGACCAGACAAAAGTTAAGACGAATTGTGGGATATGACTTCGAAAAACTACTTTTTTAAGGTGTAGAGAGACATATTCAATATTTATGTATTGGTTGAAGATTGAAAGGACCTTTGGGCTGGATTACTCTCAAAATGGAACCTTTTGGTTTATATTTAACCAGAAAAAAATTTCGGTCAAGTTTGATCATTGGAACCGGAAAAAATCGATGGTGTCGTATAATTATGAAACGATCGCACATAGCCGAAAAATAGACTATATTTCGAAAAATTAGCGGTAAATCCTTAAAAAGAGGATGAAGGACGCGTGGTATTTTTTTTCGTACACATCATACATTGTTCTTTCGATCTGCATTTAAATGTTTCGCTTTCTATAGACAACAACAACGCTAAAAAATTTCCAAAAATAAGTGTGTTGGTGTCGTATAATTTTGAAACACACCTTAGAACCCTAGGAAATCGAGGACTTCCAGGTAGAGCTTGAAAGAATATCGACAGTTTGCTATTTCTGTATATTTAAAGGGAGTTTTTCCTTGAAAATATCGATATTATCGTATCAGTATTGTGAAATTATCAAAAATAAATATCTTTTCTGGATATTTAAGGGGAAAACATCTATATTATCGTATCAATATTGTGAAATTATCAAAAATATATATCTTTTCTGGATATTTAAGAGGAAAACATCGATATTATCGTATCAATATGGTGAAATTATCGAAAATATCGATAATTTCCTAGCTCTACTTATGTCTAAATAACTAACGAATCACATGATTCTCTCCCCATATCATAAATCCGATATCTATATGACATGGTAGGCCAAACTCACCGTCACTTGGTACCAGCCAAAGCTGTTGGGCATCAGTTTGCCGAACTTGCCGCGCGGAATGGGCGATCCTCGTCGTCGGGAGGTGGGTCTATCCTGCTGTGGGTTTTAAGAGGAAGATAATGGGTTAAATTCGGTTTAGAAGGATGGATAGATGTGCTCACCTTGACGGTTGTGGTCATGTCGCTCATGTCATCATCCTCGTCCCAGCGGCGCAGATCCTCGGGACGCAGCTTGATGTCCTTTTTGTTGTGCGGAAACTGCGAGGGCTTAAAGCTGACGCGCCGTTTGTTACGATCCTTGCGTCGCTGACGATCCTCCACTTCTGGAATTGGGAATACATGGATATAATAAATGCTTTTTAAGGCTGCTTTTAACTACTGACCATCGAAATCCTCGAGCGCCGAGTAACGTCCGCCGCCATTGCCGACGTTGTTGTTGTACCGCTGGCCACCGCCGTCGCCGCCGCCTCTTCCGCCGCCGCCGCCGCCACCGCGTTTGGGCATTTTCCGATTTTTCCTTACAAATTTATGAGGCAACAACAACGGATGGGTAGAAAAAAAAATGCTTTCTTCAGCACGTTTTTTGCACTATCGTTCTTTGTTTTTGTTGTTGTGAAAATCAGCCTATCTTGTGTTTTTTTTTGCGCAAAAAATGCAAAACGCACAAAGTGCCGAGAATGCTTTGCGAAATACGCTGGAGTTCCTCACACTTTATATACTCGTTGGAATAATTCGCTTTGCCTGGTCTCAACAATCCACATACAACGCAATTTTATGAAATTAAACACTTATTTTAGTGACTCTAGTGACGAGCGATCCGCTTTCGATAGACACGGCCCGATGGTTTTTGCACAAATTGACGGAGGATTTCCGAGTTTTCCCGGCTGCTGTTCCCGGAAAAAAAGGTAGTTTTGCGAAGGCAACGAAGCAGGAAAACAAAAAGGAACAGGTAAAATTCAGTGTTCCAAGGATTATTGTTGAGTGTTGTTTTCCCTTCGGTTCTTTCGGAACGGCCTATCGATTGTGGCGGGCCTACTATCGGAATAGCTCGTGATCGGTGACGGCAGTCTAGCTACTAGCTATCGAGGGATTCTAGCTATTTTTTTATACTTAATAATAGTTCGGAAATTTACATCTTAATCTTTAGCGAACTTTAAAATAAGGATTTAATAATATATTTTATTATCATGCGTTGTAAATCTAATCATTTTGTAAAAATTCTTGCGATATATATTCATTATTTTTAAAACCTTCTTGCAGTGTATTTTCCTACCACTTACCAGTAATCTCCGTAATCGATAGTTGGCAACACGAAAGGTGTGATTTATTGGAATCGAAGTCGAGTCGGGTTTCATTATCAGATCAGCAATATGTCGGAGCTAAAGGTGAACCGGTCCAATTCGGAGGAGCAACTGGTCCAGGTGGTGGCCGATCTCCTTAAGCGCTGCTCCCAGGAGGCGTTGGCCAGGCAGGATAAGTTCAGCGTGGGTCTCTCGGGTAAGGATCGTGATCGGGGTCAGGCAAGTCAAGTGGCTGTGCTGATAAGCCCAACTTGAGGTGACCTCTGTGGAATCGAACTCCCAAAGTCAAGTGTCTCACTCCGCTTACAGGTGGCTCCCTCATCCAGCTGCTGACAAAAGCCCTGAAGTCGGGAGCTTTGAAAACCGACAAGTGGCTGTTCTTCTTCTGCGACGAGCGATATGTGCCCCTGAACGACAGCGACTCCACCTACGGAGCCTACAGGGCCGAGTGGCAGACCCTTTTGCCGAGCATCCGGGACTCGCAGTTCGTCCGGGCCGACACCACCAAGCCGCTGGACGAATGCGCCGCGGACTACGAGTCGAAGGTCAAGAGCCAGGTGGATCGCTTCGATCTCCTGCTGCTGGGCATGGGACCCGACGGACACACCTGCTCCCTCTTCCCCGAGCAGCCGGCCACGCTGCAGGAATCCCAGCGCCTGGTCATCCCCATCCGGAACTCACCCAAGCCGCCGCCCGAGCGGATCACCTTCACCCTGCCGCTGATCAATAACGCCCGGGACGTAGCCTTCGTGGTCACCGGTGCCGGAAAAGCCAGTGTCGTCAAGGTGAGTTTAATAGGTTAGTTTAAGGAATTTCCCACAAGTCTTTGCTTTTTTTTCTATTAGTTGGAGCTATTATAAAGCCAGAAAAATAATCTTAAAATAAATACACAATTTTATTTTATTTTTACTAATTTTATTAATATATTTTTTTTAATTTCAGAGTGTTTTTGTCGATCTGGACAAGAAGTTTCCCGCTGCCTGGGTGAATCCGACACAAGGACAGTTGACGCTTATTGTGGACGCGGGAGCTGGCAAGGAAATTTGAGCCTTATAATGACATTTCTACTTAGATTATTAACGAATCTTGTAAATAATAATATTTTTTATACAACTTTTTGGATTTAATCTGTGGCGGTTAAAATAAAATATTGTCACTCGAAGTGAGTGAACTCGAAACAACAGGGAAAATAATAAAGTTTAAGTTTAAAGTTTATCTTAATTACTCTCCTTTTTGTGAAAAGTAGCTAGATTTGGCTTGAAAAACGCTGGTCTACTATCGGCCGACACACAGCCTATCGATATTTCGTGTGCCCGTACGCGGTAACCCAACGAACGGCGCACCCAGTATGACCGCACCTGAGGTCACAACAAACGCCTTGTATTGGTAAAAAAAAGAAAATTAAGGAAATGCAGCAGGAGTTGCGCTAATTGTTGATGCCCACATGCAATAGCGAGGACCCCAAGGACGCGAAACAGCCATGGAGCAGCTGGAGCCGGTTTCGGTATCGGTTACGGGCCAGGAGCAGCAGCAGGAGCCGCCCAGCGAACCGGCGGGCAGCCTAAACACCTTGGATGCGCAGCGCGTCTGTCGCGTTTGCCTGAAGGACGCCTCGCTGGACGGCGAGGTGCACTTCATCTTCAGCGAGGCGCCCGTCGAGGAGGACGCCAATCTGGCCCGCATCCTGGACGAGTGCACCCAGCACCGGTGCCAGCGGCACGACGGGATGCCCCCGCATATGTGCGCCACCTGCGTGGAGGCCGCGCGCCAAGCCTATCGGTTTAAGAGGCACGCGGAGCGCTCCTACTGCTCGCTGGTTGCTCTGCTGGGCCGCTCCCCCCAGCTGAAGGTGCGCGCCATCGAGGCGGCCAGCCAAACGGACCAGGTGGCCCTGATGCCCTGCGAAATGTGCCACGATCAGTTCCTCAACAGCCTGGAGCTGCGATTGCATCGCAACCAGGTGCATAGGACGACTAAGGAGGGCACCACTGGCCCGGGGACAGATGGCCAACCTGCCGAGGAGCTCAAGTGCAAATTTTGCCCCCAGCATTTCCCGCATCTCCGGCAGCTGCAGAGCCATTTGGCGCGCAGCCACGAGCAAACTGCCCGGCTGCAGTGCGCCCACTGCCAGCGCACCTTTAGCCGGCGGGATCACCTGCTGCGGCACATGCGCAACCAGCACCGAGACGTGGAGGAGGATCTGCTGCGCACCTGGCCGCCGGCCGATGAGAGCACCATGCACAGCGACGGCGGCGATGAGCTGGTCTCCGCCGAGGTGCTGCTGAACGAGGGGCAGGACGACGACGAGGAGGATGATGACGACGACGGGAGAGATGGCGTTGGCGAGGCCTTCCAGTGCAATACGAATCCCATTTCCAGCAACGACGAGGAGGAGGAGGACGCGGTGGCCAATCAGACGCTCTGGCTGCACATCAAGCCGGAGCCCTGCCTGGAGGCGGAGGAGGTGGACTTGGCCATGCAGCTGAAGCTGGAGAAGAAGCGTCGGAGGCGCGAGAAGGCGGAGGCCCAGGCGGAGGGCTCCTTGGAGCGGGCTGTGAAGGGTGGGTGGCCTGTTTATAGAGGTATCCTATCTAGAAACCATTAATAATCCCTTTGTTCCATTACCAGATGAACCCATTGCCATTGGCGACGCCCAGTTCAGCATCAAGGAGGAGAACCAGCTGGTGGGCAGCGAGGACGAGGCTCCCATGGGCGTGGAGGACTTTATGAAGCTGCACGTGAGCGGAGAATTAACTCTCAGTGACGAGGATCGGTTCGATGACTTCGTCGACGAGGATAGCGACCTGGATGACGATGAGGAGGACGACGAGGACGATGGGGAAGATGGGGAATTCCGGCTCAAGCAGGAGCCTTTGGATGGCGACAAACCCGTGAAGAAATCCAAATCGGGCAGACGTCGTCGCCGCAACAAGGGCGAGCCGAATCCCGAGAACCGCTGCGAGGTTTGCCAGCGGACCTTCTCGCGCCACTGCCACCTGCTGCGCCACAAGCTCTCGCATCTGGAGAAGAAGCCCCACAACTGCCCGCACTGCCCCAAGGCGTTTGCGCGCAGCGATCACCTCAAGGCGCATGTGCAGAGCCTGCACAGCAACAAGGAGCACAAGTGTGCGATCTGCGAGGCGGCCTTCTCCCGGCTGGACGCTTTGGAGCGTCACAAGGTTAGCAAGCACAACGGCGAGGGCCTCGAGCCGGGCAGCGAACTGAAGCTACAGCTGGCTGAGCACACGTGCGAGTACTGCTCGAAGAGATTCTCCAGCAAGACCTACCTGCGCAAGCACACGCTGCTGCATACGGACTTCCTGTACGCCTGCAAGACCTGCGAGGAGACTTTCCGCGAGCGAGCGCAGCTCAGGGAGCACGAGAAAACGCACACCGGCCAGCGCAACTTCCTCTGCTGCATCTGCGGCGACAGCTTCGCCCGGAACGACTACCTCCGCGTGCACATGCGGCGGCACAACGGCGAGAAGCCCTACAAGTGCCGCTTCTGTGTGAAGGCCTTTCCCCGCGCCACCGATCTCAAGGTCCACGAGCGGTAAGTTATTGACTTGTGTGTAAAAAATTGTATCCCACATATGTTAGAAACATAAATAACACACACATGTCATTTGTGTTATTTACACTGAGTGTTTTTTACACAGCGTGCTTTTAGCTCAATGAGTTTTTGACATTAAAGTGTCAGAATTAAATGTTAATGTTTTTTCAGGGCTCGGAATATAACACACACTGTAAAAAACTTGTGTTATTAACATGTTAAATGTCCAAGTGTTAAGTTCAAAAAATGTTATTGACTTACGTATGTTAGAAATATAAAAAACACACACATGTCATTTGCACATGTTATTTACACTAAGTGTTTTTTACGCAGCGTGTTTTTTTAACACAATGAGCTTTTGACATTAAAGTGTCAGAATTATATGTTGAACTGAAAAATGCACGTTTTTCTAGAGTATAAGAATTGTATATTATATATATATATGCTTTGAAATGGTTAAAACTAACGTATAAGATATCATGTCCCATATTGGTTTTTTTATTATCCCTTCGATTCGTGAATGTCAGTGAAATGTAATTTTCATTTGTGTTAAAAACAAAGTGTGTAAAAAATAACAAATTGTGTAAGAAACACAAGTGAGCTATGTGTGTTAACAATTATTTGTCTCATTTTAACACATTTGTATTTGACACACATGTAAAATAAAATTTGTCATGTTTTTAACATGTGTGTCGATTTTCGAACCCTGCGTTTTTTCCATCTATTTAACTGATGTCCCTTTAATTGCAGTTACCACACGGGCACCAAGCCGAATCTGTGCAATACTTGCGGCAAGAGCTTCCATCGGGCCTACAACCTGACCATCCACATGCGCACCCACACCGGCGAGCGGCCGTACAAGTGCGACCAGTGCCCCAAGAGCTTCACGCAGAGCAACGACCTCAAGGCGCACATTCGGCGGCATACGGGCGAGCGTTACAAGTGTCCGCACTGCGACGCCTACTTCCTGCAGCTGTACAATATGCGCAATCACTGTTTGAGTGCCCACAACAAGCACATCGAGACGAAGACGGGTCGTTTGCAGCGAACAGGCCTTCTAGACGACGGTGGCCAGTCGCATTTGACCACGGTGGTCATGCCGCCGGCAAGGTATCCACATGAACTGGATCCCCAGATGGCCGCCGCCGCTGCAGGTGCAGCTGGAGCTGCCGGAGGGGCTGAGAGCTCCTCCTCGACCACCGTCATCCACTCACCGGGAACGTACAATGCCCCAATGGCGCCGGGATCAGCGTCCGCTGCTCCAGCCAGCAGCCTCGATGGAGCCAGCTTCGCACCCACGGCATCGGCTCCCTTTGGCGGCTTTAATTTTCCGCCAGTCGTAATGGGTAAGTTAAAATCACTCCTGGTATTTTTATACCCGTTCCTACAAAAGCTATAAGGTTGAGATATTCGACACATATTCTAACGATTTTAAAATGTGTCCTGCGCCCACATCTTTAAAGATTTCCGAGAAGTATAAATGCAATTTTGTTGTGTACATTTATACCTATCGAAATGTAGATCAAATCGGACCATTCATTAAAAAGTTATATGCAATCAAAATTGTCTATATATCTATCTCCCTCGCAATCCCTTTAGCTGAGTTACGATTATTAGATAGTCGGGACACCAACCCGACTATAGCGTTCTCTCTTGTTCTTATTCCCAAACTAAACTATCGCTTTCCCTTTCGCTTTCAGCGCATCTCATGTACAACCACGGAGGAGGCAGCCAGCACAGCCAGAGCGGCAGCGACACGGGCAAATAGCCATCGATTATACTGCTCCTGCTCCTCATCCTCATCCAGAACACACACAACTATTCCAGTGTAGTCTTAAGCTTAACCTCTGTACATAGCCGGCGGATGGGAGAGGAAGGCCAATTGAAGGGTTCATCACGGGCGCAGGCATCCCGCATGCCGGCCATTTTAATGTGTTAATATGTATTTAATAGTCGAATAAGAACTGCTTATGTAGGCGGTTGGAACATTTTTATAAAGCTTACATCAGTGCGTATGTATATTAAAAGTAGAGCTCGCTCCCATCCCCCTAACAAGTTTCATTGATGGGCAAATAAATCATGAAAATATAGCAAAACCATCTAGAATTATATACAGTTGTGTTTTTTAATTGGTTTTACCCTAATTATATTTTATTCAAAAAAACGGGAATTATAAATGTTTTTAAAAGTTCATGCTAGTTTTCCATAATATTTGGGTGTTTCTGAGTAAAATTCCATACAAACTTGTATTTCATCACCAACGCGGTATAACTATAAAAATAAAAAACCGATGTTTGCCGACATTTGGAACTATTTGGCCTATATAATTAAACTTAACTTAATTATTTTCGCTGAAATCTGCTCGGCATTTCTAAAAATTAGTTCCTATTTTAAATAATTCTACGCTAAAGTAGAAAATTCCAAAATTATCAAGATTTCTCTGAGGGAAAACTAATTCTGAAAATTAAATCTTAAATGAGATTATGTTTTTTTTATTTTTGGAATCTTCTGTCAACTCTGTGCTTTAATTTCGATTTAGAGCGTTTTCATGAGTATATTACTTATACCAATAAAACCTATAAGTCCCCAAATTTAAGAATCCCGACATTTTTAAGATTTCTCTGATGGAAAACTATTTCTAAAAATTAAATCTTAAATGGAACTATTTTTATTATTCATGAAATCTTCTGTTTTTATGAGAATATTTTCTTGGACTTATTGTACCAATAAAAACGTTTATTTTATTTCATTATCTACTCCTAAATATTGTCAAATTTTTAATAAGTGGCCAAGGTTAAAAATTCCGAAATTTTCAAGGTTTCTCTTATGGAAAACAATTTCTAAAAATTAAATCTTAAATGGAACTAATTTTTGTCTTCATGGAATCTTTTGTTCACTAAATGCTTTAATTTTGGTTTAAAGCGTTTTCATGTGGATATTTTTTTGGACTTTTTATACCAATAAAACCGTTATTTAAATTTTATTTTCTACTCCTAAATGTTGTAAAATTTTAGATAAATCCAATACACAGACTTAGTTCAAAATAGTTAACCTACCTCTAAAAAAAAATTTCCCAAGGCAAAAGTAATGTATAATCTTGTGGTTAAGAAAAAACGCACATAATTTTTATTATGGAAACGTAAAACAGAAAATAAAGTGAAATACATTAAGCAACGCCAACTGTTAAGTAAGTAGATAGTAGGTACGTGTTAATTTCAGTTGATCCGTAGGGGAACTAGAACTGCCTGCGCGGCTGAACGACCATGAGGCTCTCCCGGGGAACCGGTAGATTCGTATTCACCACATCCGGACGCCGCTTTCGAGGAACGGCCAGTTGGTTTCCCCTGCGAGGCAGCATGGAGGAGCGGCTGCTGGGCTGAAATTCATCGTAGCTCACTCCCTGCTCGCCGGCATTCTCGTCCGTCGTGTAGTCCGTGTCGTTGGGCGCCTCCTGCTCCGAGCTCTTCGTGCGCGGCTTCTTGCTGGAGCGCGTTCCCAAGCTCCGTCGGCCCATTCCGCCGCTGCGACGCAGCGTGTTGTCCAGGACCGCGCACTCGCTTCAGCGGCGACTTGGTGGTTTTTAGGTGGTGCTGCGCCGCCGGCGAGGCCTTCATCGAGTTGAGGGCGTTCATCAGGCTGCGCTTGGCCGTCGGCGTCTTGGGTCCTTGGCTTTGCAATCCCCCGGGATTCAGGCGCTTGTGCAGATTGCCCGTGCTCTTGGTGACGTTCAGCGGACGCAGATGCTGCTGCGAGGGTGTCTTCCTCAGCGACATTGTGGAGCTGGAGAAGGTGGACATGTTGCGTAGAGTGCGCGGCGTGCGAGGAGCCGTCGCTGGTGGTCCCATTAACTTGCTGGCCGAGGCGGGCGCCTTCTTGCGCGCCGAACTCTGCTGCTTGGCCTGGCGATGCCGCTCCCAGTCGGCGGCCATCCGGTCCAGAATGTTCTCGCCATGCACCAGGAACGGGGTGTTCTCCTGCGACTCATACGCCTGCACCAGCTCGGTGATCTGCTGCTCGATCTTGGGCAGCTTCGAGGTGATGGCCTTGCGCTCCTTCTCCTCTTTGAGCAGCTGCCCGCCGCGGTTATTAAACCTATTTGGCTCGCTGGCCTTGGCCTCCAGCGCCTCCATGCGCGCCCACAGCTCCGCGCGACTCTCGTACAGATCGAAGATGTCCTTGTTGCGGTTGTAGAACGTCTTCAGGTCGTCCAGCTCCAGTTCGTGCAGCTCCAGCAGGTCCTCGTTGTACCAGTCGTTGTAGTAGTTGGAGAACCGCTTGCGCTCCTGCTGGCTTTTCAGGGTGAGGTCCCACCACTCCTTAATCTCCAGGCGCAGCTGCTCGATGAAGGTCTTGAGGTTCTGGCGCCGCAGCGCCTGGCATCGCTGCAGCTCCTCGCGCAGAATGTCGTAGGTGCGTTGCGTGTACGAGGTGGATTCCCTCACGCGACGCTTGGCGTACTCGTCCGTCTCCTGCAGTCTCTCCCAGAGGACGCCGATCTTGTCGCGCATTTCGTCGATGCGCTCGCGCAGCTCCTTCACCTGGTCGGCAAAGGACTGCTGCATGTGGCGCAGCCGCTGGAAGGCCTCCGGCGTGAGGCAGTGGTCCACCTGGTTGAGCAGCCGCTCCTCGGCCTCCGTCTGCGGCAGGCACTCGAGCAGCTTCATGTCCTGCTTGATGCTCTGGCGCAGCGCGTCCATTTCCAGCAGGCGCAGCTTGCGTTGACTGCCCAGCTGCTCCAGGCGCTGCCGGAAGGCGTCCATCTCCTCGGGCAGCGGGAGCGGATCGGCTAGCAGCGGCTGCGGCAGCTCGCCCAGCTCCTCGCAGAGCTGCTCCTGCTGGAGGAGCAGCTCGCAGATCTCCGCCCGCCGGCTGGCCAGCTCCTCGCGCAGATGCTCGATGCTCTTGTCCAGTTTCAGTTGGTAGATGACCAGCGGCATGTCGTCGGGACGCTCGCCCAGTTCGACGGGTTCGTGGAGCAGCCGCGTTAGATCGGTGGCCTCGGCGCGCAGGGCTTCTATGTCGCCCAGGATCACCTGCTGCTTCTCACCGGATTCGTTCAAGAGATCCGTGAAGAAACTGTGGACATGATCCTTCAGCCGGTGGAGGAACTCGCCGCAGGTCTTCGGCTCGAACAAGTGCGACCACATCGCGTGCAGCTGGTCCACGTGCTCGCCCGTCATCTCCAGGATCTGGGCCTTCACCGCCACGGCGCTCGGGGTGTTCATTGTCTGGATTTCTCGGTTTTCTCGGTTTTTTTCGGGGCTATTTCAATCTCTATTTGTTCAGTTCAGCATGTCTGGCTGGCGAATCGCCCACTGTGCGCGTGAGAAACTTGACTCTGATCTCAAGGAGGCTGGTAAATGGACGGGTTGTGACTGGGAATTGGGAATGCAATTTATTTAGAGTGCATCGCTGCACGAAATTAAGTACTGAATGAAGTGAATGTGATGACGCCAGACTCAAATTTCGGTAAATTCAAACTGAAATGGCGGCCGACTAAATGTTGCCACCCTGTTTTGGGACAGTGTTGGTAAGGGGCTCAGCAGAACCAGGGCTGCAGCCAAGGGAGTACCTCATATGGTAATCGATAATTAGGTACAACATGCAGTACCTAACAGGTACAATGTTATGTTTTTTTAAATTATAATTAGGGTATTTACTGAATCTCTTAACATTTATTAGTTTCCTTTGCATTTAATTTGTATTACTTGCTTGAAAAGTTAAAAAAATTAATAAATAAAAAATAACTTCAATGTTCCTGACAACACAGTTCATAAATTTTCAATTGTTTGTATGTACAAAGGGTGGACTTTTATGAGATCAGCATTTAAATTTCGATTATTAGGTACAACCATTCAGTACCTAACAGGTAAAATTTTAGGTTTTTTTTAAATTATAAGTAGGGTTTTTATGCTGAATCTGTAAATATTTTTCAGTTTTCGTTGCATTTAATTTGTTTTACTTGCTTGAAAAGATAAAAACAACCTCAATGTTCCAAAACCATACAGTTCGTAAATTTTGGAAACATTTTCAATTTTATTTAAGAGTTCAGCATTTGAAATGCTGGATTTCTGTGTGGAATAAATTTATGTGAAAACCAAACGCTCATATTTTATGTTAATTGAATTTAACACAATATTTACCATTTATTATTAGGTATTTAACTTCAAAGGTCTGGGATTTTGTGAAAAAATAAAAATGTTTTTGGTTTTAAAAAAAATAAAAAAGATAGATAAATTTGTTAGCTTTTCTCTATGAGCTATAATTACCAAGAAAAAAAAGACAGGCTAATTTGAATTAAAAATACACATTTATTATACTTAAATTTAAAAGTTTGAACCATTGCTCATTTACTCAGAAACAGTCACAGCTAAATCAAGGTGATATTTCGCGCTTTCGAAATTAGTTTTAAAAAGGTAGTCTTTTGTGTATTAAAATATCAAATTATGCGTTAATAAAAAAGCCTAAACTATAATTAAATGTGCATCTATTCTAAGTAAGTGAGAGAAATAATTCAATACTGCTAGGGAAAGAACACAGATCAGTTGCCTATGCGATTGCAATTAGATGTGATTAGGGATTAAGTCTAATAGGCGGTGTAGGGCCCCAGGCAGCCCTCATCCTCCTCCTCCTCCTCCTCGACGTTCTCGTCCGTCTCCTCGTTCTCCTCGCCGGAAGGAGGCTGCACCTGCAGCTGGGGGATCGGGCGACTCCTCTGGTTCAGATTCTTGCTACCTATGCTCGGCCTGCCGGTCGCCTTGCCACGCCGCACCGAGTACTCCAGCACGCGCACCTTCTTCTGCGGCGACTTGAGCAGCTTCTGGCCCATCGATGGCTCCGAATTGTGGCACTCCAGCGAACTGATTAGATTCCGCTTGGCCGCCGCCGCCGCTGCCGTCGGCTGGGGGCTGATCCTTCCGTGGTTGGGATGCCGCCGCTTCTGCAGGTTGCCGGTGCTCTTGGCCGCCAAACTGGCGTTCACCTTGGACGGGGTCTTCTTCAGCGAGGAGCTCGAGGATCCCTGTAAGCCCCTACTGCCGTTTTTCAAGGTATTCGGCGTTAGGGGTGCTTTCATTTTGCTGGTCGCCGCATCTTTCTTGTTAGCGGAGGGCTGCTTCTTCGACTGGCGATGCTGCTCCCAGTCCGCCGCCATGCTCTCCAGTATATCCACGCCGTTCACTAGGAACGGGGAGTGTTCCTCTACCTCGTAAACCTTCACCAGCTCGGTGATCTGCTGATCCACCTTGGGCAGCCGCGTGCTCATGGCCTTGCGCTCCTTCTCCTCTTTGAGCAGCTGACCGCCGCGATTGTTGAACCTATTCGGATCGTTGGCCTTGGCCTCCAGTGCCTCCATGCGCGCCCACAGCTCCGCGCGATTGGCATACAGCTCAAAGATTCGCCTGTTGCTATTGTAGAAGTTCTTCAGCTGCTCCAGCTCCATTTCGTGCAGCTCGAGGAGTTCTTCGCTGTGGTAATCGCAAAAGTAGCCGGTGAAGCGCCTGCGCTCCTGCTGGCTTTTAAGGGTGAGGTCCCAGTACTCCTGGATTTCCAGCCGCAGCTGCTCGATGAAGGTCTTGAGGTTCTGGCGGCGCAGCGCCTGGCATCGCTGCAGCTCCTCGCGCAGAATGTCGAAGGTGCGTTGGTCGTAGGAGGTGGATTCCCTCACGCGACGCATGGCAAATTCATCCTGCAGTTTCAATCGCTGCCAGAGGAGCTCAATCTTCCCGCGCATTTCGTCTATGCGCTGCCTTAGCTCCTTTACCTGTTCGGCCAAGGACTTTTGCATGAGGAGCAATCGCTTGAAGGATTCGGGTCGGAGGAGCACCTGGTTTACGGGGCTAAGTAGACGCTTCTCGGTGTCCGTTTGGGCATGCAGCTCGAGGATCTTCATGTCCTGCTTGATGCGCTGGCGCAACTGCTCCATTTCCTTCAAGCGAGCAGTTCGCTGACCTCTCAGCTGCTCCAGGTGATCCCGGAAAGCGTCCAGCTCCTCGGGCAGCGGCATTGGATCACTTGGCAGTGACTTTGGCCGCTCGCCCAGCTCCTCGCAGAGCTGCTGCTGCTGGCGGAGCAGCTCACAGATCTCCGCCCGCCGGCTAGACAGCTCCTGGCGCAGATGCTCGATGGTTTTGTCCAGTTTCAGCTGCCACAGGACCAAGGGCATTTCCTCTGGCCTCTCGGGCATTTCCAGGGATACGTGGAGCAGCCGCGTGAGATCAGTGGCCTCCGCCTGCAGGCCGTCTATTTCCCCGGTGATTCCCTGCTCCTTCTCGCGCGACTCCTTCAGGAGATCGGTGTAAAAGCTGTGCGCGTGATCCTTCAGTCGGATGAGGCAATCCTCGCGCGTCTGCGGCTCGAACATGCGCGACCACAGGGCGTGCAGCTCGTCCACGTGCTCGCCCGTCATCGCCAGGATCCTCGCCTTGTGCTCGCTGAAAATCATTGTCTCCTTAAACTGGCGGCTATCATGGAGCGAGTTCAAGTTAGTTAAATAATTGGATAATTCGAATTAGAAAAATGGACGCAAGTGACTCGCTGTACAACCGGTAAATTTCAAACTGTACATCAATTCGGTGCTTTTAAACACTGGTCATTTGACGGCGTTGCCATATCTGCTAGGAATCCAACTAGAGTAGGGGGATTCTTGTAGTTAATTTAAAAAATGTTTTTATATTAGTTGCTATGATTGCATTGCTTGGTTTTGAGATGGGAACCTATTTGTAAAAAATGCAGTAAATTACAATTTTTTTCTCTTTTTTTAAAGATGCTAGAGATGCGTACAAAACAAGCCAAATCATCGATACTTCCAACGGTCTGGCAACCCAGCTGGCCGATAGTATCGCTCTCTGTGCCATCTCCAATACCGATTGCATCCCTCTAAAAAATTTACACCAAACTGCGTGTGAAAAAGATCCAAAGTTTTCGCAAACCTATCGGGTGTCTATTTATTGACAGATTGACAGCTAAAAACGCGCGCGCTACGTTTTCGAGTGCGTTACAACACCGCGAATCGAACCAAAATGTTGTAAAGAGCCGCGCAGCCAGTGGACATTCGCTGTTCTACTTCTCTAAATAACACACACACACACGCACACACGCGCGCGCCGCCGAGTGTCAACAGCTGCCCTGGCGAAAAAATGTCGGACATTAAGTAAGTGGATGTGGAAAAAGTGGAAGTGGCTGCAAGTGGAATGGAATCGAATCGAATCCAAGGATCAGTTTTTGGGGCAAGGGGGCCCCCCCGAAGGGAGCATGCAAAAACAGTGGCGGGGGAGGCCTGCATGTGTATAACATTTTCGGGCTGCCTGCACTAGTCTGTGTGTGTGTGTGGGTGGAATGCCCCCGGCCAAGTGTGTGTGTGTGTGCGGCTGTGTGGGTGATTTTTTCAATGGAACCTCGAAGGAGAAAAGTCTCACCTTGGTTTTCTCCTTTCTCATTTCGCATTTCTCTTCCCCAATCTCTTCCCCCAGCGATGACCTGCTCAACTACGAGCTGGGCGACGACATCGATGACCAGGCTCTGCTCGGCGCCGACGAGGATGAGTTGCTACTCTCGGACGAAGGTTGGTAGTCCATCGCCTCCTACTCCTTTTCTTCTCCTCCTACTCCTCCTCCTATTCCTACTATTTTTCCTACTCCTTTTCCTCCTTTCATTCCTACTTCTTTTCCTACTCCTTTTCCTCCATCTGTTCCTCCTCCTATTCCTACTCCTTTTCCTGCTCTTATTCCTCCTCCTATTCCTACTTATTTTCCTCCTCCTTATCCTCCTACTACTCCTTTTCCTCCTCCTATTCCAGCTTCTTTTCCTCCTACTCCTTTTCCTCATTCTCATCATCCTCCTCCTGCTCCTTCTCATCCTCCTCCCACTTCCATTACTCTTAATTCTGATCCTCCTCCTTTTCCTCCTCCTATTCCTACTCCTTTTCTTCCTCCTTTTCCTGATCCTATTCCTACTCCTTTTCCTCCTCTTATTCCTACTCATTTTCCTTCGACTACTTTTCCTCCTCCTCTTCCTCCTTATCGTCCTCCTCCTCCTTTTCCTCTTCCTTTTCCTCCTCCTATTCCTACTCCTTTTCCTCCTTCTATTCCTACTCCTTTTCCTGCTCTTATTCCTCCTCCTATTCCTACTTATTTTCCTCCTCCTATTCCCTTTCCTCCTCCTTATCCTCCTACTAATCCTTTTCCTCCTCCTATTCCAGCTTCTTTTCCTCCTACTCCTTTTCCTCATTCTCGTCATCCTCCTCCTGCTCCTTCTCATCCTCCTCCCACTTCCATTACTCTTAATTCTGATCCTCCTCCTTTTCCTCCTCCTATTCCTACTCCTTTTCTTCCTCCTTTTCCTCCTCCTATTCTTACTCCTTTTCCTCTTCTTATTCCTACTCCTTTTCCTCCTCCTCTTCCTCCTTATCGTCCTCCTCCTTTTCCTCTTCCTATTGTTACTCCTATTCCTACTCCTTTTCCTCCTTCTATTCCTACTCCTTTTCCTCCTCCTCCCACTACTCTTAATCATGATCCTAATTTCCAACCCCCTTTTCCTTTTCCAGAGCTCGAAAAGGATGTCACCAGCGAGGTGAAGCAGCAGATGCGCGCCGAGGCCGAGGAGTGGGCCCAGGAGCAGATTCGCCAGCACGAGCGCAAGCACAAGGAGCAACTGCAGGCAGGAGCGGCTGTAGCAGCATCTGTTACTCCCACAGCGCCTGCAGCTCAGGGAACTCAGGGAGGAGCTCAGACCCCGCAACCCGAGTCCACTTCAGTCCCAGTTCCTGCGCCAGTTCATCCGCCTGCTCCTCCACCAGCCACCGCTGCAGTCAATCCACCCAGCGGCGCAGTGGAGAAGCCCAAAGAAGAGCCAGCGAATGAGGAGCAGCGGGTGGCACCCAACGATCCTCCAGCCCAGCAAGCCAAGGAGCAGGCACCAGCCGAAAGGGAACCACATCCCAACAATGGAAATGGCAATGGCAACGAGGAGGCCACCGAGAATGCGGGCAGCCAGAGCGAAGGAGAGCAGGGATTGGGCCTCTCCTCCTCCCTGCTGGCCTCCTCGCAGGAGAGCCTGCCCAGCGCCAGTTCCGCCTCGGTGATCTCCGAGCTGCCCGATCCGCGCGAGGACGAGGAGGAGCGCGAGGAGCGCACCAACTACAAGACGGCCAGCGAGCGGAGCGACAACAGCATGAGGCAGCAGCAGGAGCACGCGCACATGTCGCCCTATCAGCACCAGCAGAGGCGGCACCATGGAGGCCATGGAGGTGGGTTCAAAAGAATCCTTTGGAAACCTATAAACTAATCCTTGTATTCTTTAAATTACAGACAAACCTCGAGGAGGAGGACGCTTTATGCAGCAGCAGCAGAACCAAATGGGCAAGCCGCCGCGAGGATTGGGAACTCGCCACCACCTGCTGCGCAATCCGTCGCCCATGTTCGGCGTTCAGCAGCAGCAGCAGCAGCGCATGGGCATGGCCGGAATGCAGCCGCCGCCGCAGCAGCAGCGATACGGCATGCCGGGTAATGCTGCTCCTCCACCAGCCGCCTGCCTCCTCCCACTAACCATTCCCGTTCCCATTCCCGTTTCCCCGCTCAGCCTTTCAATGCCACCAGCTCATCCAGCTCATCCACAGCAGACCACACTGAACAATCCAACATTCATTCCAATTCCAGGCCAATATCCGCCCAGTCAGCCACCCAACCAGTCATCACAACAACAAGCACCGACCAACAACACACAACCCGCCTCTCCCCTCCACGCTCCTCCCACGCATTCGCACATGATGCACCACAGTCACAATCCAAATGGAGGCGTGCCGCCGCATCTGCTGCCCCATCCGCACGAGCAGGTGCGCGTGGGTCTGCTGCAGCCACCGCCGCTGAATGCGTACGCTCCCAATCCCGGTGGCTATCGGAATGGAGCTCTATTGGGTCCGGGACCGGGACCGGGACCTAATCCCCACCAGCAGCAGCAGCAGCCATCTGGCATGCGTCCGCCGCTCTACCGCAATGCACCGCCCGCTTATGGCTACGATCAGGGCCATCCGCCGCAGCATCCGCCGCAGTTTATGCGGCCGCACAACGGCTGGCGGCCGCAGGGCGACAATACGCGCATGCAGCGGCCACCGCTTCAAAGTCTGCCGCTCCACATGATGCCCGGCGCCCCGCCAAACTTTGCCAACGGCATGGGAATGCGCGGTCCGCCGCCGCCGCAGCAGCAGCAGCAGCAGCAACAGTCGCAACAGCCGCCGCCGCAACAGCAGCAGCCAGGACCGCAGCATCCCGGTAATCCCGGCCAGCAACAGCAACCAAATGGACCGCCGCCGCCGCAGCAGCAGCAGGGCGGCTCGTCTTCGGTGCCGCGGGTCAGCAAGGTGCTCATCAATCCGAATTTCAAGGGCGGCGTCGAGGCGGCCACCAACAAGTTCATCAAGGAGACCCACTTCATGCCCGCCATCAACAGCGATGCCGAGTTGCAGCGCCAGCAGGATGAGTTCATCAACAAGAACAGGCAGTACTTTGAGAAGCGGCGCATGGAGCGTTCGCCGCCGTCGGCGGGCTCGGGAGCCGTTGCCTCTGGTCAGGCAGGCGAGCGGAGGCGCAGCCGCAGTCGCAGTCGCTCCCGGGGACGCAGTTACTCGCCCGTGAAGCGCATGGAGAGGGAACGCGAGAGGGATCGGGAGCGAGAAAGGGAACGGGAGAGAGATCGTGACAGGGAGCGAGATCGTGAACGATACGGGGCCAATCGGGCGGCGGGAAATCGAGGATTCCGACGAGCAGCCAGCCGGGATCGAGACGAGAATCGTGGTGGGGCGAGTGCTGCAAGTGGCCAAGGAGCGGGCGGAGTGCCATCCAGTGGAGCAGCGCCACCCAAGCGACGGAGAAGTGGCTCCGGCGGACCAGGCGGCACCGCCCGCAATCCCTTCTCCGGGGAGCCACGCGGCCGAACCTCGGAAACGGGAAGCCGCAGTATGGTAGGTTATCCTAGGTCATAGATTTCTCCCAAAATTTATATTGATTTCTCTATTTCGGTTGCAGCCCAGCGACGAGGACGAGGAGACACGCAACTACCGCCTGGAGATCGAGAAGCAGAAGCAATTGCGAGAGAAGATCATGCGTGACAAGGAGTTGAAGCGTCGGCGTGCCGCCGAGGAGAAACTACACGAGGTAAGTCCCTAATTTTCTATCTTGACGGGCTTGGAGAATATTTTTAATTCGTTTTTATATCATTTGATTGCCTTGCGGGGGTAATGGGGATTTTAGGTTTACCTTATTTTTTTCAGAACCTATAAATTATATATATTCTTGATCAGCATCACTAGACGAGTCGATCTAGTCTTGTCCGTATGTTTGTCCGTCTGTCCGTCCGTTTCTATCCAAACTAGTCTCTCAGTTTTAAAGCTTTCGGGATGAAACTTTCCCAAAAGCCTATCTATTGCAGATTGCATATAAGTTGAAACCAGCCGGATCCGACATCTACATATATCGTATAGTTCCCATAGGAAGGAAAGGAAAAACAATTGGAAAAAAAAAATTATAACTTCGATTTTTTTTTGACATATGACTTCCTACTTTTGGAAATAACATTATTTTTATAATTCAGAATTTCCAATTTAATTTGATAAAAATCCGACGTTTATATTATATAGCCGCCAAATGAAGATTTTGAATTTCCCAATGGAAAATTAATTGAAAACAAATTAATGCTCCGTTGATTTTTATTGTATTCTCTTCTATTTTGGGATATGAACCTTCTTTAACATTTCAGAATTTCAAATTAAATGTAAGAATAATCGGACGAAAATATTATATAGCTGCCATAGGAAGGTTTTGGTTCTTATTATAGCTGACTGTAAATTAGTAAACGTTTTTTCAACAATTTTTAGTTTGTCGAAAATTGTAAATCTTTTTATCCTTTTAATAATAACAAAATTTTACCACTTAACTGTAGAAAGGCTACCAATTTGTTTTGTTTTAAGCAAGTGCATTTAATACTTCGGCCTTCGAAGCCAGCCTTGTTTATAATGTAGCCCATAACTGTAGCGAACCGAAAGCAAGAGAAATCCACAAACAAACTGAACTTTCTAGGAGAAACGCGCCGAACAGCACAATTCGCCAGCACGCGACGACCAGGAGGCGGTGTCGGCGGGCCAAGGATCTGCGGCGTCTACAGCGGCGGCGCCAAAGCATCGGCCTGCCCAGGCAGCCGGCGAGCGGAAGGTTATCTCGTTGAAGCGTCGCGACGACCAGGATGCGGGCAACGTTCGCAATAGGCAGGCACCTTCACAGTCGCAATCGCAATCGCAGTCCAATGCTCAGCCTACCCAGCAGCAGCCGACGGCGCGAAAGCAACTGACGGCGGCAAAGATAGCGCCAGAGGCCAAGCGCAGTATAACCGATCACCTGGCTCCCTCCTCCAAGCAGCAGCAGCATCATCATCAGCAGCAGCAGCAGCAGGTGTCTGCAGCTGTGCCGGCGAGAGCGTTGGGAGGATCTGCAAGGGGAGGCACTCCGCCGAAACCGCGCGACATGCTGCGCCTGGGCACGCCCAGCGACGATGAGGTGGAGCTGGACTACGATGACGATGACCTGCTGCTGGACGAGGAGGATCGTTTGTTGGCCACCCCTTCGCCGCCGCCGCAGAAGGCGAGCAGCAAGAGATCGGCCACGCCGGAGCTGCTGGTGGTCAAGCGGAACCACAAGGTGATGCGAGGCGGCGGCGGCAGCTCAACTTCGGCGCCCAGCTTTAGCTCCAGCCAGCGGCGGGTGGTCCTGAAGCCCACCAGCAATGGCAGCAGCAGCAGCGGCGGTGGAGATCAGCAGTCATCGCATGGCGGCAGGAGAGGAGAGAGGAGGCAGCGGGAGGAGAACGCAATGCAGCGGAAGGGAAGCGCAGGAGGAGGCGGCAGCTCGGGAACTGGAGGAGGAATCTTCGATCGGCTGGAGAAGCGGCAGGCCTCCTCGGGAGGAAGCAGCAGCGGCGGCGGGAGCGGCCACAAGCAGCGCTCCAAGGCGCCCGCACGCATCGTACTCAAGCACGATTGATAAGGATACTTAGATTTAAGCTTAAAGTTTTTTATATCGATTATCTCGACTGTGGATAAGAGATTAGCGACGTTGAGGCGGAGGCTTAGGCTTAGGAGGATAAGAGGAACTTTAGCTTTAAGTTATAAAGTTGCAACTTGTTGATCTGTAGACTTGTATACCCAACGTCTATATAAATAGCGTATGTATTTGGTGAGTATGAGTAAGGGTGTCTGCACCGTACTCTCCATACGGTACACACATTTATATATATATATATTCATTTAGCCCTAAGTGTACAAATCTTATCAATGACTAAAACGTGCTTCGTTTTCTTAACCGCAATTTGTATTTAAATTTAGAACTAAGTGGGATGCTTAAAGCTTGACCTGGACAACAAAACAATTACCACAACTGTAGCGAACACAACTGGAACTCAAAAATTCAGTTATGTGTGCTTGCATATAGCCTATGTAATCCATTGAATATATATTTACACAATTATATATATTAATTATAAATACTTCAAATTAGTCTTAAGTTTAACGAGCTGAGTGTCTTGCTTTTTTACGATGACGGTTCTAAAAGATTTTATTGAAAGTAAAGAGGAGAAAATCCAAACATTGACAAGCGCAAATGCTCCTGAGGAATTTAACTTGTATTTAAATTATGACCCCGACCTGGTTATGTTTTTTTTTTTGAATTATTTTTTACATTGTGTCCCGTTGTTTGTAAATGAAATGTATTGTCTGTCTCATTGTGTTCTTTCCTGTAACTACTATAAACTATTTACAAAACTATGTTTGCTTGTGAACTAGTTTAACCAATAAACTTGAAATATTGTAGCATATTACATATATGTACACTGAAAGCAATACCATAATGGCCTGATAAAACGCAGACACATAGAATGGTAACCGACAGCTGGGAATGCAGAAAGATCAAACCATATAGTAGCGTAGCGTATAAACTACCACATACCCTACATAACAAACGGGCCAGTTCGAGAGTAATCAGCGGAAGAAAATCTTTGTGGGTCTACCGCATAATTGATAATTGATTTATAACCTAGCCATTAAGTAAATGTACATACCACACACTCACACACGATATTCGCTTAGCCACATTTATGTAATCGTAACACAGCTGAGAACATTATCCGATCTAGAACAAGAGCCATAACTCCATTAAGATTATTCGCATCTAAACTTATGCGAAATGCCTAGACTAAAGAGATTGTTAAATTATTGCCACTCCCACTAAAGAATACTACATACTTAAATCCTCGAAAGATCTGCAAAAGAACCTTTGTAATTGGACAACAACATATTTAGCAAGCGTTGTACTTGAAAATAATGTCTAGGAACTCCAATTGTATTGATAAGCTCATTAATATGTTAATATGAGTCATTTGTATTGTAACTAAGCTAACTAGTTAAAGAAAGGCCTAAACCTATATGACATACAATGTACTAAAACCGCTCTATTGTAATCGAATCGAATCCCAAATGCACTAGCATCTGATTTGGTCGAAGCAAGTCCTCACTTGAGCTCGACTTTGCATCAACGTAATTGTAACTTTTATTCATGTGACAACACATAGAGATATAATTGTAACTATTCTATGTGAAACCTGTAATTGTTGAGGGTCGCAACGCTAGAAAATGATAAGATTCAAATGGAAGCGCATAAAAAGTCGTATATGCCTAGGTATACGTATAACTCTAGTAATCTTAATGCTACACAATATGATAATATATGGACTAATAAAAAACAATTATACTACGTGCACACATACAATCGTGCGGCAGCATAACTGTATAAACATCTAAAGTTATTCCAAGTGATTTTAGCTTTTTAAGAACCAAGTCGAAACAAACCGATCAACAACAAACTCAACACCCGTAGCGGAATACACAAAAATAGCTAAAACTTATAACAAACAAAAATGATTCCAATCAGCAAATCCGAGTCTGTGATTATTTTTATATTATTCTTATTATTATGCATAAACTATATTACTATATAACAACTATTCATTATGCCCAACTTCCCTAACACAATTTGTTTACCCGCCCCGACATTTTTGATTTCTTATTTTGTACACCTCAATTAAATACTAGAATTAAGCGCTAGATAAATCGGTTTGCAGCCAGGCCACCACTCCATTCCCAGTCAGACTAAGAGGGATTAATTTATGTGTGATATAAAGTACTGTAACGATATTTTGGGGGGATGGAGTGGAGTGTGTGGACTGTTGTGATCAACGCCTATTAATGTATAAGTCCATTTTTTTCGGCACTAGTTGCAACGCCGGTCCTACAAAACCACACAAGACAACACCTAACATTCCTCGCATTTTCCCAGCTTACTTTTCAGTTCGAATCGCAAATACATTTTACCTATGTGTATAGTTAAGGCCAACTAGCAGAAATGCAAACACTATTCGATGTTAGTTATGTATACCTAGAAAGTTACTCTCTATGTGTGCACGAACCTATCCGTAAATATTTATTATAATTTTAAGCATTTTGAACGATATCTCTGTTTCTACACAAAAACACGCCTATAGTTTTTTGTTTTGTTAGTCCTAGACCAATTGTTTGATTTTGTTATAGTTTGTAACTTATATTTCGCCCCCAAGTTTTCCGTTTTTGTTACCGAACCAAACTTGCCATTTACCATCCCATCCCACCCCATGATACACCTATTTATACATATTAACCATCATTTTAAATTAACCTATAAATGTCAATGGAACTTTTTTCGCTGGCAACGCAACTGTACCCCCAATATTCCCAAAATCCCCCCTTTCGCAGTCTTTTCCATTGTCACCTATCTCTTTCTCTTACACCTATCTCCTTCTCTTAACGCCGAAATCACTCTCTCTCTCTCTCGCTCTGTCTCACCTTGCACATGCATTAGAGCAGAGCAGAGTCCCAGATATTAACCCTAATTGTAATCATATATAAAACCTATACCTAATTTTCTTTCAGCACTATTCTTTGTACAAATCGAAAGAAAAAATTGACAAAAAAGAACGTACAAAAAAATAATCAAATGAAACCAAAAGAATGAGAAAAAAAGAGAAAAATAAGAAAATATTTAGATTAGGCGAGGTGCCATTTGACGAGGGAAGCTCCGCGGGCAGCTCGCCAAAGAACTTTTGAAGAAGACTAAATAAACTGATATATACACGAATACAAGATATATATAGCGACCCAGTCCTGTATATATTTGTATATGTATATTTTTTACAGAATTCAAACCGAAACTGTCTTTCAATGGGGGGGTTATACACTTTTGTGCCCATGGCATTGTCTCTGGCAACGATCTATGCCTTGCCCACGCCTTGACTTTAGATTTATGGATATGTCATGCATCTTCCAATTATTCATTGTTTCGCTTTCAATCGAAATGAATGAGAACTGGAACCCATCGTTGGAGATGTCGAATCTAGTTATTCACGAGACTCATCTAATCAATTGCAGCTGATTCATTTCGGGCCGATCCTTATTCGAAGCGACGGCGGGGACCTCTTCACCTTTGGAATTAAATATATAATAATCCCTGTTTAAATGGACTGCTCTACAAAGTAGGCAATAGTAAATAAAGGGTCGTGGCGAAATCGTACTTTAGAACCCATCCCCATTTATTAAATTTTCCAAAAGGATACATTTTTACAAAAAACTTAAATTACCCAAGCAAAATGTGAGACAAAGATAAAAAATTATTGGCTTGAAGAAGAATACAAAATCGAATACCATTATTGAATAAAATATTTATTTATTTATATAAAGCAAACTTAAAGTTAAAACTATAAGTTTACTGAGATTAAGAGCTCTAGCAGCTAAGGCCTTCAGCTCGTCTGAGGTGTTAATTTAGATACATTTATATTTTTATTATTTGAATTGAATAATATATAATATCAAAGCTTTAAAGATTTTCAATCAAAGTGTTCGATTTTAGAAAACTTGATTTTTGGAAAACAAAATTACTAAACCACTGGTTTAGTTTCATATAAGTTTAATAATCAAGATTGTATTTTAGCTATGAAGAAAAAAAAGTTTAATTGCCTATACATAAATATGTATTTATTTTCCATTAAATCTTGCTTTCAATTTTGATTTTATTTTTGTGATATTTCGACTTAAAAATGAATAATTTTGGACTGCTGATCAAATCACCATAGTTTCTTGGACTAAAGTACTAATGCCAAGGTCGGGATCGTAGAGATCAGAGCCATGAGGGTGGTCACCGCTTTAGCGAGGGATTTGGCTTTGGGGGTTCGCACAATGCACACGGATAATCGTGTGAAGTATTCTTGGTCTTGGCTGATGGTAATATGCAATTATGCAAAGTGCAAGTTCAACGGAAAAGGCCATGGTTTTGTTTCGTTCGTTTTGTTTTGTTTTGCTTTGCTGGGTTTTTGTTGTCGCCTCCATTGTCTCCAGGTCTGAGATTTGTGGCTCTGCGGCGGGGTGGCCACCCACTTCCACCCACTCCTTCTATAAGTCGCCAAGTTCCCATCATCGCAATCATAATTTTCAGCTTCATTTGCTCGGTGTACCTTGCTTGCGGTTTTCGTTTCATTTGGATCGTTTTAGTTTTCTGACTTTTTTAGCTAACCGACCCGTTGTTCAATTATAATTAAATCTGTTTGTAAATATAATTGGTGGGCGTGCGACTGACTGGCATGAATGATGCAAGATTGCTGTTGCCGCTGAGCGTGATTTGCTTTTGCAAATTAGAACAACGAATAATGGCAACGCCCCAGGAAAATGTTGGCTGTCTAATCTTGGGTTTGGTTCTTCCCTTCAAACGCACCGCAAAAAAAAAGTTCAGATGCTTTAGGATCTATGGGCTTAGTGGGTGAACAACCAACATAGTTATAGGTATGTATATTCAAGGGAGTTAATTTATTATCCCTTTTTGGAATCACGTAACATATTTTAATTTTATATTTATAATATTATAATTTAAATAAGCTCTCAACAAGGATTTTTCGAGATTTTTCACTCCATCAAAGCTGATAGAATCCCTTAATAAAATATGTGAAAGTATTTTTTCCTGTGCGGTTTTAAGTGCCAGCCTCTTTTTGATTACCCATACGCCGCGTATGTGCGGATCCCAAGAAATGGTGCTTTTGGCTTGGAGGCTACCACTTACCGAGAGATTCACGGGCTGCCCGTGTAATAGGCTTTTAGGCCTCGGCATTAAAGAATCATTGTCTCAGTACTGGGGCCTAAAAAACTCCCAGGCCATCGCCAAAGTGCACCCATGGCCAAGTCAAGTCATCGCTGTCGTTGCCTCAGAGCTTCCAGTCAGTTAACACTTTTCACATGCCCGGCGGGTCGAACAATGTGGCCCCACTCATATGGGGGCGTTATGACAACCGTACATACAATGTACCCACCTATATACAACCGCAACATCGACAACTATTTTGACATATTTTTTACTATTGGCACACGCGTATCACAGGTAGAAAAACAATCTGATATTATTACAGGTCCTTAGTTTTATTGGATGATACAGATGGTATACTTGGTTAATTAGAGAACATTTTTATAGTCCTGATTTTAAGAGCTTCCTAATTTTTGACAACTTTTAGCTAGCAGTCCATTCAACCCATCCAAAATCCGAACCGTTATTTTTTTTCAAAAATGTGTCACCGGTGGAAAGTGGAATGGGTATACTTACTGAGATTTAGACGGAGTGCTAACCCCTAACAATTGTGCCCTTTGTTGGCGAAAATCAAACATTTAGATCCGCCTGGGTTTCTCTTTAATGCTTCGTAAGATATTTCAGTTGGCAAAAATAAGACCTGGAAAGTGAAAACCCAGCTCGAAACTTACCCCACCGAATTGCGCCGAGACTGGCGAAATGAATCACGTACTAGCCTCAATATTTATCTAACTAAATCGTTTCAACTGGACTCGGATGATCGGTGCCTTTTTTTTCGTTTTCGTATTTGTGTGGCTATTTTGTGTTTTATGTTGGCCAATTACCAGTTTCAGGGTCAAGTTAATGATTCAATTAGCATTTGTCATCAGTGTTATTGTTTCTCCTGTGCTGTGTGATATAATTGATCCCCAGATCGTGGGAACATTTATAATGATGTGTGATCAGTCACACGCCCTTCTAATATATAGATCATTTACATGGTTATTTTAAATATATTAAAGTGCTGACTGGTAGTTCAGAAACGAAATTTTATGTCCAGTTATCGGTTCCAAGATTATTTCTTTCTTATCTTCAGTGGTGTCAATACATATATTAAATTTATAATAAATTATAAGGGTGTAACATAAATGTATTAATTATCCTGCAAAATGTAGTAGAAATATTTAAAAAAGGAACATTTCGGAAGTTCTTCACTTTTTCTCATATTATATTTATTATCCCTCGAATTTAGGAAAGTTGCAGCCTGTGTCATAGCTTAATATCTCGAATAATCATATTTATTTTATAAGATCTATTTATGTAACAATATAAGTGCATGTGATGGTTTTAACATACGTTTATCTATAAGTACAGGTAAAATAGTCCTAATCAAAATATCCCCTCCTTCTTCAGCATGTTAAATGTAAAGTAGGGATAAAACCTAAAAATCGTATTCGTAAATCTTAAAATATTTCCGATAGCTATCTAAATAAAATCTGTATAAAATCGTAATCTTTATAATGATGATATTAACGTCGTTTAAGACCCTTCACCATATAATTTGACCAGTGGCTCGTGGCATGCGTCATAAGTGGCAAAACAAAACAAATCTATGAGATGCAGCAGTGGTCTGAGCCACTGGGCTCCAACTTCGCTGGGATTGGAATTGGGTTCGTTGCTTGGCGGGTATAAAAGCGACTGCTGGGCCGGCAGTGGAATCATTAGACAAGTGTCGAACGGCGCGTGCGCAACAGAGTCTTAGAGGAGCAGTTAGCCACCAGCGATTAGTGAACACCACAAACAGGCGACCACAACATGAAGTGCTTTGTAAGGAGTCGCCGAAGGATCAATTTTGGATTATACCCTCTGACCAAATCATTACCATACAAAAATTAAAAAAAAATGTTTCTTAAAGTGATCCAAAGTTTTAAAACAATACTATTTGAAATGAATTGCTATAAAGTGTGTTTTTAAAGTTTAAAAAATATAGTTTTTTTTTAAATTTGTAAATGAAGTGTAGAATGTGTACTAAAAATACTTGAGGACACAGAGTTGCTTGGTCAATTTTTTTTTCATCTTTACTAAGTTTTAAGATATTTCAAAAATGATATTCCTATTTTTTTGTAAAGTGCCGAATTCAAAACATTCTTAAAAACCAACATTGTTGATATCGGGTTTTTTTCCACCAATTCAAAAGGCATGTAAAATCGATATGACCATGTACATTTCAGGTCAGGCAAAACCCATATCGTTTTTACATGAAATACTTTTTTCGACCAGGTCTAATTTACCTGACCACATATCAAATTAAAATTGATCTTAATTTAATGTAAAATCGATCTACGTTTCATATCGATTTGTAAATTTGATCCCTTTCTCCACGTACAGTTCATCCTGATAGCGACGAGCCTGGTGCTCGGTGCCTGGGCCCAGGACGCGGCGGAGTCCGACCTGGAGCAGGTGGCCTCGGCATCGGCTCCGGAGGCGGTGGCAGTGGAGGATCAGGTGAGCGCCGCCAGCAGCTATGCGCCGCTGCAGGATAAGAAGCAGGAGAAGCGATATGTTGGTGGATACGGTGGCTACGGGGCAGGATACGGCGGCTACGGAGGAGCTGGATACGGAGCAGGATATGGGGCAGGATACGGGGGCTATGGCTCTGGCCTGGCAGCCGGTTACGGAGGAGCCTACGGCAGTGGCGTCGGAGTGGACGGCTACTACAACCCGTACGGCTCGCGATCTCTGGGTGGACTAGGTGAGGGTGAGCCTGGGTGGGAGGTTAGTTAATTAGCCCCTTAAATTAATCCTAATCCTCCCCAGATGGCGCCGGCTATGGAGGCTATGGATCCGCTCTCGGTGGCTATGGATCGGGACTGGGCGGCTATGGCTCTGCCCTGGGCGGCGGCTATGGATCGGGACTGGGAGGCTATGCTGGCTCCTACAACTCGAATCCCTATGCGCTGTCCTACTACAACAGCAGACTGGGCGCCGGAGCCGGCACTGGTTATCCGTACTACAACACGCGGTTCGGCGCCGGAGGATACCCGTCCAGCTACTACACGAGCAACTACGGCAACAGCGTGGTGGGCGGTGGCCTGGGCGCCCTGGGCGGAGTGCCGCCCATCGGATCGGGGTACAACTACGGATCCGGCATCTCGGGCACCGTCTACTAGAAGGAGCTGGGGAGCTGTCGACGCAACGTTCAAGATCTAAGCTAGTGGAATTTATTTTTTTTCTTCGATAACTTTATTTTTTTCTAACTTTATTTTTATTAAAAGATGCTATAAAACAAAAAAAAATTGCATTTAAATTTATTTGGAAATATGGAATTTATATGGAGTATGGAATTTATTTTTTTCCTCCGAAATCTTTATTTTTTCTAACTTTATTTTTATTAAAAGATTCTATAAAACAAAAAAAGTCAATATATAATTGGAATGGAACAATATGGAATTTATTCCTTTTCTTCGATTACTTTATTTGATTCTAACTTTATTTTTTATTAAAATATACTATAAAACAAAACAAAATCACATATAAATTTATTTGAAATTATGGAGGTTATATGGAATATGGAATTTTTTCTTTTTCTTTAATAACTTTATTTTTATTACAAGATGCTATAAAACAAAAAAAATCAAGGGTCAAATTTATTTGGAATTATAGAATTTATATGAGAATATAGCATTTTTTTTCTAACTTTAATTTTCTTTAAAGATGCTATAAAACAAAAAAAGTCACATATAAATTTAATTGAAATTATGAAATTTATTTTTTTGTTCGATAACTTTATTATTTTCTAACTTTATTTTTATTAAAATGTGCTATAAAACAAAACAGATCATATATAAGTCAGTTTTAAGTAGAGAGTATCGGTATTTAATCTCATTGGGGAGGCGGATAGGAGCCATGCTTGTCCTTGATCACCCAGAAGGAGTCCACAATGGCGCCGTCCTGGTCGTCGGACACTTGCTCGAAGTGAAGATGGGTGCCGTTGTGGGCCTTCAAACGGGTGTAGCCGTAGTCCTGCAAGAGATTATAGGTGATAGGTTATTAAGGTCTTCAAAATTCCCCATCTTAACTAAATTACATTGCTGTGATAGGCATTCCAGGCGGGCAGATCGTGCGAGAAGGGCTCCCGCTGCTCACTGCAGCCGGCGGATCCGGTGATGATCTGGATCGGAGCCCTGGGATTCGTGTACGGCGCCTCCGCACTGCCATTGTAGACCTTGTAGTCGTAGATGGGCCAGAGGCGTGTGTAGAAGTGCTCGTGCGCAAAGAACTCCACATCGACGCCGTGCTTGAAGAACAGATCCTCCAATCCGAACCACTTGAGCATGGGCAGACCCTGCCGTATGTACGTCTCCAGCTGGGCATTGCAATCGTACTCCTTGTCATCGCTGCAGTACATCGGTCGGTGGCCGTAGGTGATGATCCACGGCCGCTTGGCCCGATTCTCGGGCAGATTGGCCTCGGCGAGGTCGCGTTCCAGCCACTCGAACTGCTTGGTCAGCAGCTTGAAGCCGTAGCCGAGGAAGTAGTAGACCTCCGTGGAGAAGGAGACGAAGTGCACGGGTCCCAAATTGAAGCTGTACCACAGGCTGTCCGTTTCGCCGGGCATATTGAAGCGGGCACGATAGTTGGAGAAGTTGCTGTGCGGAGATAGAAAATCGTATGATACAGATACAGGAATCTTCTCAGGGCTCCCTCCACTACTCACTACTTCTCCTCGTGATTCCCGGGACAGACCATGTAGGGCACATAGGCGGCCACCGATTCGATTTGCCGCATAAAGGCATCGCCCACGGCCGCATTTTCGGTGTCCATGTCGTAGGCAAAGTCACCCACATGGATGATGGCATCGTACATCCCGAGCTCCGTGTCCCGCTGCAGTCGGCCCATCGACTGGGCATTCTCGTTGCCCATGTCACCGAAAATGGCCAGCGAGGGCGACCAGTTCTCGCCCGGCGGCGGCGTCCTAAAGCTGAACACCGCCGACCAACCGAGGGGACTGCCGCATGAGTACTGGTACCAGGTGGCCGGATCCAGATCCTTCAGCTCCGCCGTGTGTATGTACTGGCTGCGAGCCTTCTTGCCGCCGTCCACGAATCGCTGCCAGGTGCCGTTCACCGTGATCTGCTTGTCGCCGAGATGGTTCTGGGCGTACCTCACCACCGAGGCGTTGGGGGAGCTGCGCGTCGACCAGGTCACCACAATGTCACGGAGGTTATCTGTAACAAAATTCAGCAATGGGAATTATAGTTTCGTCTATTTATATGCTATTTTTTTTTATCCCCAATCTTCATATTAATTGTATATCCCAAAACAAGAATTGTTGAATTGAATTCCATTATTTGCCCATAACTTTTTAATAAATGGTCCGATTTGACAAATTTCTTCTACATTTTGAAAGCTATTAATAAAAACAACAAAATTGCATTTAAAAAGGTCAAAGGTCGTTTAAGGCGAATGTGGGCGTGGCGCTCGACTGAAATAAACTTGAGCTGCGTAGGAAGCCCAATAACATATGTGGCTAATCCCAACTTTCTAGCTTTTGTAGTTTCCGAGTTATCAGCGTTCATACAGAAGAATATTAGTATATATATAACTGTTACATACTTTCCGACCAATACAACATACTTCACTCAACGAGTATCTGTAGTAACTATAGGTATATTTAATTCTTAAGATTATAAAAATCCAAAATGCCACATTCTCATAATCATTGTCACTCATCGGTGGCCTAATTTATTTGTGTATATTGCGGTTACATTTAGTAATATGTTTATAGTCATGGGTATTATGTATACGTTTTAAAAGATATATAGTTATGGCTAAGTACTTCTAATACAGTTGCTTGGTTGCTTGTGTCCGACTTAAAAATACTTCAGCATAGATTGTGGTAAATATCACAAGTTTTCAGTTGAGATCGTTAGTGGAAATGGGATCGTACGGTCCATGCTTGTTCTTGATCACCCAAAAGCGATCGATGACCTCGCCCTTCTTGTCATCGGACACCTGCTCAAAGTACAGATGGGTGCGGTTGTGGGCCTTCAGCCGGAGATAGCCGAAGTCCTGGCTGTGAAAGGCACTCCACGGGGGCATGCGCTTCAAGAATGGCTCCCTGCCCTCGTGATTGCCAGCGGCCCCCGAAATAATGTGAATCGGGGCACCGGGATTCACATACGGCTCCGCCAGCGATCCATTGAACACCGTATAGTTGTACATTGGCCACATGCGCTCGTAGCAATGCTCGTGGGCCCACAACTCCACATCCACGCCGTACTGATAGAACAGCGGCTCCAGTCCAAAGAAATCCAGCATGGGCAGTCCCTTGCGGACGATGGTCTCGTGATTGGCACAGTCGTCGTCGTTGTCATTGCTGCAGTACATGGGCCGATGGCCATAGGTGATGATCCACGGGCGCTTCTTCCGGTTCTCCGGCTTGTTCGCCTCGATCAGATCCCGCTCCAGCCAGTCGTACTGCATCACAATCTGCTTGATCCCGAACTGCGTGAAGTAGTAGACCTCCGTGCTGAAGCCGATGAAGTGCACCGGTCCCAGGTCGAAGCTGTAGAACATGTTCTGTGATCCGCCCGGCATGCTGAAGCGATTAATGTAGTGCGAGAAGTTGCTGTGGGATCAAACGGGAAAATCCTACTATTAGACTTTCTGGGCACAAGACAGATTCACGAAAATCGTTACTAAACTTGAAAGTTACCTATCTTTTAAATAGCACATATTAATGTCTATACTATAATGTTTTTAACATATTTTTAAATACATTTAAATAAGAAAGATCGCTTTATTCGAGTAACTAGCCTATCAACTACCCTGAAGTGCGAAAGAGATGGATTTATGCAAGCAGTAAAGCAAGCAGTTGCTTGGTAGGCTCGGAAAATGCTCATTATTTGTTCATAACTTTTTAGTCAATGGTCCGTATTAAAAAGTTCTTTTACTTTTCGATGGGTATTAATAATTTCTACAAAATAGTATTAACACTTTTACAAAATCTGTAAAGGTTTATATACTTTAAAGGATCGGTAATAATTTCGTCTAACTGTTACTTACTTTCTTATATAATATAAACTTTTGCTCTACAAGTTACGAATATAATAAAAATTTCAAAATTAACTAGCTCGAAGTTTAAAATATTTAAAATATTAGTTAAAATCTCAAGGCAAAAGGCATTTCTAGAATTTTGTAACAACTTCCTTGGTTTTTAATAGACCACTTACTACTTCTCCTCGTGGTTGCCCACGCACACCATATAGGGCACATAGGCGGCTATGGTCTCCACCTGGCGCATAAACTCGTCGCCCACCTCCCCGTTCTCCCAGTCCATGTCGTAGGCGAAGTCTCCCACGTGGATGATGGCGTCGTACTGGCCAATCTGCGTTTCGCGTTGCAGCGCCGGAAGGGAGGCGGCATTGACCACGCCCATGTCCCCGTAGATGGCCAACGTGGGCGACCAGTCGCTGTGCTCGAATCGTGTCCGGAACCAATAGGTGGCGGACCAGCCCAACTCACTGCCGCAGTGGTACAAGTAGGTGGTGTTCGGCTTCAGGTGCGCCAGCGTCACCTGCGATCGGATAAGTTCAGGTTTGATGTTAAGATTGGGGGTGGTGTTCCTAGTGGAGCCCTCAAGACCTTAAGATCTTATGTTTCGAATGTCTTATATTAACTGATTAAAAGTTATTGAGAAAAAAAACAGCAGTCGGAAAATGATGATCATTAATTTAAAATTGAAATAAAAATATTTGTTATTTAATTTGAAGAACCACCAAGTGGCGATATTGATAAAGATATTAGATATTAATGCTTGATATATGAATTGAAAATTTCTCTATAACAAAAAAGGTTGTATATACAGACAATCTATGGATAATATTTTTGATACGTTAAATATGTTAACCTTTTAAATATTTCTCTTGCTCAAGTTAAATTTTAAGCGAACTATATCGAAACATATGAAACAATCTGAGGGCTCTTGGGTGCGAAGTTACTCACGCGATGAATGTATTGAGTGGCCTTTTCGGCTCCGCCGTCCACAAACTTCGTGGGCATCTTGGTCGCCTTCACTCGCTGTTGCAGTCCTTCGATGCCGAACTCGCAAATCGATTCGTTGGTGTTGTCGCGGGTGTTCCAGGTGACGACCATGTCGAGCACGCTTTCTGCAGGAGCACACTGATTAACTTGGGGATTCAACACTATGGATGCCACGTATTTACAACCATTTATTGCCACCAAAGGCGCCACAAATTAATATGATACCGTAAAAAGTGCGAATTACATTGTAGCTACTGAATTGGAAATATTATCTAAATTAAGAAAATCTTAAAATATACTTTTGCCCACGCAATTAAAACAATTAAAGGTTCAAGACATTTATTGCGAAGATGACACGTGTTTAAATACATTCAGTGTACATGGACTTATAAAACACCTGGTACTCGGATCTGAATAGAAAGCAGTGGAATACTTGAATACTTTTTGTATAAAAAAGCAAAACATAAAAGATATATTAATCATCATCCATTTCCTTAATCATTGTGATACCAAGTTTATTTAAACGGAAATGATTAAAACAATGGAATAATATTAAAAGTTCATAAAAAGGCAAGGTCCCTTAAGTTCCCAAACCATGGAAAAACAATGTAACCTCTGTAATGTTAAGATAGAACATTGTTTTAGAACAATCGATTGTAGGATATAAACCCTTTTAAAGTGATTTAAAATGGAAATGATCAAATCTAAGGAATAATATTAAAAGTTCATAAAAAGGCAAGGTCCCTTAAGGTCCCGAACCATGGAAAAACAATCGAACCTCTGTAAAGTTAAGATATAACATTGTTTTAGAACAATCAATTGTAGGATAAAAACCCTTTTAAATATATTATTAATAAATCTAAATCACTTCCACCATGCAGAAACCGAGTAACCGATGTAAAACAGAGTGAAGCCTAAGAATAAATTCAAAGATCTCCGCAACTGCTCGTTTTAAATGCTGGGATTGTAAAATTGGCTAAGTAAAAAACAGTAGTTTGTTTCGTGTCTGGGGCTGAGATATTCCGATAGGAAGGCTTATTGCTATAGTTTTGTGATCGATTCAGGTGCGAATGCGAATGTGCGCTACTAATACTGCCAGTTGCTATTGATGCGTGATGTTGCCTGGAGACTCCTTTAGCTTTGGATTGATTCGAATCAGATTAGAGTGTGTTTAATTCTGGTAGCTGCCGTGCTTGGATTTCACCAGCCAAAATTCATCGATGATGGCGCCGTTCTGGTCGTCCGACACCTGTTCAAAGTGCAGGTGAGTGCGATTGTGGGCCTTGAGCCGCGTATAGCCGTAATCCTGACTGTGAAAGGCGCTCCACTCGGGAATCTTGCCCTTGAACGGCTCCCTGCCCTCCTTGCAGCCGGCGGATCCGGTGACGATGTGCACCGGAGCACGTGGATCCTCGTACGGCGAGTCCTTCTTCAGCGTTCCATTGCGCACCTCGTAATCGTAGATGGGCCAGAGTCGCTCGTACGAGTGCTCGTGCGCCCAGATGGCCACGTCCACGCCGAACTCGTAGAGCAGCGGCTCCAGTCCAAACATGTGGACGAAGGGCCATCCGACGCGAGTGAGCGTCTCCGAGTGGGTGCAGTCGTTGTCGTTCTCGTTGCTGCAGTACATGGGCCGATGGCCATAGATGATGATCCAGGGACGCTTGGCTCGATTCGCTGGCAGATTGGCCTTGGCCAGATCCTCGCGCAGCCAGTCGAATTGGAAGACCAGCGGCTTGAGTCCGTAGTTGAGAAAGTAGTAGACCTCCGTGCTGATGGCCACAAAGTGAACTGGTCCCAGGTCGAAGCTGTAGAACAGGTTCTCCGTGCCTCCCGGCATGCTGAAGCGGGCCCGATAGTTCGAGAAATTGCTACAACACATTAACGATTAGAGCCTGCTCTCCTGGGAACCCCATTCTCCTACTCACAACTTCTCCTCGTGGTTGCCGGGCACCACCATGTACGGCAGATAGGCGGCCACCGTCTCGATTTGACGCATAAACTCATCACCCACGCGCGCATTGTGCGAGTTCATGTCGTAGGCAAAGTCACCCACATGGATGATGGCATCGTACATGCCGCGCTGCGTCTCCTCCTGCAATCGGGCCAGGGACTGGGCATTCTCGTTGCCCATATCCCCGTAGATGGCCAGCGATGGCGACCAGTCGGAGGATTCAGAGGGAACCGTGCGGAACTGGAATATCGCCGACCAGCCAAGGGCACTGCCGCAATGGTAGGCATACGTGGCATTCGGTTCTAGATCCCTAAGCGTCACCTAAGCGGGGTAAAACGGTGAGTTCTTTTCTTTCTCTGATTTCTCGAAGCTGATTTTGGAGTGGGTCGATTTAATGGTTGTATAAACGGATATGCAATGCAATCTTTTGAAAACTTTTTCTAAAACAATCTTGGAAAATAGTTGGAAAACCAATTATACTTCTCTAATTCATGGTTTAAATGGCAACCTAGTTTTTTTATCTATCAACAACTTCTAAGTTTGTAATCTCTAGACTTTAAAGCAAAATAAACATTGGTTCTATAATTTTTTTATTGACATTAATTGTGCTGTAGTGCCTATTTATTTTAATGAAATGAATTCCTTTATTTTAATACCACTTGTTTCTTAGAAAATTCTTCGAATTTAGTTGGAAAACCTATTCTAGTACTCTAACATTTTAAATGACAGCCTACTTTAATATCAACAATTTCTAATATTGTTAAGCTGTTCTTTAATCTCTAGATTTTCAAGCAAAATAAATATTTTTATTAAAAGAAATGCAAAATAAATCGACCTATTGTTCGTTAAAAAAAAGTTAAGTTGTAGCAAATGAATACCTAGAGCAAAACCACTGTTTGTAATGTACAAACTGACGAATTTATCTTCTGTGTGTCCAAGATAAGTAAACAGAACGTAAAGTGAAAACACAAAACAATTACCTAATATATAACTAAAAATGGTCCTTCAAACCGGATTGCATTCCCTCCACTTTCCCATAAATCGACCTACTCAAATCGGTTGGCATCTCCGGCATACCCTGTGGATGAACTGCGTGGCCTGCTTGTGGCCGCCGTCCACGAACTTGGTGGCCGAGCCACTGGCCTGTTGGGTGAGCCTGGCCTGTCCGGCCACCAGCTGGCCGTACTCCACCACGCTGGGCGCACCCACTTCCTGATCCGGCGGCAGGCTGCGCGTGGACCAAGTGACGACTATCTCGCTATCGGTGTGTTCTGGTCCAGAGCAAAGCGGATGTCGGGCAACGGGGGAGCGGAAAAGAAAAACAAACTTGAGCTATTTCGGTTTGCCAAAAGTGGGTGCGAATCAAATAAAGGGAAGAAAGTAATCTGCTCTACGGTTTCAAACAAATTTGGCATAAATACTGATTAATTTTACCGATCAAACAACAATATTTGTAAATTCAATCAAAAATTCTATGTAAAAGAAATGTTTATTTAGTTATCCAATCAATTAATTAAGCTTTTTAAAAACCTTGTTTCAAGTAGATTCTGCCAAATTGGTCTTGAGTTTGCAACGGGAGCGGGGTCGTAAAAACATTTATGAACAAATGTTATTGTTGAATAATCTATTATTTTTGCTTTGATGCGAGGCTCTTTTGTTTTTGTTTTTGTTTTCTTATCGCTTCCCCAGAAGAAATTAGAACACAAAGCACAAATGGTCGAGTGACGATCGCCCTTATCGGAAAATGAGGCCCCACAGGGAGGCAAAGTCTATGACTCTTTCGAATGCATTTCAGGGTTTATAAGTTTGCAATGTCCATGTTATCGTAGAACATAGCTGCACCAGATAATGGGGATTAACGCGATTTTGGGGGGAGTCACCTGATTACGAAAATGCTGCCAAAGCGGCTCACGTTTCCTCAATCTCATTCGATTTTTTTCGCCAATCACATTACACAGCGTTCAAGTTTAAGGTTGAACACGACCATATTTACGATGGCTCATTAAAATTACTTATTTCATTTGTTAAAAGATTTCCCAATGGAATACATGTATGTACCATGGTTTTTGTTCGCAATTTTCCGAACATAACATTGATTTGATAGTCGAATTTACAAATAATGATGAGTGATAAAATAAATAAATTATATTATACTTGTCAGATAATGTAAATTCTAAAATTCTTAATTTTTGTACATATTTTATTTTAAAATTAACAAATATTCAATAAGCTCTTGAATAATTAGTAACCAACAATGCTTACTGTTACAATTTGTTTATTATATAAAAATGCTTAATCACTTGAGAAATTCGATAGCATTCATAACGGATTGGATTGGATTTTATTTTGGGGGGCAAAGGCATTTTTAAGGGCCTAAGCAAATAAATATTTTGTCGGCATCTAAAGCAATCTTATAAAATGGCATTTGTAATTATCCAACCCTTCTGATAAGCAAACACAATGATTTACTTATATAGGGAGTGAATCTGTGCGGTATTGAGGGGAAAATTACTGATATTACTCGATAAAAGCCCTGGGAATTGCGCACTCTACAATCGTCGCTTTTACAGATAAAGAAAAGTTAATAAACATTTAAAAATGTTTAGTAACCAGATGGCGGAAGTTCAAAAAATATTTATAAACATAGCAAAATGAAATTTTTGAAATTTTAAAATGGTAGCCATAAATAAAAAAAAAATCGTAGGGCAGCCATGGGATTTGAACCCGTGCTAGAACCCGATTTAGAATAATGCAAATACTATACTATTTTTTCCCCGTGTATAATAGAAATGCAACAGTGCAGGTGGGTAATTTACATAATGCCAAAAGCGATGATGGACTCACCTCCAAAGGCCAGATGCACTTGCTCCGGCTGATAGTGGACAATGTTGACCTCCTCCTCGGCGGACACCTGCGACAGGCCGAGAATCCCGGGGAGCAGGAGCAGCGACGCCAGCAGAGGAAAGTGCAGGCGCTGCATTTTGACCGCTGACTTCGGTTATTTGTTGTTGTTGCTCTTCAATTGGATGGGTCACAATGATAACATTGCCAAATCACAATTGCGTCGTTGGCGAGTATCGGGCACTTTGTTCCGGCTATCGGGGGGATCGAGTTGCAGTGGATCTGGATTACTGGAGAGCGACAATTCGCTTGCGGGAACAACAAAAAATGAGCACTAATATGGAAATATCCAGCAATTTATAAGCAAAGCAAAACAACAACAATCCGGGTTCAGTGTGACCTTGGCGGGCCAACTGCGAATGGCTGGGGTATCGATTGTCGGCTGGTCGCGACTATCGATAGAGTGCGATAAGTGGGCGCGCGTTTGGAACCCGTTTCGAAAATAAATATCTTGTTAGTGACAAATAAATCAGCACAGTCTTAGATCTCTGCAATCAAACTACTTCGATTTATTAAATGCCTTGTTTTTGTTGAATGCTTAGGTTCAAATTTAATAGGTTATTTGTAACGTATTCAAATATGTTTAACATTTCTCCGTCGCTTTTTAAATTAAAACTTAGACTTAATATTTTTTTTTACCGTTTTTTTAATATTTCACCAAGGTAAATTTAGAAATTAGTTACCTTTTTTACTTAGTTAATTAAATAAAAGTAGGTTCTTTTTTGGATATTGAAATTTTAAAAATCATTTTAACTTTATATTATAGGTACATAAATTAAAAGATGCTATTTATGCATAAAAGAAAATTCAAATTTTGCTAATCGTTATAGTTTTTTTTTTTTAAAGCTAGTTACAAATGTTTGAAAATCTGTAGAGCAAAGTTATACGCTTTTTAAGTATTTCAAAAGCCAGTTTGTATTTTCGCAGATTATCTTTATTGTACATATAACAGCATGTGGAATGTTTGGGGAAATGAAGTCACTCTAAGAGCTAAATGGAAAATGACATCCGTATCGAGATCCCTTTTCGAGTCCCAATCGAATGCCTGAAAACATGTGGATTGTTTTGTTCATATAAGCCCCTTCTTAGCAAGATACATAAAAGGAATATACATATATATAGATTAGGATATAGATGCAGATACAGATGGGTATAAATACAGGATAACAATAGAGAGAGAGAGATAGTTTTAAAAATACATAACACTAGGATAACTGGATATACGCTTGTAAATGGGTTATAGGTAATATTATAATAACAACTAGGGACTTTTGGCAGCCTTATCGACTATAAACGGGATGCAAACAATCCCCTTGGACATGGACGATAAACGAGAGGTTGGCAAATACATCTAATGGATTACAGAACTATCAAGGAAACTACTTCTCGGAACCCGCACCCGATCCCGATCCCGCCGCCGTGCTGGGCATGCTGCTCTTGCGCTGCGCCTGCGAGATCTGCACGATCCTCGAGAGCGGCGAGTGGGTGCTGCTGGTGCTCGGCCTGGTGGCGGCGTTCAAAGGCAACAGCCGCTGGGCGGACGTACCGCTGACTCCCGACTCCTCGTTGGCCGTTCCGCCGGGCGGCGAGGTGGGCGACAGTTCGCGGGCCAGCGGCGAAGGACGCAGCGAGAGGCGTCGCTGGAGCGCCGATTGCGAGGACGAATCCATCAAATTGGCACCTGGTGGCGGCGCCTGTCCAGGTGGAATCTGCAGGGCAGTCGGCCTCACGCTGAAGCGACGACGGAACTTGCCCTGCCCAGTTGTTGTTGTTGCTGCTGCTCCTGTTGCTGCTGCTCCTGTTGCATTTGACGAGGGACCGGAAACGGAAGTGGCGCTCTGACTTCCGGCTCGCTCGGTGTAGCTGGGCGGCGGCCCGGCTGCTCCTCCTCCCTGGGTGGGTGATATGCCAACAATGGTGGAGCGACGAGCGTACAGCCGATTGGCCGCCGCCGCCTGCAGCGAACGCGTTTGATCGCCGGCAAAGAGGGAAAGGATGGGCGGCAGCTGCGGTGGATCCAAACCAGCATTGCCCATCTTGCGCTGCTTACGGCTGCCCTTGGATGATGCTCCTCCACCTGCGGTCGCCGCCGCCTGCTGCTGCTGCTGTTCATCCAGCACGGCATGGGTGTGTACCACCTCCAAAGCGCGTATCAAATCCGCAATGGTCGTCTGCTCCAGGACATTCATGTCCTTGTCGGAGGTCACCGAGAAGATGCTGCTGCGACGCGGAGCCATGGATCCTACCGACGAGGATGCGGTGGCTGGGAAGAGGCTGCCCCGACGAGCGGCCACCGCTGCCATGGCCGCCGAACCAGCGGAGCCACTGGTGGCCAGGCTGCCGCGTCGCATCTGCATTTGGGCCATCGCTTGCGCAGTGGGCGGATACATGCTACCCCGGCGAGCGGAGGGCGCCGGATTCTGCGTGTAGATGCTCTCGCGTCGTCGCTTTCCAGCTGGAGCCCTCCGCTGATAGGCTCCTCCTGCTCCTCCGCCGCCCAGTGGAGTCGACCCATCCTCCAGCTGGAAACCCAGGTTGGTCAACCCGCCGCCGGTGCTGGCCAAACTGCCATTCGATTCGAAGGCCGGCGGAGGACCACGTCCGTTGCGCAAATAAAACTGACTGGAGGCCGCTGTGACCGTGTTGCTGTAGTAATCCATCGGAGATCGTGCCTGCTGCGAGTGGACGCCCTCGGGCACCGAAACCACCGACAACTTGCGCTCCAAATCCTGCGAGGGTCGCTTCCTTTGGAAGGGGAACAGGCGACGCAGGCCATCCGGCATGGAGAACTTCTTGACGCGACCCGCTGCTCCCGGCGGCGATGGCTTCTTCAGCTGCTCCTCCAAAGCATCCGGCTCCAGATGGACCATGGCTGCTCCGTTCGACTGCTGGCCCTTGTAGCGCTGATTGAAGGCCTCCTGGATCTGCTGGTTGTCGCCGCTCCACGTCCACTCGTTGTGGCCGGAGCGCAGTGGTCGCTCGCTCTGCCAGCGCGGCGCCTCCAAATTGAAATCGGAGCAGGCACGTTGGCGTGGGCGACGCGGCGTGCTGAACTCGTTCACCGTCGAGAAGGACCATTCGCTGGCCAGGATCTGGGAGTCGGAGAAGCCGTGATAGCCACCGTACAAAGCAGCATCCTCGGCCTCCGCCGGCGGTGGCTTCACCGTGGCCAGAGCACTGACCACCTTGGCCAGCAGATCGGTGGTCTGGCGGTACGCCTCCGCCGTCTCGAACGTCTTCTCGCGATCCAGCTTGCTCAGCTCCGTGTCCGAGCTGGCGTGCACCATTGTGCCCGCCTCCCGCTGGGCGGCAGCCAGGTCGGCGCACACCGAGAAGGCTCTCTTCCGGCTGGGAATCGGGGCAGGCTCTATGCGGTACATGCTCAGATCCGGACACGAATTGGAGCGGGGCAGGGTGTAGGCGATATCTATGTCGGTGTACACGGGCTGGGAGGGTTAATTCGATATAGGAACGGAGTTTATAGGAAATAGGTTTGAGATCCAAAAACCCCATGTAATAGTCCATTTGTGTGATCAGTTTTAGGAGTGTGGAGTGTTGGTTGGTGTGTTGAACATGTAAAGAGAATAGTTTGAATTAGTCTTTTCACCTCTATCTGTGGTAGAGCTTGAAAATTATCGATATTCTCGATATTTTCCCGATAAAATTAATGTTTTCAAGAAAACTGTCAATATATTATCGATATTCTCGATATTTACACAATATCAATTCGATAACATCAATCTTTTCAAGGGAAAGCACATATTTAATATCAAGAAATAGTTTCAAGCTCTAATCTGTGTGTAATCTAATCCTCTGTCTGTCGGTCTATTCTGGGCTAGCACTATATCCTAAATATGCCTTCTTGAAATCGGTCCACTGGGGAATCCCTGGTAGTTACTTACTTCGGCCGCTCTTCTTCTTTTTCTGCTCAGTCTTAGCCTTATTCTTCGACTTCTTTCTATTTCCCTTTCGACAAAACTAGAACGGAGAACAGCGGCTATATGAGATTTGAGGTTAGGATTGGGAATATTGAATACCGCTTAGTCGGACACGAAACATTGAAGGTATTCCCAATGGAAATCTCTTTGCAAGATCAATGGTTAGGACGTCTGGGACGCATAATCACATCGAAGACAAGCTTTAATCTTAATTCTTATTTAAAATAAACCCAGTTAGTATATATTTATGTTAAAATTCCCAGTTTTCATTATTATTTGAAGTTTTAAGTGTAAATGAAATAAATATAAATTGTTATTACTCTATATGTTATTGCCCATATATGTATGTATTATAAAGTAATTAGTTGGTATAATTCTGGCTTGAAAATCCCCAGGTTATTGCAATTCATAGATGCATGACTAATTTAGTATTATATAGTGCTATCCCATTCCGAAACAGAATCGGGATTTGTAAACACTGAGTGCTAGCCCATTTGTGAGTTGACTTGGATGACGAGTGTCGTTTACCTTCACTTTGAGGATGTAGAGCTCATTGAGCATTCGCCTTAGGTAGCCCACATCCTTGGTGACGCCTGTCCAGATGCGATTTTGAGTGGCCTTCAGGTTGGAGGACAACTGCTGCTCCAGGTACGCCAGCTTCTTGCTCTGGAGTCCCCTGTTCATGCCGAATGCCCGATGTTAAATGGATGAGAAATACAAGTTGGGTTAGATCATGCAAAGGACACGAAACGAGGCGAACCCCTGGACATGCGATGGATTTCGATGCAGCCCATTACCTACCGAGTGATAAATGTCATGATCATGACCAGATAGCCCAGGGAGAAGATAAACCACACGATCACAAAGATCTGATAAACCACGAACCAGCCGCCAAACTCGCGAGGCTATAAAGAAAATAAAAAGTTTTAGATATATACATTTAAATCAGGGCCCACGGGATATAAATTTCTCTGCCGCTGCGCTGCTAGCGTTTCGACGCTCACATACGCTGTCAAGCAGTCAAATTCTGCTGGCCACCACTGATTTAGGTATTCCATTCTTTCGAAAATCTTAGTAGTGAGTCTCACCTGATTAGCTCCAAACGTGGGCACATAGTCACCAAAACCTATCGTGGTCGTGGTCACATAGCTGTAGTACAGCGAAATGGAATAGGGCCAGTCCTCGAAGTAGGTGAACACCCACGAGGGCAGCAGCAGGAAGAGGGCTATGCCCGGAATCAGGGCGATAACCACGGTGGTGATTAATCCCAGTTGCGGCGGAACATAGTGCATGTCCGAGGACATCTTGTACTTTTTGTATCGCCTGTAGATCGCTTCAAACTGGCGGGATATAACATATATAGATTATTAGATTTTTTTTGTCAATTTTTTCTGTGTGAATTTTGCTACTGATCGTTTTTTATAGGTACTATTTTATTAGTTTAGATAGGGTTAGTTAGCTTTTTAAGTTACATTTACTTACCGTGCGCCCAAAGTATTCACCCAGCCCCGCGAAGAGGATTCCGTTGACGGGGATTCCAATCACCGAGTACGCTATCATTATCATCCGTCCGGCAAAGGTGGTCGGCGATATGTTGCCATAGCCCACCGTTGAGCAGACGGTGAAGGCGAAGAAGAAGGCGTGGTAGAAGGTCCACGTGTAGGGCGTATCATTTTGCGTGGGCAAGGTCACCGGTTTGCCACAATAGTCCGAGATCCGCTCGAGAATCTCGTTCTGGGTGGTCCGGTTCTTGTCGGCCAGCTCATCCAGAAGATATTCTGTGCAAAAAGTCAAAGGAGATGATCAGAAGAGTGAACTTTCATGACCGATCGAGCGTGAAATCAAATCAATTTTAATTTTCCCCCTTTGTCGTTCACGTGTCCAACCGAATCCGATCCGGATGTAAATGTGCGACCGGTGGCTAACCTTCCGCTTTCCAAACAATGGGCATAAAAGAAAACCGTTACGTTTTCAGAGATCCACTGATCGTCACTGGCTAACCCCCGATTTCCCCCAGCGTGCTATATTTTGCACTAAAACAATTGCCACTCGGACTGGTCGTTGATCCGATTACAGTGATACGATTTTTTTAGAGGTGCTACTTATTAGATTTCAAATTTTTTTTAAATAACATTTTTTTTTCTTTGCAAGGGAATTTTTTTAAACAGTATGTATTTTTAGTCTAAGAGCTTTTTCTGCCAAGTTACAGAAAAAAAAGAAAAAGGAGAAATTCCTATTTTTACCAAAAACCCAGATCTCAATTTTTCGCAAAAAAATAATTCGTTGTTTGACCGTAACAATAGAAATATTAATCCAAATATGGATTGTCATACCTTTCTGAACTCGTTATTAAATTTCCAATCGATTGGCATTGAAGCCTGAACATTTTATTTTTTTTCATTTTTCGTAAAAAATTATGATGTACCCCCTTATAAATAAAATTGAAAATTGGGGAAAATTTTATTATTTCACACGGAAAGTGTCATGGATTTATTTATTATATTTATTTATATTTTGTTATCTGTTCAAAACAGTATGTATTTTTGGCGTAGAACCATTTTTGGCCAAGTTACAGCAAAAAAACCAAAAGAAAAAATTCCTGTTTTTGTCAAAAACCGAAATCCCGAATTTCCAAAAAAAAAGAGTTTCTTGGCCGACACAACAGAAATATGGGTATAGCTGATATATCACCCCCAGAAAGGAATTTTGCTATTCAAAAAGAATGCAAACAACATTTTTCCGATATTACCGCCCACAACAAAATCCTACCCAACAAGGCACGCTTTTGTATACGATTTCCAGAACGGATTAAAATTGAAAAACCCAAATTGATTTTTTCTCCGTGCACCGATCTCAATGGGCAATCACCACGATCATGACCTGACCCGGACGATGTTGCTCTGGTTAATTGAAATGCGCTGGATGAACGATCCCCGTCGGTCTCAATGCAAAGATATTTATTAAGGAAATTAATTGTGATCGTGGCCGGCGAGAGAGCTTTGGCATATCTTGCTGTAGGTCAGTAATGTAGAGCTTTTTCGATCAGATTTGAGTTCTGGGAATAAATTAAATGACGGGAAGTTTACGCAATTGATTGAATGATTTGAGATTAGCAAACGATCACGTAGTAAAGTTTCTGAAAAATCTACAAGGATTTGAGAAACTATTATATCGATCGTTAAGTGCCCTTGTTGGATTTCTAAAACCACTATTAAACAATCTTCGAGTAGTTCTTATCTACCAGTTGCTATATAACTGAATCAAAAAATGATTGCACACTCTAAAAATAGCTAGGGATTATCAAGTTTGGTTGTAATCTATCATTTATTTTTGATCTTTTGAATGACTTTATTATTGAATGACTATTCTATTGAATGGCTATTACACTAATTGATTAATCCATCGATCTGATTGATAGATCGAATTCAAATGCTCTCTAACTACTAGAGATCCCACAGCTTTGTGTTATCACAACGAGTGCAAAAACACTTGGATTTTCATGATCGGCTGTCTAACCTTTATTGCCAAGTTCATCAGACTCGAGTAGAGAAGTCGAGAAGTCGAGCGGCTGCAATCATTCAATAAACCCTGAGCCTTGTGCAAATGCCATGCCAAATGTGCCCAGTACCCGGTAATCTTTTAACGAATTGCATAATTCAATAAATGCGTCCGGAGGCACCAACAAAGGTACTTGCAGCGGGTGTCATCTCATCTCTGACATCTCTGATCGTTCAGATCACAACGGGACGCAATTGGGGGCAATTCAGAGATTCAGAGATTAACAGCTACAGCCATCAACATCAACAGTGTGGTGAGGTCCAACTATATATCCGCCATATAGTGGAACCACTGAGCGACGGGCACAATTTAATCGCCTTTGTTGGTCCACTGGGGATCTTGATTGCCGGCAATTTGTTCATAGAAGTCGATCATTATCTCGAATTCTTGCAAGTCCTCTCGACTCTCGACTCTGATTATCTCGGTGATTGAGTGCGGCCCGGAAAAGTTTGTGGCAAACAAATTGATAAATTAATTTAATTAGAGCTGACACAGCGAGGCTGAAAGTCATCACTCAGTGCATTATCAAGCCATCTGAGGTCGAGGTCAGTGATGCATGCCTTCTCGAGGATCTTTCAGAACCTTGGTCCCATCGATACGATCTCAGATGGCGAACTTTCGGAAATACAAAAGTATTTACTTTATATGGTGACTATTTTTAAGTACTTAAAGTTATAATTAATATTTTTAAATTCCCTAATTCTCACATCCTGTTTCAAAGTTTACTCAGAGATTATTTAAATTATAAATTTGCAAGCATTAATGCCTCATAACTAAAACTTTAAATCGCCTAAGTTTTCAATCACTTTGAATTAAACGATTATATCATGAGACTCAATGCATTTTTTCGCAAAATTTCGGTGGTATTATAAGCGTTAAGTTAGGAAGATCCAGATCAAAATGTGAACATATTAAGTACCCAAAAAGATAAGAAATTAATATAGCCTCCAAGCCAAACTCCAAGTTAATAATCCGTGCATTCCAAACCACTGATCAATCACCTTCTTGTCCATTTTCGTGGGAGATCCCTTGGCCCGGTCACCTTATCAGGTGTCAATAGCTCAAACTTAATCTCACCGCGGTTGTGTGGACACTTGAAAGTCATCGGCTGGCGATTGTCCAACTTTTAACCAACTGGAGTGCTGTTGTTTCGCTTGGCCCAAAGTCGGGAGTGATTAAGGTGACTTTGTCCAGTGGCTTTGCCTGCTTACATATGCAATTGCGGATTCCGGGGAATTAGTTGGGGACTCAGAGGGGCCTATCTGGTATCCTCCGAAGTGCTCGATTGCTTATCGAACCCTTGACTAATGCCGAGTGACCTACGCTCCATTGCGGGGCTTTTAGGTCGATCGGTGATCGTATATCAGGTATGTAAGCCTCTGATTCAATCCGTTACGATCCACACACGTCTTGGGTCGATGGTTACTAATTAGAGCGTTTATGGGTTATTTATTTGCACAATTAGCACATTTTATGTGCTATTTAAATCCGGATTTATTGCAATTGAAGAGGCATTAAAATAAATACATCCGAGACTGCGGCTCGATTTAGCGTAGATATAATCGCTCTCACACCCCGATATATATATATATATATATCGAGATATGTGTCCGAATCCGAATATAGAGGTCGCGTTGTCTATAAGGCAGACTTGTTGAGTCGTAAACCTCACACTTTCCTCCTACATTTACGCACGTTTTACCAAAAAAAATAAAACCAGATATCATTGGGATAGCGCTTTACATATGTATGTATACTTTAAGAGGGGGATCTTAAACTTGCTTACTTTGTTTAATCCCCAATATAATGTATTTTATTTATAAACAAAAAGATCATCTATTTTAAAAATCATAAAAATCAAAAACTTACTTTGCCCAATATAATATATTTTAGTTCTAAACAAAAATATCATATATTTTGGAATCATATTAAAGTAGTTTAAAAATCCAACTTCAAAAATTGTAATTTTTTTCATCCAGAGATCCCATTTTAGAGATGATAACTTTCCAATATTTCCCCAAGGGGATTCTTTTTTTAAAACCCTTGGGACCTTAAGATGGCTCCGTTTTATCCCAAAAAGTTCCATTCAAAAATCTTGAGCTAGACTTCGCGAGCCACGATCCACGAGTCGAGAAACCTCAACAAGTGGGTGTCAACGCTTCAACCGATCCGACATGGGTCTAGACTTTCTATCGAAGTCGTGGGCGACCATTTAGTTGGTGGCGGGATCACATGCTCATGGATCGATGGTCGTGGATCGATCCGGATCACGCGGCTACTTATGACTATATGGGGTATGGGGATTTTGAGGGTTTCTTTTGGAAGCTCACCCACCGTTGATATCAACTTGCTCCTTCCACTCGGCGGCGCGGGCCAGCTTCTCCTCGCCGTGCTCGATGTGATAATAGATCGCCGCCCCGAACATCAGGTAGGATATGTAGAAGATGAGCAGCAGGATCCATCGATTCGGCGACATGCTCGTCGGGGTGTCGCGCTACCTGAAAGGACAGAGTTTCCAGAGAGTGCCGAAATCGAAATCAGAATCAGAATCGGAATGGGAATCGAAATCGGAATCGAAATCAGTGGATCAGTGTTTTGGGGTTTCGGTGGGATCGCTTCGCTCTTGTTGTCTGTCGTTATTTATGGTTGTATCGCCGCTAATCGAAGCTTGATTGCGATTGCTCAAGTGCTGGCCAGTCGCTCTAGTTGTTGTCTATATGTGTACGATAGGAGAGAGCAGATACCGGACTATACGGTTCCATGCCCTCCGCCCAAAGTAGCGGGTCTTATGCGTTTAATGGTGGTATTACTGGAGTAAAAGGTTGAACACCCAAGACTTGTGAATTTAAATGGTAACCTTCTTTAAGCAATTTGAATAGCTTATCTAAAACTTGGATGATCTTTAGCCAAATCACAAAAAAACATGTAAAATTGATATGGCCATGTAAATTTCAGGTCTTGCAAAGCCCATATCGTTTTTACATGAAATACTCTTTTCGGCCAGGTCAAATTTACCTGTAAAATCGATCTACGTTTCATATCGATATGTTTTTGGGTCTACCAAGGTACAGTACCTTCCCTTTCGGTGAAGTTGATCTATTCTCAAGCCGAATTCCTTTAAAAAAAGCACGCGCTCCCCTATCAAAGGTGTCTCCTTCGCCCATGATCGTCATCGTGGGATCGCTGGATCGCTCAGGAGTTGGAGACGACGTCATCGCTCCGGCTTACACCTATTGACACTTCTAATCATATCGCCGGGCACCGAGACCAGGGCAATACCGCTAATTTTCCACGATTTCTCGCGGTGCAAAGTAGTCCGCTAACGATTAGCGACCGTCGCAGACGTTGCCCTCCCAGCAGTCCAAGTTATGGGACTCTTATCTACAAAAATGTAGTGTAGTGTGCGAATGTCTGGGGATCGCGGGGGCCAGGGTTATTCGGGGGCTGCTGTGGGTGTCAACCGACAACTCGCAATGTACCGCACTTGGCGGCCAATTAGCGATCGCGAATGCAAAACAAAAATACAAGTTGACAAGCCCGAGTTCCAAAAACAAAACTCGGATCAGGTGTCAAACGTTTGGCGGTGGCTTTAGTCATTAGCAAAATGATTAGAGTTCTTGAAGCGCGGACATCATAAAGATAAACGGTGTGGAGTCATCTAAACCCCCCGCCGAAGGAGCTCTATGATGAAAGTACTTGACATATCAGCTCTTAAGTTCTATTCATGTCCGATGGCTCAGGTTCTTACGGTATCATAAAGATATACGATTGGTGGAGAGCATTAGTCAGGCAGCCGATTGGTTGCTAATTGCCAATTGATGGGGAAAGTTCTTACAATATCATAAAGATAAACGTTTGGTGGTGCAGATTTGTGGTTCTTACAATATCATAAAGATAAAGATGGCTGCGTGTTCGCCTTAATGAGTTCATGTTGGGGTAGTTCGTGTGGACTTTACGCGCGTAGAACTCGGGAATCGTGGATTCCCCCGCCGATTCACGTGAATCGCCTAATCTCGGAACGCAGTTCTCTGCAGTTTGGAACCTCCGTGGTTTCTATTTTCTATTTCCAACGCCCATTCCCTATCGCCTCGTATCGGTAGAGTCTTCTCATTACACGCTTGATTACATTGGGACAATTCGAATTGTTTATTCCCGTTGTTCAAGTCAAGTGATCGCTGATAACGATTCTCCAGCTCGCAGCTACGCTTTCTGCAACAGTTTTAATTATTATTATCGTTCTTACTGTATAATTTCTATTAAATTATCTATGGAGTAGTCTTGTTTTTGTTTCGATCCATGAGGGCTATAGCTCATAGCCCCTATGAGCAATGGCAACTAAAGCAGCAAGAACAACAACAACAACGACTACAATAATTTGTTAACAATAAAAAATAAAATCGTCTATTGGGCGCGTTCTTCGAGCACTGACTGCCTGGCGATGACGCCGTTCAATGGAAGTCTTTTCATTTATTGTGTTTCCTTTTTTATGTATTTATTTATTCGGAACAAACATTTCGATGACGCTGTGTATTGCCAAACGATCTTTTTAACGCTTTTTTTTGGGCTTGCCCCCTGGAATTCTTTTCGAGTGGAAAATTCTGCCAATAAGTTTTGCGGAAATTACTGGTAATCGGTAATTAAGGATCGTCAATTGGGAAGTTTTCTTTAACTTTAAAAATAAGGATATTCGCAGTAATACAAAATAAATAGCATAGATAGGGAAATAAGCGGAAGATCTTTTAACAGATCAGTGGAAATATCGCGATCACTCAAACACCCACACCCAAAACCCATCGTAAACCCATAAAATGGACCCACTCTTTATCAAGCCGAACCCAAGTCGAACCCAAATCACAAATGACAATAACAACTGATAAACATTCGATGATCATGTAAATGAATCAAGTCAATGTTTGACGTCAAGTGGAGTAGACAACAGAGCATTTAATATGGCAATAAAAGCGTTTACTAATTGATAGCCCACAGACTCCAGTTCATGGTGATTTGGGGTATTTTTGGCGAAATCGTCGAAGGATCGACGGCACGTTGATCCGTTGATCAGCTGATCAGCTGACCCCCACGTGCATCCCCAGAGAGAGCTGACCTCAGAGCCCCGTGTTACGTGCAGAATCGGGGAAGCTCGACTCTTGCATATAGATATGTTTGTACGGACTACAGTCGTAGGTATATTATGTGGAACAAAATTAATAAATAACAAAATATTTACATATACCGACGCTAAATAGTCGTATAATCAATAATAAATAGCAGCAACTGCAAAATGAACACGTTTAGTAAATAATCGCAAAAGTCGTCAAGCGTCAAAAGCCGTGCATTTCATTTTTTTGTTTTTTTATTCATTCCTCGGAAAGCAAACGAGAAAATCTCGGGGAGTTGAAGGGGGAAAAAAGGAACAAGAATCGCTGGCATTGTGGCCGGAGTCTGAATCTGAAAAATCTGGGTGGAAATACCAGGCGGGCCTACGGTTCGCTGATGAGCCTATTGGGTGCTAATGATGACATTGTTTTACAAGCCGGGGCGGCAAGATGATTAATTGAATTGCGATCTATCAATGTCTCGTTTCCTCCGTCAGTCTCGTCATCGTCTTGTGCCTTAGTTGCTGCTTCTGGTTTTCCTTCTTGTGATAAGACTACGTCAGAGCCCACGGCTAAACAGGGCAATTAATAACGACAGTCAAACATCTGAGGTACCAAACGATCCTAACTTTAATATTAAAGTTAAATCCCTTCCCGTGGGATATCATTTGAAAAATGTTTTTTTTTTATGTTATATATTTTAAGAAATGTATTAAAATGTTTTCCTTTCTATTATAGATGGTATAATATGGTATATGCTCCCTATCATTTTATGGTAGTTGGACTGTAAGTCTGTCTGTCACATGTATCGATGATTGGGCAATATCCACCAACCATTAACTGAGCGCTACCGACTGAACTGATTGACGAACCTAGGGGATCAGGAGTTGGGCCCCATATTTGCTTATAACCAAATGCCCAATGATGGATGAATTTGGCCCGTGGGCTCAGCGCAATCGCAAGACTTCTAGAGCCCTCTGCCAATCGACTGATCGATAACAGATAACGGGTTGCCGTTAGTTCTAGGCTAACGGTACATTCGGTTCCCTGTGTAAGTGAGCGTTTTGCATATGGTAACAACAGTTAAGCAAACACTTTTGCACCGCGAAACAATTTCGCTAATTAAAGCATTCATGCTACAGATACCGTACAGAGGTGCGGCACAGATTGATTCACGGGATTATAAATAAGCACTCGAAAAAAATCTTACTTGATAATGTGATCAACCGTTTCATTTTGCAAAATCAGATTAGCTTACGTATCCTTGTAAAAGATTTTATAACAATTATGTATAAATGGAAATAAAAATTTATCGATATTTATATTTATATTTAAAGGAAAAAAATTAGAAAATAAAAATAATTAAGTGTTGAACATTTTTCAGTTAAAGCCTAATTTACATTTCAATCAAAAAACCTACGAAATGAACATCTCCATAAGAACGTTGTCACTTTTTTATTTAACATTGGCTTTTAAAAATTGTCTTTTCCAGCTTTAGTTGTGCCATTTTATATAAGTTTGGAAGACTAATTTGGCAAGGTCGTCTTTGTTTTCATGATCATTTTTGTTATTATCCTCTTAAGAGGTCGACTTTTCCCCCAGTGTACTTTGACATATAGACGCGCGGTCTAAAGTGGAGCGCACATGCGAATCCGATCGATCAGATTGGGCCCAGAAGAACTCTAACCTGTGGCATAAGTAATCTTCCCGATTTCGATTCTGTCTGATCGCCCTCTTACTTTCTTCGTGGCCCACTGAGATAACGACGTGCAAGGTGAAATTACCACGAAAACAACACCAAAAATAATGACAACAACACGGATCGGAGATCGCAAATGGAAAATCAGAGGGGATTGTTTACAAATTCACACCACCGAAATCCTTCCACATTGAACTCGTTTTGTTCCACTGTTCCGATAATCCTTAGTTTTTTTTTTTTGTTAGTTTTTCACTTTCAGGATACCCACGATTAAAAATTGATGAAAAAAAAAGATGCACTCGGATCCGGAAGAACCGTTAGCTTTCGCCTTTCCTGGCGTCTTTCGATTGTTTCTGCGGATGGGGGGATGCAAGGAGGATCGCGAAACACTGGAAGGGTTGGAAAGCTGAGCGATCGCGTCGCAGGACCGTTACCGTTAAGCGGCGCACGCTGAATTGAAGCGCTGCCAGCGGTCGGTTGACACTTTTTGTTAACGGTGACGATCGGCGGCGGTGACGTTGCTCCGTCGCTTCTCGATTCCCGTAACCGTTCTGATTTAAATGGAACGCTGCTCCAAGCTCACGTCTGTTTCCAGTCTCTGCCGGCGCCGGCGTCGCGGCCGACGTCGCTGCCCAGCTAACCGCTATTTTTGTTTCTGTGCCTCTTTTTTTTTTTAGCTTTCCGTCGATTTTGGCAATTTCCAGTTTTCAATTTCCAGCCGAGCTTGAGTCTTCTTCCCGTCTCAAAGGGATATTCCAGCGAGTGAAGAGAGAAGAAGGAGCGTTACCGTTATGTCACTTTCGAAGCGAATAACGGCGAATCTTAGCAAAACGAAATCTTCGAGTGCGGCACTCAAGAAATCAGAGCGGAAAAGCTGAGAACTCAGAACCGCACGGCAAACGAACGCGGCATTAAGTAATTGTCCCACCTCCTTTAACTGCCGATCGGTGTGTTTATTCGTGTGTTTGTATTAAAGTACACCGTGTGTGATACGTGTGTGTGATCTCTAATCCAGTGCTCACTCACTTTGAGCTCTTCGCGAGCTCCAAAAAATAAGACAGGCCGAAGTCACTCAAGAAATGTGTGAATGTTGTTTTTGTTTTTGTTTTTTTTTTTTTTTTTTTAGAGTGTGCGGCTGGCGGGTTGGGGAGCCCCACCCCCATCCCTGCACTAACTAAACCGAACTAAACTAAATCAAGTCGAAACGGCGATCGACAAACGGCAACTATTCGCCCCCAAAACACCCACCACCCACCCCCCACCAGTCGCAAAAAAGAGATACTGTGTAGTAACCAACGGAACACGGGCCAGCACAGTGGAACAAATATTACCCAGTACCGAAACTATTTGAGTTCTCAAGATCTTCAAAAAAAAATCTCCTTAAATATATCCTTCAGAACAAATGAATTCTGCAGAGTCTATGAATCACTAAGTAATAATCAAAAGTAATATTGATAGCATTTCATAAATGTTTCCTATGAACCATAAAATATAGCCGTGACATGCCCATTTAGTTTACGTCAAAACATCGATTTTATACAACCCAAACTAATAATATCTGTAGAAAAAAATTGGCACCTATTGGGTATTTCTTGTTACAGTAATCTTAATTGCCAATAAATTGATTGGAGAAGATCCAAACCATATAATTCAAAAGAAACTTTTCAAAGTTAATCTTGATTTTCTACCAAACGGAAAATAAGGGTTTAGCTAAGGAAATTATATAAATAAAAAAGCACTGAAACTTCAAAAAAGTTATAAATCAAAGTTTTACCGTATTAAGAGATCTGTAGATCACAGACACCTAAATCTTTATCAGAATTGTATTATTTGAGCAAGCATCACTTATCTCAACCCACTGTGTGCTCTGTTTTGATCGTCAGCATGGCCACCGACCTTTTTGGAAAATATGTACGAAACATGGGGCCAGACTCCCAACCCAGAGTGGGCGCCACTGCCACGCCCACCGACCAACCGTCAAGCCCAGAAAACACACCTAAACGTGCGTTGTCAAAAAAAAAAAAAAAAAAAAAAAAAAAAAGAAAAAAGAAAACAACCAAAGCGACCACAATCGCAACCAACGTAAATAATTTGTCTACGGATTTTAGTGCTTTACGACGGGCACTAGCCGAGCGCAAACTTAGATCGTCAAACGGCAGACGAGCCACCGCAATGGCCGCTCCACACCCACCCACTGAACCACATGGTAGCACCCTACCCACCCTCATCCCACCTTGATCTTGGGGGCTTACACCAACTGATCCTGTCATAATGAAAGGTATCGACTGTCAATGCCAATGTCAATATGGCGAGCCCCTGTATCGAAATTTGAATTTTCCCTTCTGATCAGGGCCTTTGATTCGTTAGTTATGTAGTTGGTTATATTTATTTTCAGAATATTATGATCTAAGAAATTTTATAATTAGTTGAAAACTTTCCTTATATAATTATTTTGAAAATATTAAGATCTAAGAAATTTCATAATTAGTTGAAAACTTACCCTTTATAATTATTTTCAAAATATTATGATCTAAATTATATTATGATCTATGAAATTCTGGTTGATGATGACTTTATTCATAATGGGTAATACCAATAGGTTTCTGCTCAGATTTCAATGATCAAGATATTTCTTCAGGGAATCCAAAGCTTAGAATTGATAAGTGTAAAGACAATATGTAATATTATTTATTCTTTTGATTTACTTAAGATCTTAGCTACAAAATATTTGTGCAAAAATTCCAGAAAGGACCTCGTGGCCCACTGTGCATACCTGCAAATGGACGACGGAACCGAATCGAATCGGATTCTCGAGAGGTGAGAGCCGTGAGCCGTTTAAGTGCAACTCAGAACGCTGACACTTGACGATCAGAGTTGAGTTATCGCCCCGCTTTTTGCTCACGCTCCATATTTCGTATTCTCCGCTGATCGATTTGGATTTGGCGACTGCGGCTGCGGAAGAGCGGAGAAAGCTCAAGAGAGAGCGCGGAGAGATGGAGATAGCCGTAGCCCCCGGGGCATCGAATCGACGGGGACAATGATAGTATTGATAAGAAGTGCTTTACACTGGATCTTCTCAGCTGTCTGAATGCCGAAAATTGGACAAAAACAATTTAAAAATTTTAAATTCTAACAATTTTCGATTAGGTCCTGATGGAGAATGGTTTTGTTAGAGCTTGAATTGTTACCAATTTTTCTTGTATTAATCAGTAAGATGAAGAATTATAATATATGAATATTTTTAAAGGTATATTTTCCTGTAGCAGGTATGCCATTTTGCCCACCGTGCGCCGACGCAGCTTAGCCCAGCGATCGTAAAAAGCACAACTCACGATCATCGGAGATCTATAGTTTTCAGAGCAAAAAGTGGAGCAGTGCTGACCATGACTCCTAGGATTTTATTTTATGTACATTGTACAATGACATATGTATACTTTGTAAGTAAATAAAGTATTTGTTCTTGCCTTTTCTATATAATAATTTGTATTTATTATATTAATTTGTATATTATTTATTTCTATATATTTTATTTCCTATGTTATTTAATATTCCGAAGAAATATTGACCTTTAAAATCTAGAAAATCTTTATGTCAAAAGCAGGAATTAGCCCATTAGATTTTATTGATTTTTTGGTAAGTGTGCTTCACATAAATTCCCAGAAATATATTAATTTAATATTGGATGACTGCTTCTGTTTCCCACGTCATTGATTGTATTTGACCATCGGTCCCCCTCCCCTGCGATGGGAGGGAACCCCCCCAACAGCTGGGTTTGCTCCTCAAATCAGAGCGGGCAAATACGACTCAACGAGGTGCTAAAATATATCCCATTTGTACTCGATCAGCGGAGCCTTTAATTGGAAAGATAAGCTTCTGCGGAAAGTGCGAGTTTTCGTTACAGAGATTGAGATCCAAAGCGAAAGAGAGAAACCGCTCAAGGCCCCGAATATTGGGCGTCGAGTCGAGTATAGAATATCGAGTCGGAGTGGCGGTCCCCTATTTAAATTGGCAACTGATTCATAGGTGCATTAGCCAATGCCGATAAGCATAATTAATTAATTACGCTGCAAGTACGAGTGCTAGTCAGCTTTGATGTATCGACGGAACCGCCCGGTGTTTCGCCTGTCATCGCAAAGTGGCCGCCACAAATCCGAGTGTATTTAAATAAATGCAGACGAAGTGTAATTGATGGGACACCAGGCCCCCGGGCCTCTGAAAGTTTCTTGGATGCCGCCGGTTGGATCGTGAATGATCGATTCGTGGTTGACATTTGGTGACGATTTAGGCGCCCTTCCGATTGGTTTAATCAATCAACTGGACGATAGATGGATGATATCGGGAAATTTCTTCGAAGCACCTCAGATGATCTTAAGGAAATAATCTTGCAGAAATCCCTAACCAACATAAATAAATTTTCTGTAAAATATAACTATTTTTTAAATTGTTAAATAATATATTAAATTATTTAATATTAGTCATAATTTTGATATTTATCTTTGCAATTCAATCAATCAATCAATTCTACATGCGAGACCCAAGTTGATTGATAACACATGAAATCAAGGCTCTAACAGGCATGATATAAATAATGATCGTTTATTAAACTTGACAAATCAGTATTAGCGGTACATAAAAATAAAATTGATCTATTACAAACAGTATGTGGGCTTTTTAGCTAGACAAAAAAAAGATGATTCAATGATGAGGCAGTAAACAATGTAAATCTTATTGAAGAATCCACTCCTCTATTTCCCATTAAATAAGTCCTATGGAGCGTGGTTTAAAGCCATCGATTCGGTTACCCGTTATTGGTCTCGTTTGGCGTATGTATATTACAGGCATTTTAAATATCGGCTACAACAGCTATTACACAAAATGTACAAACGATTTGGGTAGTCGGGGAAATATGAGCATCTCAGCTATTTTTACTGATCAGGTGAACAATGTTGCCGATCATCCGGCAGCCGTTCTTGTGGTGCAACAGATTAAGGCACGGATCGCGAATCTTCTCCTCCAGCAGCTTGATCATCTCGGCCCGCAGGCACTGCACCATTTCGGCGGTCTCGAGGTCGTGGGCCTTCAGTATGATCCATCCGCTTTCCAGCAGAAAGAGAAAGTCGCCGTCGTGCAGCTCCACCTTAAAGTCGCTGCCGGCGAAGAGGACCATGGCGATGAGCGGCAGCATTGAGCAGTCCCTGATGTAAATGGCGCTGGTGCGCACCTTCTCCTGGTAGACAAGAAAGGGCGCCTGGAAGACGGCCACATGCGAGTTGACGGACGACGGATGGATCTTCACATAGCCATCGCCGCGCGTCTTGAAACGCAGATCCTGGTGGCTCGGCTCGCGCGGCACAGCACCGCCAGCCGTCTGGACGTAGACGCGCTCGGGCGTCATTATCTTAACGATATTCGGATAGAGGGCAGCGCAGAGGAGCGAGGTGAGCAGCCGGTTGTTGTCGCCATTGTGATTTTGCTCCACACCTGAGGGGAAATAAATTTTCTATAATTTCTAGGCTTGAAAGGAGAAGAATATAATTCTATATTCATACCCGTTAGTGTCAGAATATTATCGGCGGCATTCTTGCGCCTTCGCGGCACATTGATGGGCACAAAGCCAATGGAAACGAGTAGCTCCAGGTACTGGTACTTGAGGTCGGCTATTGTTTCAAGCGTGTTTAGCGACAAAAAGTGCTCGCTGGCATAGTTTCTGCTGGCCGCATAGTTTCCCCTACGCGCCACATCCAGCCATTTCTATGGGGGAAAGAGATTATAATTATTAATTAATTAATTTAGGGGCTACTGATAGATAACCCACCCTGTAAGCATTCAGCACGGTGAGGTGATCGCTGTTGCCCAGGGCAAACTGCCGCTTGCACTTATCCGCCTCCGTGCGCTTGCTCAGCGGACTCACGAACGGCGACTTGTTGCTCAGGCAGGCGGCGATGGTGAGGACGCTGTCCAGGCACTGGAAGATCGCTCCGTACAGCATCAGCTTGCCGATGCGCACGTCGACGGGCAGGGCAGCGAGATGATGGCCCAGCGGCGTCAACTGATCCTCCGCATCGAGAGCACCCACATCGCGCAAACGTGTCAGGGCACCCAGAACACTGTCCTCCGTGGGCGCCTCCAAAGTCTCGAGGAGAACGGAGAGCGTGTTGCGCGAGGCGAACGTCTGCAGGGTCTTGATGCGCAGCACAATTTGCTCGAGCGGCACACGCTGGATCTCCGGCACCGGCTGGGGCAGGATGTGCTGGTGATACCGATGACTGGTGTACAGGTGAATGCACACGCCGGGCATCACACGACCCGCACGACCCTTGCGCTGCTTGGCATTCGCACGGGAGACCCAGACCAGGTCCAGCGACTCCATGTTGCGGTTCGAGTCGAAGCACTTCTCCTTCATCAGGCCGCAGTCCACCACAAAGACACAATCGTCGATGGTCACCGAGGTCTCGGCGATGTTTGTGCTTAGCACGATCTTTCGTTTCCCTGGCGGCGCTTTCTTGAAGACCAGTGCCTGATCCTCGCCAGAAAGGGCCGAGTGCAGCGGCACCAGGATAAATTTGCCAGCCCTTGGCGAGAAGAGCGCGTTATCGAGCAGGGAATCGTGCACCGTTTGGATCTCCCCGAAGCCGGGCAGAAAGATGAGGATGGTGCCCTCGCGTGGCCAGTCGTGGGCGCCCTCAACAATGTATTTGAGTACGGATTCAATCAGTTCCGGGTTGATGGTCATCGGCTCCATCAGGTAAATACTCTTGCACGTCGGCTTGCTGTAGTCTAAAGAGGGAATATAAGTTAAAAACAAGAAAGGAAGCTAGCTTCGGCCAGCCGAAGCTTATATACCCTTGCAGATCATTTCTATTAATTTACAAATCGCAAAATTGTTCAATTTCATATTATTTCTTATTAATTTTCCGATCGTTCCAATGGCAGCTATATGATATAGTAGTTAAATTTTGATAAAATTAAAATTGAAATTCGGAAATATCTAAAAAGAGTCGTATCCCAGAGTAGAAGAGAATACAATAAAAACCAATGAAGCTAAAATTTATTTCCTATTACTTTCCCATTAAGTTTCCGACCGTTCTTATGTTCCGATTTTTTCTAAATTTTATTCGAAATTCATAAGTATTTAAAAAATAATATTCCCAAGAGTGGAAGGTAATATTTCAAAAAACACCGAAGGTAGATTTTTTTAACGTTTTTTTTCCAATCCTTCCTATGGGAGCTATAAGATATAGTTGTCCGATCCGGCCGGTTCCGATTTATATACTACCTGCAATAGAAAGAAGTCTTTTGGGAAAGTTTCAAGCCGATAGCTTAAAAACTGAGGGACTAGTTTGCGTAGAAACGGACGGACAGACGAACGGACATACGGACAAGGCTAGATCGACTCGTCTAGTGATGCTGATCAAGAATATATATACTTTATGGGGGTTGCAAACTTCTGACTGGAATTATAATACCCTCTGCAAGAGAATAATCATAAGAAGTGATTTTCTTTCCACTCACCCGCATATCTCTGATAGGTCTCGGCCAGCGTTAGTTTCTCGTCCTTGATCTTCTTGCCCGGCGCCTGGCCCGAAGCCTGGACATCGGCGTACTCCAGCTCGCGCTCCAGGACATCCTGCTCCTGCTTCTTCAGCTTGCGGCAGTACTTCGTGTCGTACTCCATGACAAAGTCGCTCATCTCGAGGATATCCTCGAGGAAGAGCTGCTGGACGGGGAAGGTGCGACCGGGAATATCCAAGACGGGAGCTCCGCCAAAGTATTCCGAAAAGAGTGTGGCATTCAGCGTGGCCGACATGAGGATAACCTTAAGATCCTTGCGCTCCCGCAGCAAATTCTTCAAGATGAGCAGCAGAAAGTCCGACTCCTCGGAACGCTCATGCACCTCGTCCACTATCACATGGGTGACGCTCTCGAGCAGCGGATCGGAGGCCAAGCGGCGCAGCAGGATGCCGGTGGTGCAGAAACTCAGCCGCGTGCTCTGTGACACCTTGTTCTCCAGCCGTATCTGGTAGCCCACCAGTTGGCCAATGCGATCCAGTCGCTCGGCAGCCACGCGCTCCGCCACTCCGATGGCCGACAGGCGTCGTGGTTGCGTGCAGATGATCTCCACGTGCGGGAGGTTCTCCTTCGCCGGCAGTTGGAGCGAGCGAAAGAACCAGTTGTCCAGGATGAACTGCGGCACTTGGGTACTCTTGCCGCAGCCCGTTTCACCCGAAATCACCACCACCGGCGAGCTTTCGATGAGCGCCAAAATGCGTTCGATTTCGGCGAATGCAGGCAGCTGCTTCCTACCATCGATGACCTTCTGGTAGCGCTCCTCCTTGCGCCGCTCCACGAACTGCTGCAGCAGGCGACGATTCTCGCGGGCCTGCGCCTCCGCATTCCGCTGATGGCCTCCCTCGTTCCGCGACGTCTGCCCGCGCGCGTAATGCGTAGGTCTCGGCGCCTCCTTACGCTGACCATCTAAATCCTCGCCACCGCCCTCCGGCTCATCGTGGAATAGCGAACGCTTGGGCGACGGGAAGGCCGAGGTGTCCAGGCGCCCAGCCAGCTGTTCATTCGACTGCAACAGGTCGCAGATGCTGTAGACACAGGGAATGCCATCCCTGCAGATCTCCCTGGCTTCCCTGTACAAATGGCGGGCGTAGCGGAGACGCAGCTCGTGCGGAATGTCGTGGCAGGTGGTTTTCAGGTAGACAAAGGGCGCCTCATAAGGATAGCGACTGCCGGGCGGAAAGCGGACCTCCACATGGAACCACAGCTCGTTGTCGTTCTCGTCGAGGGTATCTGAAAGATAAGAGACTCTATTAGCACCCAAAAAAGGTAACAAAATATATAGTAGCAATGGCTAACCCTTCTTAACCATGTCCTCATCCGCTGGCTGCGGCGGCAAGTGGGCGAACCTACACTTGGGGCCGTATTTGCAGGTGCCGTCGCGGTCAAAGTTGCGACACCGCTGCGGCGCCTTCTTCTTCTTGTCCAGCGCAGCCTGGGCAGCGGCAGCGGCGGCGGCCAGGACCGCCTCCCTAGCCTTCCGCACCTCCGAGGGACTGTGGGCCAGCAGGTGGTCGATGCGGAACTTCAGATTCCACACCCGATTCGCCTCGCGCTCCTCATACGCCTGGTCGTAGATGGACTCCAGGGCCTCCTTTTCCTCAGCGCGCATATCGAGCAGCTCCTGTTCGCCTGGCGGCTCCAGATGCAGCTGCTCCTCCTCCGGAATCCTCATGTAGCGGCGGTAGAGCAACAGCAAAGCAGCCTCCGTGTCGCCGGAGCAGTGATCATAGGCCTCCAGACAGTGGACGGCCTGGAAGCCGTAGTTCTCCAGCTTGGCCAGAGCATAGCGACGCAGGCGATCGCCGTCGCTGTCGCTGCCACGCGTGGAGCTCACGCCCTGCATGCTCTGGACCACCAAAGTGCCGCGATCCTGCCAGTAGGAGTGCTTCACGCCGTGGCCGCCGCGTCCGCGATCCTTGTACTTGCTGATGTCGTCCAGCCGGAAGTCGGGCCCGTGGATCTGGCGCAGCGTGTCCATGGTCATTTGGCGCGACTCGTCGTTCAGCCGAAGGACATGGAGCTCCGTTTTCCGCGACTTGTTGTCCGCCGCCTGCGATTTCGGCACCGCGGGCACGTTGCTTTTGGGAAATTTGGAATATCAGTGGGATGTGGCCATCGGCGGGTTAACCCAGGCGTACTCACGTGGTGCGGATGTCGCTGGGGCTGCGCAGGAAGCAGTCCTCCATGTGCTGTCGCGAGGATTCGTCCATGGCCACCGGAAAATGGCAAACGTAAATCAGGTATATTTCACAACAAACGCCTAATAGTGCTGCCAACTCGGCTACTTTCGATGTGTCAAAAAGCTAAATGGCTTGAAACTATAAAGTTTGATATTGTGATCAATTTATGTTTCTTAAAAATATTGTTTTGTTATGAAATCTAGTGTCAAAAATATACACACAAATAAAAAATGTGTACCTTAATAAAATAAAAAATAAATGTAACATATTAAAATTAAAATTAAAAAAAATTAAAAATTATAAAAAATTATTTAGGTTGATGCCAGAGTAAGTTCATATTTTAATCCCAAAAGAAAAAAAAAAATAATATATTTATAGCCATAAAAACCCAGCTACAAAAAAGCTAAATATGCAGCTCTGACGGTGTGACCATCAAACTCGATATATAATCGGTGTCAGCGAAAGCCGCCAAATTATCGATATTAAATAATTTAAAGTTATTACCCTTTACCAGCATAACCTTAAAAACGAGATTTGGAAGTTCAAAAATAGTTTAATAATATTCCAAAACTAGAAGAATAGACATAATGAACCGAGGAAGTAATTTTCTTCTAAGATTTTTTCGCTTTGGCTCATTCTACACCCATTTAAACTCTTGTATATGCAGTGATCGGTCTGTAATGGGAGGTCTTCTTAAGATAATAGCCATAATAAGAAAGATTTTTATGATCCGAAAGGGGGGTTTTATTAATGGGGAAATGCTTTTAGTTTTTCCCCTAGGGTATAACAAAGCTGATGGACTTCATGGTGCTTTTATGGTCCTTCGGCTCCAACTGGGTCAAGTCCTCGTTTACGACGTCTTTATCGGCTTTCTTCAGCTCCAGATCTAGTTGGCATATTTCAGCTCGTGGGGATTTGCAGGCATCGTGGCCACGGGAAACAAAAGTGGGTGCTGCGAGCGAGAATTTGTGGTAGTTCCGGGCAGCCAGTGCATTGTATTTCTCCTGACGAAGCTGATTTTTCGTGCTAAGTTCCTTAAAGACATTGTAGAACTTTGCGGCGAAGTTCAGGTTGGCGTCGAAGTCACACCAAACCAGCTTTTCGACTGGAATCTCCAGGGGAATCTGCAGTTCATGAAAACATTGCTGCAACACTGCAAAGTTCTTCCTGAAATGAGCGATTTCATTTGTCTCGAAAATAACATCCTTCATGGGGACGACTTTCTCAAAAATCATGTCCAGAAACTGACAGTAAATGGCCCCTGAGCACAATTCCTCTATGCACTGGATATCGGTGTTGAGCTTCTCATTCACCCACTCGCGAACTATTTTGGAAACTTTCATATGAGCCTCCAGCTTCTCCATACTTGCTTTGAAAATGTATAAAATCTCAATATCTAATAGTTCACAAAAGCTTATTGAATTTTTAAAAATAATTTGTTGTTCGTTCGCAACGAAGTATGATACGTGAATGCCGATAGTGCTCACTGTTCAGGAAAAGCTTGTGATTTTTCTGTCACATGCCTACTTTGCCTGGGTTTTTGAAAAACGGTGATTATTTGGAACAATTTAAAATACTTTTGCAATAGTAGGCTTTGCATTATGTGGAAGTTGTATTTCGGTGCCGGGGGCCCCTCAGTCCTCAGTCAGTTCCTAACACTCCGAGCGAGCACGTCGGAATCCCAGCTAAATTTGTATTCGTTTATTTCGGGGAAATTTTTTTTGTATTCAGATTTTTAAGAAATTTTCTCGATATCTCTTCGTAAAATTTCGGTTTTTCTTTTTACAGACCAAAGCCTAAGCGCTAAAGAGGTGAGTGTGCGATGTTCATCTACTAAGTGAGCATGGGGAACTAACTGTTCTGCCCATCCTCTGTTACTCACGTACACTGTAGAACACACGGTGAAGAGCTGCCCCGTGCAATTTATTCAGGAAAAAAATAAAAGAAAATGTCACACTGTGACATGAAAAACAAAGTAAACCCATTTATTTGAAATACAATTGAAAAATTTATGAATATTGCGGTTTTTAAAACTTTAAGGCTAGAAGTATTTAATTTAAAAACTATTGGTAGTGTAAGATTTTTAAACTTTGATTTTAATATGATAAAATGTTTTTTAATAAAAAAGCCTCAATTTCGAAAACTTTTTATTACAATTAAATTACAATTTGCTGTTTTTTTATAAATTTTAAATTTGAAAGTATAAAATTTAAAAACAATTGGTAATTTAAGAATTTTAAGTTTTAATTTTATCAAAAAAAAAACCTCAATCTCAAATACTTTCTATTACAATTCTATTAAAATTAAATTCTATAGGCCAATATTTATGTTTTGATACCCATAATATCTGCTCTCCACCGCCAGATCATCGTCATCCTCGAGATGGTACGTCTCACGGAGCAAATGGTGGAGGCCAAGTCGAAGGTCTCTGACTACCGCAAGGCGGAGAGGCTGAATGCCTGGGGCAGCGATCTGGATGACATCTCCATCTGTCTGAAGATGCCTCGCCTGGAGGTCCTGGCGCTCAGTGTGAACAGGATCAACACGCTGAGCAGCCTGCAGAATTGCCAACAACTGAAGGAGCTCTACTTGCGCAAGAACGAGATCTTGAGCTTCGAGGAACTTGACCACCTTTCCAATGCCCGTTCCCTGACCTCCCTGTGGCTGGCCAACAATCCGTGCTCGGATAATGCCGGCAAGGCCTATAGGCCCAGTGTGCTGCGCAAGCTGCCGCAGCTGAAGAAGCTGGACAACGTGGACGTTTGCGAGCAAGAACTGCAGGCGGCCCTGCATAACGAATATTATCCGATGCCGACCAGTGCCATCGTTTCTCCGGTGGCCGAGATGCCAGCAGCTGGGAAGCCCAGCTCCAGTGGCTCCTCCGGCAGCTCCAGCTCATCCAGTCCTAGTGCCAGTGCCAAGGCCAAGGCCTATCGCGATCGCATCGAGCGGGAGCGGCGCCAGCAGGGGGTAACCTTCGATGAGGAGGCGATGGCCATGGAGCTGCCCGAGTCGCCCAGGTCGCCCAGAGTGGCCAACAGAAGAGCTGGCGGGGATGCGGCCGAATTGGAGGCAGTGGGAGTTCGAGGAGGATCCGCCAATGACCACATGCGCATGTCACCGCCACGTGGCGGTCAGCGATCTCCTCCACTTGGAGGTGGAGCTCACCGGGGAGGGATCATCGCCACTTCGGCCGCCACGGCAGCTGCTGCAGCCATGTTGATGGCCCAGAACCGACTGGAGGCCATCGAATCGCGTCGCCATGAGCCCGTGGTGGCCAGTGTTTCGCCACAGGGATCGGGTTCCCAGCAGCAGGGGGCCTCCAACTCCTATTATCAAGGGAGCACTGAGCAGCAGCGACGCTACCGCCAGAATGCCAACCTCCTCTCGGCCGCCTTGTGCCTCATCCGCGAAATGGACCCACCCACTCTGGAGGCCCTCAGCCATGCCATCCACGACCAGGTGACCAGCCAGTCGATGAACTACTGACCCCGCTCCTTTGGTCCTTGATAGTTCGCGTTATCAGTTTAATTATTTCCAAATTATTGTTCGGTTTTAAGAAGTAGTCGCCTGGATATTACACAACTGGAGGAACAATCTGTCTTCGTGAGAGGAAAGTTGCAGAAGGATGACATCCACATGATAATTAAAGCTCCATAAGATTCTTCCGATCGTGCGATTCTTTTTTGACCTCTTCTAAAGGTTTATACGTTTTAATAATGATAATAAAAGACAGAAACAGTACAAATCTTTAGCTTTTTTAAATTTAAAGTAAGGCTTAAGCCTTGAAGTCATGGATTTATTTATTAAGATTATTATTAAGAATATTTTTGGCAAAGTTAAAGCAAAAAAACGAAAAGAAAAAATTCATATTTTTGTCAAAAACCAAGGTCCTGAATTTCTAAAAAAAAACAGTTTTTTGACCGTAACAATAAAAATATTGATCCAAATATGGATTGTCATACTTTTCTGAACTCGTTATTAAATTTCCTATCGATTGGCATTTAAACCTGGACCTTTTTAAGATCGCCCGGAAAGTGTTATAGATTTATTTATTATTTTGTTATCTGTTCAAAACAGTGTGTATTTTTGGTGTAAGACCATTTTTGACCAAGTTACAGCAAAAAAACAAAAAAATAAAATACATATGCTTGTCAAAAACCAAAGTCGAGAATTTCCATTAGTGTACATTACCTAATTCATTGGAAATACAGAAAACGATATTTATGGGGATCTTTTAATAATCTCTTTAAAAAAAGTCCCAAGGAGTGGTACTTTCCTTAAAGGGAATTTAAATTAAACAACTAATTAAGTTATCTTTTTATGCCAATGACAAATAATTAGGAAGTCCTCCGAATATGCCTGTCATTTGTCTCGTTAATCACTGTCGCAAGATGAGCTCGTGGCGTCTTTGGCCAGATGAGTTTGGTTTTGCAACTACCAGGAAATCTCGGGGCGCGATCATGATAGAGATATGGCCAACAGGTAAACACTGCGACTTTTCCGGTTTACAACAAAGGGCGACTCTTGGCAGTCGTAAATAGAGTTACATGCCACATAGGAATAGGAATGGCAACTCTGCATGGGTTCGTTTTTCGTTTTCTGTTTGTTTTTTGTCACCGACACTAGCAGACATGTGAGCCCGGGAAAAGATAGGAAAACAGACACCTCTCCACCTCCTCCTGCTCTCCGTCTTCGACAATTAAAAGCCAGTTAGGTGAATTTGATGCGGGGCGGGCCAAGAAGAAGACGTCCGAGAAGTATAACACACACTTGAAAATGTTATTATATTATCAAAAATAAATTAGAAATACATTTATGGAAATCTGTTTTCTTAAATATCCAAATAAACAGGAATTTCCTTAAAAATAACTACCCCAATATGATTTCCATTTATGGATTGAGCTTCCTTCAAAAGATCGGTATTTTATAAAATTTATTACAATAAAAATATATATATGGGCACTTCCAAAATGTCGCTCGGGACATTTGCACACCTTTAAAGTTGAAAAAAAATTGTAAAACAATGGATTTTAATTTTAATTATGGGCTTTTCTTTTCACTCTTCCCAAGCTCTATTTTTGGTAAAAATCTTAATTTTGTACCACTTTTAGTTTTTAAGATATCGGTAAAAAACTGCCGTATTCGCTCGGGACAAAAATAGAAGTGGATTTCGGGGAAGTTCATACAACACCAGAAATTAGCAAATTCTGATGGAATATTTGAATGCGATTTTTTTTAGAATGTTGTTCAAACATGTCGCTGTGAAATGCTTTTGGTTTTACTCAAAAATTCTTTGCCGTTTTTTTTTTATGCAGTTTCAACCACATTCGCTCGGGACATGTCGCTCGGGACATTTTTTCCGACTGTTTTGTAAAGCGGATTTCTTTACCTCTATCTCTCAATTGCTGGATGTTTTGCTTTTAACTTAATAGTTTAGCATGTGAATGAAGCATTCAGTACAGAAAAATGTCACATATTAGCATTCCTATAGGATAAATTTACAACAGAAGACAGGTCCAAAAAATAACAAAAAAATAGCCAAAAACTGATTTTTGCGTATATTGGTGGGGTTTGTCATAAAAATAATCAAACTATACTCCAAATTTGTAGTTAAGCTCAGTATCCAACTAATTAGAAACTAATATCGGGGCAAAATCATGTGGAAATATGTTTTATTCAAGTTTCAAGGTTTTAGGCTTGGTGGACTTTTTTTTGGAAGTGCCCATATTGTCTTCGATTTTCTAAAAACATTCCATACCTATTTTATTCGCCTTTATTTTACTAAATTTTGCTTAATTTAAAAGCAGAAATTTTCCTTCTATTGCTTGATTTTTTCCAGTGTTCTAGAGACGAGTCGGTTTAAAGCATTGTAAGCGATTTCCTTCTAATGACAATTCTTACATCTAAATTTTTTCGGTTGCCGGCAACATTTTTATGGCCTCCATTTAAGGGGAACTCACTTAATGATCTCGTTTCGCTCGGGCTTTAATTTTCATTTAGTCGCTTTGAAGTGCGCCAAAAGTGAGCGAGTTCAGCGAATTTTGTGAGCCATGTTTCGGAAATGGTTGATGTGCCTCTACATTTATTATGATTCGGGCAAAATAGTAATTAATAAACTTGAGGTATAAATATATAGAATTGAAAGGAGCACTTTCTAATCTCTTTCATTAAAATTTTTAATTCTATTTAGATATATCCATTGTTATCTACTTTAATGAAAGATCTTATATCTAATTTATATTTCATTTTCTTAAAGAAAACAGTTTTAAAAAACACAATAAAGAAGAATGCCAATATCGACAAAGGGAAAATATTGAAAAAATGTTAATCTTTAAGGTTCCTAATAAGTAATTACTTTACTAGACTGCAGATTTGGTTAATGACGACTAGTTAATTTCAATTCCCAATGCAGCGGAATTAACATGGCTAAAAATCTTGAGCACTGCAACTATAATTGCCAAGTCAGTCGCATTCGTAAAGACCGATGTTCCCGCCGATTGACCCCCACTTATAATGCCGAGTCACGCACATGGAGACGTCGGAACCGTCGGAACCGGAGACATTGAACCTTGAAAAGCCATGAAAAACTCGGGTCGAGGGGAAATCTTTTCGCACATACGCTTAAAATCGCATTCGAATTATGCGCATATTTGAGGGCTTATGAAAAATGTCAGATGGCAAGTGGAAAATGCAGCGGCCCAAAATGAAAATTAGTCAACTTAAAGACGGCAATTTGGCATCGGATCTGCGCAACTTCCAGCGAATGCAATGGAATAGTTGGGGGGAGTAGTAAAAAACATTCATATATACACATAAAGTGTGGCTATATAGATGGTGTTTCTGGGCCTGGGAGTTTTGGAGACTCGGAGACAGCGACGACCTTTAATGGCGGCATTGTGTGCTAAACAGCCTCGGAGTTTCCAGCTCCAAACTGGGAGATTTCTGGGCATAAACCACCGGAGAAAAAGAAGAAGAAGCCTCCGACGCGTTGGCGGTGGCAATTTCTCACGCTCGGCAAACGTTCCATTGTTCCCACAATTTTCCATTCATTCAGTTTGCTCGCGATCTGCTCCTACTTAGTAATAAGTTTTGCCCGGAATAAAAACACACGAACGCCGTACTCCCCATACTCCAAAAGAAAAAGAAACCCTAACCCCCGTAGCCATGGGCTCTTGCTCTTGGCTGTCATCATCATCATCACATCACCATCATCGTCATCATCGTCGTCGGAGTCTCACCATAATGAGTCTGTTTTATATGGTTATAGGGTTAGGTTAGTAAGTACGTGGAACTCTTTCCTATATACTCGTACTCGCACTCACGTTTGCATGTAGCAAGTGGGCACTTGTACTTGCAACGCGATCCCATGAAAAGATCCGAATCGGATCACTTGATGGTCGATTGTCTTGCTGACACCCCGGGTAAAAACCTCTTCTATAGAAATTTAATTAAGATTCTGAGACTCATTTAGACGCCACGATAAAACTTCCAAATGGACAATAATATTATACATCATACTTACTCCTAAGAATTTAAAAGGTTTACAATACGAAAAGACTAAAATCGCATTTTAATTTAATATGATAGCTTAAACAAATAACTAGTTATAACTTTAGTTATACAAAAATAACTACATATTTGTATGTGAAAGCATTATCATAATATGAGTATCCAAAGTTCATCTCTTAATACTCGTAGTAAAGAATTAGTAGTTTAAGATTAATATAGTAAAATAGTTTACTTTCTATGATCATTTAATTTTCAGTACCTATTTAAATAAATATTACGCTGTATTTTGATGTGTTTTCATGATCCTTCCCCAAATCATTTTACCTAATATTGAAAGATATTCTTTAAACAGTTGAAAACAAATTGAAAAGTTAGATTAAGATAGCTCGCTCTTATTTCGTTAAGATTTCTAAGATTGGTGCGCGGTAAAGCTTATTAACCCAGATCATATCGCATTATCGTGACTGAGTTCTGTTAACACAAAGAAAACGAGTCTATCTCACGGTATTCACACACGGTGACACATTTATGTGTGTCCGTATCATCATTACCGTCACACGAGTATGCAGAAGCGAATATGTCTAATCACTTTCATTACGATCACGATCATCTGAGTCTGATTCTCCACTTCCTAAGTTTATGACATGAGCACGTCGGTCAAGAAGTGTTGTCCAACTCACTGGCGGCCATAAAAAACTCGGACCCAGTGCGTAATCCGTGATGGTGGCTCTTGCTCTCTTCACCCAGAAAAAAAAATGACCTAAAATGTCAAAAAATGGCCTAGAATTTAGGTAAAATTGGCCTAAAACTGGAGCTAAGTCCTTGAATGGCCTAAAATTTAGGATTCCATGACCTAAACTGTTAGGCCATTAAAGGCCTAAAATGGGGGTTATTTTTGGCCTAGATTTTAGGTAATTGGCTGCCTAAAAATATGAGAAAACCCCTATCCAAAATTGTAGGCCTTCTTTGGCCTAAAAATATGTACTGAAAAATTTATAATATTATAAAGTAAATACAGAAAAGTTTATAGCTAAGTCGAGGTCAATGTCGGGCTTAGTCTTCAAGAAGTCGTCATTATGCCAACACACAAAAAGGAGCGAGGAGGCTTCACAGTTCAGCAGTGAAATCGCTGTCTTATTCAACGATCGAAGTGGGTTACCATGCAAGCCGCGCTATAACTGGTTGGGAATTATAGCGTCGCCAAAACGGTATCAAAGTTCCGTGCAAATTTATTTAGGTAAAAGGCATTAATTTTAAGGCCCTCGCTGACCTAAAATATTAGGCTATACGGGACCTAAATAGTAGGGCAAATATACCAAAAATTTAAATTTTTAGGCAGTACATGACCTAAAAAGGAACTTTTAGTCCATTTAAAATGTTTTAGGCTATGCATGACCTAAAATGTTGTCCATCATTTTTCTGGGTGTTCTAAGCCCGGTCGACTACATAACATGCGATCTGTCCCCGAACCGAAAACCCAACCGAACCGAACGGTCATTAAAGCGTCGAGTTGGCCCTTTGCCACTCTGTCTATGCACTATAACCCCCAGATCCACGCCCACTAGTGCTGCCCAGCTAAAAAAAGCTAGGATATGGCTTTCTAAGTTTCTTTGTAATATCTTTGTAGTACCCCAAAGGGAAAGTTTTTTGTAATTCGGTATTTTCTGAATTCTGAATGTAAGAGTTCTTGCCAAAAAATATGATCTATATTCGTTAGTCATATATTTATTATTTCTTCTAAGGTTTTCTTTCTTCTTTTTAAATTTTTTTTTTAAATTTATTTATCACCTTTGTTTAAGAAAATTGTATTTCAATTAATGGGAAAAATTCTTACTCCTTTGCTCCCTTACTTAGCTTTCTTCTCAACTTTCTTCTCTGGTTCTGTTTTCAAAGTTCTTTTTGTAATAATTTTTTAACAAATTTTTCAAATTGATCGGGAAAATAGCTAGACTGGCATCACCTGACCCCGGCTTTCGTTGCTCGGTTTACATGCACCAACCACCTTTGCTTCTGTTTCTGCTTCTTCCGCTACCTTTCTTCGTCATTCTGCTCGGTTTTTGCGCATGCGCCCCCGAGACACCGAAGTCGACAGAGACATTACATTACATTACAGTGGGATTAGATTCGAAAAAACAGCCCCGAATATGAAAGAAAAATGGAATTTGTTTAACTTAAGATCGTATATTGGAATAAAACTGCAAACTAATTAAATAAATCAATTCCCATTAGACATATCGTGTTACTTTAAAGATTCAACTTTTTACGGTGTTGACCAGACAAATATCTTGAACAAATTTCAAGTTCTTAAGATGTCTTTTCCAGAACGCCTGGATCAAATCGATATACGCATGGTAATTTTCTGGTATTTATACGCATATCGTTTTTACCACGCTATTCTTATTCTAATTTCGAGCATATCGAATTGATATCACGCTTATTAAGTCAGTTAATATCAAATTGATCATCGTTACATATCAAGTTTTTTTTTGTTGGTTATTATACTATTTCGTGTATCAGAAATCTCTGAAAAGAGTTTGCACAAATTTCAGATTTTAAATAATATTTTTCTTAAACAACCCACTGTGCTCCGATGGCCGAGGAAAGGCCGAGATCGCGACGAAGACAGGGTCTTTGAGGTTGGCTTTCCGTCGAGTCGCTCTGCGTTTGCTCAGTCGACTTCCGTCACGATTCGCGTTCGGACGTGCGTCGAGCGGTTTACAAGCTACCCAACTAACCAACTACCCAAAAACCCAACCCATCTTACCAAGAAACCGAAAACCGAAGACCGAAAGACCGGGAAGCGAATTAAATAAATAGCTTGATAACAATTTTTTTCGTATTTTGTTTATGTTCCGTGTTCCGTTTTTTGTGTTGTGTGTTGCGAGTGTTTTGTTGTCGTTTTGCCGGTGGTGTATTCGCTGGCCGTTTTTGTTTGGCTGCAGTGGCGCGTAACGTTTGGTGTTCGAGGCCCAAACGTCAACCCCCAAAAACAGAATATCTGTGGTCCTGGGACAAACAGGATGCGCTCGAGTGCCCCTGCGCACCTGCACCTGTTCGACTGACAAGTGCCCACGGACAACAATAATATTTTCCGGGTGGTGTGTGAAATATTTCGTATGTTTCGTATGTTGGGGTAATTTATGCAAAAACCCAGCGGAAAAGTCAACTGGTTGTTGGTGGGAACGGGCATTAGGAGCAACTCCCATATAAAATATTGAAAATATAATAAATAGAGGGGTATTAAAGGTACAGATCATGCTGCGATCATGCTGATTGTGGACATGTTGACGCTGGCATTGGCAAATGAGCCCTGGAGCAATCAAGGAGGAGGAGTGGGCACATCTTCGGTGGTGGTGGCCAACACGACTGGCGGTGGACTAGGCCAAAACCTGGGCCACTTGACATGCGAGGCACGCAACTCACGCGGCGAGGAGGCGGAGGCGCAGGCGCGTGCTGAATACACTGGCAACAACAATGGCGGCCACAACAATAGCATCATCTACGGCAGCAGCAACATTAGCAACTCTGGCGACAACAACGGAACAGCAACGGAAGTGCCAACGAAATGTGAGTACGCGCAACTCGAGCGTGAGAGGCAGAGCGTTAACGCAGGCGCATACCTGCAACCACCCAATGTGACAGGCAGCAGCAGCAACAACAGCAACGGGAGCAACACTAGCTCAATACCTACAATTGGCAGTGAGCTTTTCAAAGCCAACCTTGTGGCAGCAGCAGCAGCAGCAGTCGTCGCAGCTGAGCAGCAGAGGCAGCAGCTACAACCGTCAGCAGCAGCAGCAGCAGCAGCAACCAGCAGCAATCAGTCAACGGATTCTGGCCAAAAGTTGTGCAAATTGTTGGATTCGAGTGAAAAATCAAAGCAAATCGATGGGCCAAGCCCTTGTGGCGACCAAAAACCATTGAAATTCAGCCAGGAAAAGCCAACGCCAATCGAAGCCAGCAGCAATTTGAACGAAGACGACGACAGAGGCGACAAAAGCGACAACGACGACGCGCGACGTAGAGAAAAATTTGTGTTGTCTGCTCGCGGGCTAGATAATAATTTTTTTTACCCCAGTGAAAATGTGCAAAGTGCCAAGACAACAGAAAAAGAAACAGCAGTTGCAACAACAGTAGCAGCAACATCAGCAGCAACAGCAACAGCAACAGCAGCAACCTTAAGCTCGAAAAAGGAGGAGGCGGGGCAGGCGCCATTGTCATTGCCATACTCAAACCCAAACCCAAACCCACATCCCTATCCCCACCAGCAGAAACCACCCAGCAACTCATCCTTGGCTGGATGTGGATGTGGTGTTGATAATGTCGCACCACACATTTGGCCCCTTGTTGTTGTTGCTGGCGGTTACGTGGATTACGTGAAGAGCATCGCAGATACAGCAGCAGCAGCAGCAGCAACATGCAATGACAACGCCAGCAATTTGAATGCAACATCCGAGGAAAGGCTCATCGATTGCGAATCCTTGGTGGGCAATACATCAGTTGCAGCAACTACAGGAGTAGCAACTGCAGTAGCAACAAGCTGCATCGAGCAGGATCTCATCGATTTTGAGCAAGATTTGGGCGAGGATTTTGTGGCCAGCCAGCGGTTGAAGCGACTGCAGTGCAATTTTCAGGGACGCGTGGCCAGTAGTAGTAACATTGATTGTGTAAAGGCATCCTTGAGACCACAACAACAGCAAGAGGAGCAACAAACAATAAGCATAACAAAGAAACTACCCCCAGAGGGCAGGCCACCCCAAACCGAACCCCAACCCTTATTAACAAGCAATACCAATAAGGAAAACTCCAAAGACAATAAGGCGATTGCAATTCGAGTCGAGCGATTGCTGGAGCCAAATGAAAGCGAAACAACAGCTGAAAATTGCCAGGAGCAACATTTGCTGAATACGCGAATATTAGGAGAGTTGCCAGTGCGCAGGATCGAAAAGGAAAACGAGCAAAAGAGCTGCGACCAAGTGGTGATTGAAATCGAAACGGATTGCGAGGAGCAAGAGGACTCGACGAGGAGGCGCTCTGCCTTTGTCCCAGCACAGCCCAGTTGCAAGTCGTCCTCGCCGGCGGAGGAGGAGGATTCCGGTGATTTTGGGCCAACGCTCAGCGAGTTCGATGTCCAGCGGTTCAGCGAATATCTGAAGGCCGCCCGCCAATTGCAGTGGCGTCACAATCAATCGGATTCGAACTCAGGACCACAACTAGATCTCAATCTAAATCCAAGCAGGAAACAGCAGACCAGCAGTTTCCAGTGCTACGACGAGCTGCTCGCCGAGTTTGTGAGTGAGCAACAGGAGTACGAATACGAGTACGTGGACGAGGAGGAGGACGAGGAGGAGGCTAGCAATTCCGAGGACGAGTTGGAGGAGAATCCAAGCGATAACGATAGAGCCTGCCAGTGCCATGAGTGCCTAGCCAGCCAGGAGCAGACCACAGAAATTAGAGATACAGCTGACCTAGTAAATCCAAATCCAACTATAAATCCTACTCTAAATTCCAATTTAACCCACCTGACCAACGGCCACAAGATGCGCGAGGTCAACGGTCAGCTGCGCGGGCTGCTCAAGAAGCCAAATCGACCGCCGCCGGCGCGCAAGAATCGCGTCGTCTTCGATGAGACGCGCAACGAGTTCTTCGAGGCCGACTATATAATCCTGATCCGGGAGGATTGCGCCTACGACGAGGAGGACGAGGAGCCCTGCACCTGCGGCGAACACGAGCTGGTGCGCCTCTGCTGCGAGGAGGGATGCCAGTGCAACTATGCCGTCAATCCCGCCGAGGCGGTCGAGGGCAGGACGCCACAGGTGAGTGTCTAAGGAGCCTCCTGGGTAATACGCATTCCAAACTCTGATATCAGAGGGATGATTTTTGACTTGGCAATACCCAACTTTGAGGTTATGGCAGTGGCGGAGCCAGGATTTGGTTGTAGGGGGGGCTTTAAAAAAATTTTTGTTAAATACTTTTTAAATACCACATTTCCTTTTATATCAGAGGGAGGTTTTTACCTTAGCAATATTGGGTATTGAGGTTACAGCAGAATTTGCTTGTAGGAGGGATTTAAAAAAATCTTTGTTGCATACTGTTTGAATACCACATTTCCCTGTACTTTTCATCCGCGCATGAGTTATAGCAATTATATATTTATAAATGAAATATTATTTAGTTTAAAAACGGCATTAAAAATGGAAATATTTTATTTGCCTATATAATACTTACAAAATATACTTTAAAGCGTCTAAACGAGTGAGAAATATAAATATTTTATGAATTTTCGAATATTCAAATTTTTTAAACATAAAAATGAATATTGGTTATTATATAATCCCTATTATTTAAAAACATTTTTAATATTTCAAAATTCAAATATAAAAGTAATGGTAAATAAGGTTGGACAAAATCATAGAGCTTAAAATACATTTAAATCTTAAAAATTTCTTGAACCTAGAAAAGAATTAACAAGTCACTTGCAACTTAAATAAATTTCTAGATATCTTCTAACGACTCAATTATAGATAGTTGTTTTAAAAGCTTTGACAACTTGATAAAATAATTAATGAGCTAGTCTCTGATTTGTGTGAATGGGTTACTTAATAAAGCTTTAAAGACCGTTGTTGAATACGAAATGATTTTCACTATATATTTGCCTGGTTGCCTTGAAGAAGCCGATTGCTTTTCCTGTTCCTTTTCCTTTTCCGGCCAGCCAGTGCGATTCCTATTCCTATTCCTATTTCGATTCCTATTCCGATTCCGAGAATAAGCTGATTAGCTGTCTCCGTCTCTGGTCTCCAGTCTCTGTCCAGTTTGAGTTCGAGTTGCTTAGCTTAGAGTCCGGAGACCGTTTTGCCCTGGCAAAGTGGCTAATGAGGGCAACCTGAAACGCACCTCGGTCTCTTAACTATCCCATTTCACCGGGGTCGCAACTTAAATTGGTTTATTACTGACTTCGCTTCGTGCAGTTAGCTTTCCCGTTGGATGACGTGCTTTTGTCAATTTCAACTTTAGAACTCTGGAACCTTGCTGATTTTTATACTAACTTAGTATTTCTCCTGCAACACAGCTCGTTAGAGGTAGTGGGTGATGCAATAAGTAGCATTGTTTCAAAGGAATTTGCAGAAAAGTACTTTTAAGGTCCTGAAAACTGTAAGTAGGAAAGTCTTAAAAAATATATATAACTTTCAGAACAGAAATGTACTTCTAAGGTCCTGAAAAGTGTAAGTAGGAAAGTCTTAAAAAATATATATAACATTAAGAACCTCTTGAACCACTTGTTACACACTTAAAATATATATTTATTTATTTTCGTTTGACTCTTTAGGTTTTTGTAATCTTAGTTTGTCACTATAACTAGAAATTCAGAGTATTTAATCATAAACTTCGAGATGAATTCCTTGTCTTTTCGCACAATATTCACAATTAGAAGCCCAAAGTTTATTTTCCTTTTCAATTTGGCGATTTGTTTCGTTATCTCCTTGCCAACAGTGTGACATGGTGAAAATGGTTGAAAATTGGTGAAAATGGGCCCGTCGCTTTTCATGTTTCATGTTAATTACGGCAAACGCTGTCCAACTTTTGTTATCAGTGTGTGTACAATTGAAGAAACAAAAGCACAGCAGCCAGGCCACAGTGTCCTCGTTTCTCCCGCCCAAGTGGCAGTCAAGTAGGAGTCAAGCCGCAGGACACCCACCCACATTCACCCAGCTACACGCCCACTCGAACACAGATACAGATGGAAATATATATATATATACGTTCAGATACAGCCCCATTGTATGGATGTACCTAACACATAATAGCTGCGAGTTTGTCCTCGCATTCTCTATTGGCAAGTGTGTATAAATCACTTAAGAACTTTTATACAAAATGCTTTTCTTGTGCCAGTAACTCGAAACTGCAGCAGCAGTAGTGGAAGTAGTAACAACCGGCGACATTGTTGTCGATCCCCCCTTTTGAGGAAAACCCCCTTTTGAGTCTGTGATAGATTGTTTTATGAATTGCGCTGTGGATGTGTGTGCGTGCCATCGTGATGAACGCGTTATATGTGCTAAGGACATTCGGGAAAGTTGCCGCCAGTATTCGGACATTCCTTCCCTACTTCCTTCCCCGCCAGCATCATAATCACCCCCATACCATACCATCCATACCATCCTCATTGCCGCTCTCACCTCGACACTCGTATCGATCCTGAGCGGCCCTCGAGCTGCGTTTAAATTTCAATTTGCTGCCACATAAGCGACACTTGAGTGCGCCGCTTTTTTGCTTATCTACTCGGCCCTCCTCTGATGTCCTGGCAGGGTCCTGTCTGAGGGCCCAGGCGAGAGTGCATCGGGAAAAACAGCAGGATCGAAACCATTTTCAAATCGAGAGGTTATCGGGGTTTTTCTAAAATTTAACTTCCCAATTTAAAGCTTTTAATTTAATTTTATGTTTTTGATATGATTATAAAACATTACAGAAAATTTTAATAGATTAAAAACTCGCTATAAAGAATTCTTAAATTATTATTCTTATTTTCCTTAATAATTAATGGATTTTTTTATACCTTTTTTATGTTTATGATGTGATTATAAAACATTACAGAAAATTTTAAAAGATTAAAAAATCGGTATATAAAAAAGTCTTAAATTATTTTTCTTTTTCCTATTTTCTAAAATAATTTATGGACTTTTTATAAACATTTTTATTTTAATCAAAACCTAGCTGTATTTTTTCTGAGTGTAGGCGCCCAATGCACTTGACTTGGTGCTTCTTGAGCATGTAACCCCCCCACGATGTCTGTGTGTGGGCTCTCTGAAGAGTTTAATATGCATTTAGTGTGTGTAACAAGTTTACCAAGCACGTTGCATAACACACAGACAGCTAGCCACATCCACATCCATATCCACATCCTTAGAAGGATAAAGAATACGCCATATTTATGCAAAAGTTTTCGCATCTCAAGGCAGAGTTATGACAGGACTCGGGGTCAGGTTTCCCTCTAAAATGGTGAAAAAAACTCGGAAAACTAACCGAGGATAGAAGACCAAGAGATCCTTGTCTAGACACTGCAGCAAATAAACAGGATTTTGGCAGTTCTCGGGGGAATTCCGGTAGAATAAAGTTCGAATCCGTGCACTTGGCTGCAACTTTTACGCACATGTGCAGCATAACTTCAATGCACTCTATGTTGTATTTTTTACTTTTTTCCTACTTTTCCTGACTCTTCATATGGAAAAGTGTTCTGCAGTTCACCAGGAAATATGCCATTTTCGTTATGCTATCAGCAAAGATGATATATGATGTGGGAGCAAATGGAACACTTTGAAAACATTTGCTATACCGCATTGTCTAGGGGTAAATTTCTTGAACTTATTGTATGAATTTTGTGTTTCCTTTAAAAGTACCTACAATATTGTTTAAACCACTGGAATTTATACTCCGTACTTGGGTATATTTAATCAGTACTGTAAAATCAATTAGGTTAGGAATTCTCAAAACAAAACACAAAGAAGAATCGACGTGTGCCCAGTGCAAAATAGACGTGTGACCCCTTATTTAGATAAAAATAACTAACAAACAAATAGTTTATATGGCATTTTGAAGTGAATTAGTAAATTTAAATCTCTGTAAAGTCTGCATTTCAGTCACAATTTAGACTTACCCATATGAGCAGTGGAAATATATCCATCAGTTGGCCAACTATGCCGTTGGGTGGCAGTAGATATATCACAGTGGCAGGACGAGATGGGATGGGCTTAACTTTGATTTATGGCGCCCAGTTCGTCATCCCGGGTCCTTAGATGATGCATCTGCATATACATGCCCGCACACGGTCCATACAACTCAATTAGCTTAATTTGCGGTGATGCAACGGCCCACGAGCATTATTCACTTAGCTTACCTACTTACCTGTAACCCATTTTTCATTTTCCCTTCGCTGGTTTTTCTTTTTTCGGTTTCCAGAGTCCCAAATATCAGCCGCCAATTGAATTTGTGGACGATGCGGCCCTCAGTCCGCCCGATGGCTACAAGGACAGCAGTCTGAAGAACACGCTGGGCGGCGCCCTGAGCGGTCACATCTTCGGGGCGCAGCACCTGCAGCAGCTGCAGGTCATCCAGCGCCTGCAGCAGCAGCGTGCCGCGATGTTGGCCGCCCGCAACACCACAAGCGGTCAGATTCCGCCCCCGCCCCCGCCCGTCGGCAGTGCCCAGCAGCAGCAGCAGCAGCAACAACAACAGCAGCAGCAGCAACAACAGCAGCAGCAACAACAGCAACAGCAGTCACACCAGCAACCTCATCACGGAGCAATGCAGCAGCAGCAGTCGGAGGAGGACCTGCAGGGCGTTTGCACCGAGTGTGCCGAGTGCGCCGAATGTGCGGCCAAGCAGCTCCAGGAAGCAGGTGAGTGGGTGCACAGGCAGAAAATTCTAGCTAGTTCTAGTAAAGATAAGGCAGGCGATCTTAATCACCGTGTTTATGCTTACAAATGCTTAGCTAAAACAACAAATATTTAAATTGTATGAGGTTATTTTTAATGGCAAGGGAACTGCTTTAACAAAATCTATAAGCATTTTTTTTTATAATTTTAAAGGCAATTTAAAATTTCTAGACATTTTTTTTAAATTTTAAATGCAATTTAAAATCTCTAGACATTTTTAAAAACATTTTAAATTCAATTTAAAATCTCTATACATTTTATAAAAATTACTAAAGACATTGGAACTGCATTTTAATTAAATTGTTGAAGGCATGGGAGCTGCATTTATAAAATCTCTAGATATTAAAAAAAAGGTTAAAAGGCATGGAGACTGAAACTGTTTTTTGTTTAATGTCTAGAACGTAATCATTATAAGTGAATTAATAAAAATTACAATTAAATGATAATGTGCAGCCAAAAAAAAACACCTCTCAGAAATAATGATTATTATGTGAGCGATATTATTGCACTTAAAAATTTCACTAAAATAGATTGAAATTGTGCTTGTAGATAGAACCATCTGTCTTAAAGACTAAATTTTTTTGTTAAAAAACGTGACCTATTCCAATTGTGTTAGTTCATACGATAGACGCACAAGTTTCCCAGTGCAAACTCAGCCGCGATAAGGGCGCCGAGTTTAACTCAGTTCATATAATATTTTATTATCATACAATCGCATCATCGACCGATCGGCAACTACTTATTACTGCGCCATTCGATCGATCAGTGGGACCCAGTTAAGATGCTCGACTGGTGTTTATTCTGTGTGCTCCTCTTGCCGCTGGTGCAGATGGAGACTACATCGCAACTTCTGAACCTCAGTGCGAGGAACTTCCAACTGGATTTCCTGCGAGATCTAGACGACCTGGTGAAACAGCGGGCCGAGCTGAGCCTCAACAATTATCTAGATCGACTGGGTAGCAATCCGAAGAATGCAAACTATACGACTGAGCTAAGTGAGGCCCGTGCGACGTCGAAATTTCAGTCAAAGGTGACGCTTATCAAGCAGCTGCTCGATAGGCAGCCTCATTTAGCCACGGATCTAGAGCCCACCTTCGTCCTGCGCAACCTGATCTTTCTGAACCGATTGAAATCCACGCTAAGGGCCTCCAAGGATGCCAGCAATCAGGAGATCCGGCTAATGCGAATGCATCGTCTTTGTCAGCAATTCGACCTCAAGGAAGCACATCCCTATCAAGAGAGTCGACTCATAAACGAAGAAACTATCGGAAAAGCGTTGGAGCAGCTCAATCTCACCAGAAGTGAGGTCAATTCTACGGGCCTGGACCTGAACGAGTTTGGGGCGCAGCTGTACGAGCGAGTCAAGCTGTCGGGCGCCGAGATTATTGACAACTATCTGAATATTCTGCGCTCCATGCTCCAGGATATCATCGAAGGCGATCAGGGGGAACTGGCTGGGAGCAGTGACAAACTGGAGAATATGCTGCAGCAGCTGGACGCCATGCTGGCCACGCAGGATTTCTTTGAGAAGCGCCAGCGGGTTTACGCCTACATGGAGCTCCAACTGAGCACCGATTACGAGAATATGCGAGATTCGGCTAGATCTCAGCATCTTACCGAAACGCTTCTCGCCCAGCTGAAGGCCAAGGGCCTCGATCTCTTCGTCATCTTTTTGTTCAGCAACTTTGAGTTCTTGGATCTGGTCCACAGGCACTGGGATCAATTGCTTCCCCAAACGGGCAGCCTGCTGTACGACGAGACCGCCCGCCAACTCTACGACCTGCAGCACCTTTATGAGATCTTCAAGATGGACACAGAGTGCGAGGCCAAGTATGAGGCATACTCCTCTGCCCTGCGGCGGTTGAACGAGCGCACCGTGGACCAGGCTCAGCGCAACCGTCACATCTTTGAGCTTCTCAACAACGCCGCCCGAAACGTGGGCACAGTCACCTTCAGCATGATCAAGGCCAAGTGCAAGGAGCTAGTTTGACCCATGAACATCTTCATGTTAAATTTATATCTTTAAAATAAAAAACCCCCGTGTAAAATGTTTTGACAGAGATTTTTAAAGAGATCAGCATAACTACCCGAGTCGATATAGCCATGTCCGTCTGTCCGTTTGTCTGTTTGTCCGTTAGTCCGTCTGTCCGTCCGTTTCTACGCAAACTAGTCTCTCAGTTTTAAAGATATCGGGATGAAACTTTCCCAAAAGTCTTCTTTTTATTACAGGTATTATATAAGTTAAAACGAATCGGACAACTATATACTATAGCTGTCATAGGAATAATCGGAAAAATAATGGAAAAAAAAGATAGCTTCCGTTTTTATTGCCATTTTACCCTCTTCTCTTAGGAATATTATTTTTAATATATTTCTGAATTGCGAATTAAATTTTTAAAAAATCTGACGACTATATCATATAGCCGCCATAGGAGCGATCGGTAAATTAATGGGAAAATACTAGGACTACTACTCTATTCTACTCTGGGATTTGACTCTTTAATACTTAAACTTTTTATTTGACCAAATGAAAAGGGGTATGAAAATGTTTTGAGCTGAGATACATAAATGTACATGGTTTTGTGCTGTAATTTATGCTCTGTGTATGTGGCACTGTGCCACTACATATGTAGTGGATATATATCCATCCATCTCCGACGCCGCAATGCAATTAGCGGGAGTCCCGCGGGGGCAAGCGCGTTCTTTTCATTCACAAACGCTTTCGTTTGCCTTTGTGTAATCTAATTATGAATTATTTATGCAAACATTCGCCCGCTGCCCGTTGACATCCAGCTGGAGGCCTCGAGGTCCTTTAAATTGGACGCCATTTTGAATGCTTCCTGTTTCGCATAGCCGCTAGTTCGCTGCACTTGCTCTTGTAATTTTCTAGTTAATTTAATTCGGAAAGCGGGTCTGAAAACGGGGTGGCTGTCAGGGTTCACAGACGTTCAGGCGTTCAGACTTCTGGACAGCAGTGTCAATAAAGTGTACACAACGGATACACACAACCAAAGGCTTTTTGGATAAAAAGGTGGATACTTGTTATTGAAGAAGTTGAGTTCATGATATACTATTTAATGATATCTGGCTATATTATAGATATCTATACTGCCATTTCCTCTTTTACTAATCAAGATAAATTAAAAAGGTAACGCAGTTACTACACCTTTTGCCAATCAATACACCCAAAAAAAAAATCCTGAGTGTCAATTTAATAACTGTGGGTTAAAATGACACTGCCCCTAGGATCAAATTTTTGGGGTCAATTTGCTCCCAAATGAGTGTCAAAAGTACACCGCGTTTTCAGAAAAATCGTATTTGATACTAAATAGTGTCATTTTGATAAAACTAGGTTCACATCGATCCCAATAATTATCATTTTTGATTTTCGAAGTTCGAAGTTCGGCGATGTTTTACTCGCGTATCGATTTCGTTTATACTTGTCAAGAGTTCGCTCGCGCGCAAAATGGTTCGATGGCCCAGTTGGTAAGGCGTCTGCCTCTGATGCGAGAGGTCCCCGGTTCGAAACCCAGATAAATCAGAGTAGGTAAAAAGTTTTTAAAATGCATATATATCATTTTAAGAACAAAAATGTTAAGTTGTGTTAGATTACTGATAAAAAAAAAAAATAATGGTGTTGCGAGCGGGATTCGAACCTCGTTCCCCCGAGCACAAAATAATATCAGAACCTAGCGCCTTGGCCCCTGAGCCACGCCCATATTAATTTTTGCCATGGCAGAATGGTTACAGGAGCTTTCAAGCAAAGTTCAAATTTTATTTAATACTAAGAAAATGACACCGGCTAGTGGCTCTTTGACACCAAAAAGGGTCAACTTAATATTTTCGAAAGTATTAAAGTGACACCAGAATAGGGTCAATTTAATGACGTTCGGATCAAAGATTTTTTTCCACTCAATAGTGTCACATTGACACCTAAATAGGGGCATATTGATGACTACTTTTTTTTGGGTGTAGTTAACGACTTCCTCGAAAGTGCCTATAACTATGGGAATAGTTCCTTGGTGACGAGGCGATTCAAAGGCAATCGCTATCAGGCTGACTTGAGCCATAAATAATTCGATGGTATTTGGTATTCGGGGTTTGTTTGCCCAAGCCGCCCGCATTTTCACAGAAAGCGCTCATCGAATCGGGTCTATTGATTGATTTACGGCAACTTGACTTCGGTTCGAATTGAATCGAATTCGTAACCCTTAAAAGGATGTTTGAATTGGGAACATTGGGCTGCACAGGAGAGCAGTCATTTGCATTAATGTCGGTGGTCACGCTTTATTGGCCGCCAAAGCTGCAAACAGGGGAAAATCGAGGGGGGAGAGCATGGAAGGGCTGGGCATTTTCCGGGGTTTCCCGGCACGAGGGGCGCTCCTCATTAATTGTTGCGCCTAACGAACCGCGAATGCGACAAGCCCCCAGCGACAAGCCCAGAGCTCTTCATATGCCCAAAACTATGTGCATATAGTATTTAAAGTATGGCCACCGTAAACTGAAAACCGAAAACTAGAGACCCATACCGATCCTTCAAGCGCGCTTCCGCTTCGCCAGCAACAGGCGGAAGTCCACCAAACTTTTAACTCGATTTATCATCGGCGTTTGATGTGTAAAAGGTGCCATGAAGGTAGTCATGCATGGGTCCATACTTTGATAGTAAATCATATTTTAAATGAAAAAAAAAAATCTTCTTAATGAAATTGAAATAAGTGCCGTTACTCAGCTGAATGAGCGTGAGAGAGATGGAGATATGCAAGCAGTAAACCAAGCAGTTGCTTGAAAATGGCCTCATTGAAAATGAATTAATTGGCTCATAACTTCTTAATGAGTGGTCCGATTTAAAAATTGTTTTACATTTCCATAGGTATTAGAAAAGCAAATAAAATTGCATTTACACTTTTACAAAATCTGTAACGGGTATTCTATTTAAAAAATGATTGAGTACGTCAGAATTCTCTCTGTGTAGCTTTTAACTCAGTTCATTGTGAGCCATAAACCATAGTGCTTTAATTACTAATGTTTTAATTTCACCTCTTTGCCCACAACAGAATGCAGCTCCCCGCAGTGCCCGGAGGAGATGACTCCGCTCGGGGTGCCCGCCGTCGCCATTCTGCCGCTGCACACCAGTTCCCCGGAGCGTCGCATCACCCAGAAGGAGATCATCGCCGGCGAGGAGCGGCCCAAATATGTGCTGCAGTCCCAGTACAAGCCATCACCCACAGCAGGTACGTTCGCAGTCCTACTGAAACCAAAATCCGAATCCGAATCCATGACCAAATCCAAACGCAAGCCCCTTTCGTCATTAGCTTTATCATGCATTTATGCACAGCAAGCAAACGCTACATGGCCATATTGCACATTTCATATTCGACCTCCGATGATTTGATTCGATACGGTTCGATATAATCCCATTCCAAATTTACCATCTGAGCATTGGGCATTGATATTCCTTCCTATGTCTTCGAAATTTAAAAAAAAATCGGGAAACAGGAAAGCGATACAACTAGAAAGTATCCATGTTCAAATAATTATAAATAATAATAAGTACCTATAGTTTTAAAATCAGCTGTTTCATACCAAATTCTAACTCGAAAAGAACGCAACATTTTGCAATCAACCTTTTTTACTTTTTATAAAAAGAAAATAAACAATTAACTTCTTAGGCAAGCGCTTTAAAAATCAATCCCAACTTTCAAGTTGCTTCTTAAAAAAAAACGTATATATTGTATTCGAAAGCCAACCAAACGCCCCATCAATCGCTTATTCAACTATTGGACTATCGTGTGCATTCGCATGTGCACTGTACATACCAGACATCCGTCAATCACGATTTCAATCCTCAATCCTTTGAATGCCAATAAATGCTCTATTTTGCCAAAACCATGCCGCCCCCCCGATGGTTTTGCTTGTGCAGTGGTCAAGTCTAGAAAGGAGTCGCCCAGCGGCAGGTCAGCCACCCAAGTCCCGGTCCCAGTCCAGGCCATCAGTAGCTCCTCGAAAAATAAAAGATTTGTTGTTGAAACCATTACCACTATGACCACAGTGACCGAGCGCCGAATCATCCGGGAGGCGCACGAAGATGTGGCGACCGCTGCCGTTCCCGGCGTCGCCTCTGCCCCCGCACCTGGTACCGCCCCGCCTTCCGTTGGAGCTGCTGCTGCCGCGAGCGGAGCGGATATGCTGCCGCCCGCCCTGCCGGCCAAGGCCAGCGCAACAGCAGCAGCGGCCGCCGCAGCAGCCGCCAACGCAACAGCGGCAAATGCAACGGAGCAACAGCAATTCGAGGCCCAGAAACCGCCCCCTATACCTCCGAAGGAGACATCGCCCACGCAGATCAGTGGCATCCTCAAGGGCGGCAAGCTATGGAAGCAGGATTCCATCTCCCAGGTGAGTCATTGATATAGTGATTTCATATTTAATATTTAACACCCTTTTCTTGCCTCCATTCGAGCAGCAGTCGGATGACCAGAACAACACCACTTCGGAGGACGAGAGCGGCGCCACCAAGCGCTCGGTGAGGTTCGTTACCGAGGATCAGGCGAATGCCGGCACCGACAGCGATGCCCAGTCCCTGGCCGGCGATCTGGACGACAGCGAGAATCAGATCAACGAGCTGATCCCGATCAAGAAGCACTCGACGCTCTTCAACAACGCCCTGCGGCCCAACTCGGCGGTGCGCCAGCTCTTCCCGAGCGTCTCGGCCCACCAGGCGCCAGTGCTCACCTCGGAGGCACTGCGGGCCTTCGACGAGTCCAAGCGGGCCGGCTGCCTGGTCACCCACCTGCCGGGGAGCTGCGGCGACTCCGACACCCTGCGCCGCAGCATGGAGCGCAATATATTGCGACGATCGCTGATCAAGTAAGTTGCAGGGTAGATTGTGTATAGTTTTTTTTGTGTGTAGTGTTGAGATAAGTTAAAATGAATCCAAAAGAAATTCTTTGGTGAATTTTTTTGGCGCCCTCGGGTGGATTTAGGATTTGTCCACCCGGGGGCGCCAAAAAATGATCGAGTAAGTTGTAGAGTAGATTGTGAACAGTTTTCTTTTTGTGTAGTTTTGATTGAAGCTAAAATTAATCCAAAACGATTAGTTTGTTTGGCGCCCTCGGTTGGATTTAAGTTTTGTCCACCCGGGGGCGCCAAAAAAATGTTTGTACTCCCTTTAAACCAATTCTTTCCGTTCCATAGGAAAAAGGCTGTTAAGTCGGACATCTCGCTGGAGGAGCGCATCAAGCAGCTGACCTGCGACATTGACGAGGATCTGGCCGAGGAACTGCAGCGCGCCGTGGACGAGGACGCCGAAGCGGCCGCCGAACGGGCCGATGAGCTCGCTCAGCGCAACAGTCCCGCCGGCGAGGAGAATCCGAATCCGGTGCCCGGTTCTGGTGCGCTGGCCCACAAGTTTGTCAACGGCGAGAAGAGCTTCTCGCCTAGCAGCTCGGTATCGAGCTCCTCCAGCGGATCGTCGGCCTACAAGAAGATCGCCGACATCTTTAATCGCGACAAGAAGCAGGAGAAGATCATGGAGATGGAGGAGAACCCCATAGTCATCATACCCCAGGTGGGTTTTTGCTTTTTGGTTTTTCAAAGGGAAATAGTTATATGTTCGAAATGAATCATTTGCAGGAGTGTCGCTGTCCGGCTGCTCCCGACTTGGGCATGGGCATCCAGGTGCCGGTGGTGCACACGCAGATCCACCGCACTCCGCCCCGCCAAACGGAGCCGAAGCGCCAGTTCCTCTCCTCCACTTTGGCCCCCCTGACCGCCTGTGTGGCCGGGAACAAGGACGACCTCTCCTCGTACTACACCTTGGCCGCGGCGGCCGCCGCTCATCCGCATGCCCATGGCCACGCCCACACGCATGCGCATGCCGCCCACTATGCCGCCGCCGCTGCGGCCGCTGACTTTAATATGGGTCAGCTACTGGGAGCGGCAGCAGAAGCCGCCGCCTCTGGAGATCCGGCTGCCCAGCATGCGGCTGCCATGGCAGCTCAGGGTTTGGCCCAAGGAATGGCCGCCGCCGGAGGAGGAGGAGGAGCTCCGCTGGGCGAGGATGCCCGCAAGGTGGCGCCAGATGTGATTGCCGGAACTCCAGGTCAAGAGGCCGCCGGGCGGCAGGAGCAGGACGAGCTGGCCGCCTTCGCCCAGGCGGAGGCCAAGCGGACCGAGCAGCTGAAGAAGCGGTACACGGGAGCCGGCAGCTCGGAGCCCAGCCAATCGCAGGCGAGCAGCGATGATGACGAGCAGAACGACTATGGGTTCAACAAGCGACCATCCGTGCGCGGCATCAAGCCCAAGTTCAGTTCGACCAACGAGATCCTGGCCCAGATGCAGGAGCAGCTGAGTGCGGCGATACCCACGGTGGTCAATAGCCAGCCGGTGCAGCATGCGGTCAAGGGTTATGCCATGCCCAATACGCTCAAGCAGAATCCCTCGCCGCAGAATGTGCCACAGAATGTGCAACAGCAACAGCAACAGCAGCAACAACAGCAGCAGCAGGCCGCCCACCAGCAACATCAGCAGCAGTTGCAGCAACAGATGGCCGCCGCTCTGCAGAAGACGGAGCAGCGAACGTGGAGCTTCTACAGCGAGACCGGGGAGCAGCAGAGATTCCCCATGGATGCCTCGGCCATCCAGCAGACCTACTACCAGACCCTGCCCGCCGGCACCATGTTCCGCCAGACGATGATCCAACAGGGAGCCACGGCAGCCGGCGGTGCCGACGATGCATCGCTCCTGTATGCCGCCGCTGCCGCCGCCCAGAATTGTCAGAGCGTCACGGCCACGGCCACGGCAACTGCTACGGCCACCGCCACGGCCATCGAGCAGAGCAAGCACAGCAGCTACAGCAGCCACTTCGCCCGCAGCCCCACCAGGCGGCCCGAGTCGCCGCCGCCGCTGCGCAACTACCACCAGACCATGGTCCTCATACCGTACAACGCGGAGACCTACTCCCAGTTCGCGACCAGCAACAGCGGCGATCCCAAGCTGGCGCACATCCAGCGACAGAATATCCTCGAGTACCAGCAGGTGAGTTGGAATCTTATTCTAAGAAAGAAAAACCTACTCTAACTTTATGCTGAAGAATTCGCGTTTTAAGATTGTTCAGTTGGGCTGTCATCTATAGCCTTTTTTCTTTTTGTTTTTTATTTTATTGAACTTAAACTTTTATATATTTAATCCAAAAAACAAGAGCCCTACTTTAACTTCATTGCTTTTTAGTTGGACTTCATTCAATTAAAAACGGTTTTAATTATTTAAAATAAACTAAAACCTGATTTAACCTAATGCTGAAGAATTCGCGTTTCAATACGGTTTATTTAGACCCTTGTTTGTAGTCTTTTTTCTTTAATTTCATTGAATGTAACCTTTTTTATATTATTTCTCAAAAACAAAAACCTGCTTTAACTTTATGCAGAAGAATTCGCGTTCTAAATATTTTTTTATTTTCCTTTTGACTATATTTAATTCAAACGGTTTTTATTATTTCCAAAAAACTAAATCCTGCTTTTACTTTTTAGTACACATCGCTTTTTAGTTGGACTCTCCTTTATAATTATTTTTTTCTTAAATAGTATTTATTTTAAAACGGTTTTTATTACTTAAACTAAACTAAATTCTGATTTTACTTAATCCTGAAGAATTCGCGTTTAAGATTGTTTAATTTTATTTTTATTATTTATTTTTTATTAATTTTATTTTGTATTTATTTTCTTAACTTTTATGAAATTTTGAATGAATAACGTACTTCATTATTCACAAACGTAAATGTAAGTGTAAAATGTTTAAGATAAAGAATCTTGAATAACTCGATTGTCTTTTCTTCCGCACTAGGTTACCCAGCAGACGATTCGTGTGCCCATCGGCTACGCCCTGCCCGGCATGCAGTTGCATGTGGTTAGTGGGCGTGGCCATGCCGCCCACTACGCTCAGCACCAGCAGCAACACCAGCAACAGCAACAGCAGCAGCAGCAACAACAGCAGCAGCAGCAGCAACAGCAGCGCCTGATGCAAGGACACTATCAATTCGGACCGGAGGGCGGAATGCCCGGATTTAGCGAGCGCGGAGTGCCCGAAGGAGCAGCCGCCGTATCGCATAGCGATTGCAATGCCATGGTATCGCCGACATCGGCAGCAGCAGCAGCGGTACAGCAGCAACAACAGCAGCAACAGCAGCAGCAGCAGCAACAGGCCGCCGGAGGAGTGGGCGTGGGCGCCCAGGCACAGGGATCCGTGTATTATGCGATGAACGTATGACCCGCGCTCGAATAGTCGCTGCCAGCGGCGGTCATTGTCGAGCGCCGCCAGTGTCAACTTGTCGAAATGTCAGCGACTTCAGTGCATTTGGGGAGCGGCGGCATGGGCGGCAGATGAGCGCCCGCCCCGCGAAATTCTGAATCCGATTTGGAGTCCTCGAGTTCCCATGAGTCCCATCCGCTGATTTGAGTTGCCCCTCAGTTGACCCTAGCGAGCGTTTTTGAATCAGTTTGATCTTCCGTTTAGCAAGTGTATCCGTGTATCTGTTTCCGCATCAGTATCATTATCATTACCTTTATCCGTATCCGTATCCATGTTGTCTGTATTTTGTGTCGCAAAAACTCAAATATTATCACATATTGTCCAACGGTATGCTACAACACTGGAGCTTAAGAATTATCGATATTTTCGATATTTTCATAACGATATTTTCGATAATATCGATGTTTTGAAGGGAAAGCACATATAAAATATCGAAAAATAGTAAAAGTTCAATAGACTTGTTTTGCAGCCTGCTTTTGCTATTGGTTTTAAGCCTCTGGAAATTTATGTGGCACCTCCAATAAAAAAGAATCCACATACAGTCGATTCTTAAACCATCAACGTTATGCAATACTCCGAAATTAACACTTTAAGTTGAGCCTTGCCTTGTCGTCGAGGATCTTATTTTATAGTTATTAATATTTAGTCAAGTGTAGTGAGGAGAGATGAAAATCTAAACCAAAATACAACCAAATCACATGAATTTATTTCGAGCATATACATACATGCTGGGTGCTAGTAATGCAAGAACAACAACAACAACAAGAAACACAACAAAACCAATGAGAAATTAATTAAGCTATGAAAAGTATATTTAACAAAGTTAAACCTAAAGCAAGGATATGTAATAATATTTTTTTTTAATTACCTTTTTTTTTGCTGTTAGCCAAGAAAACAGAGTTTTGCTCAATGGAAAGTGCATTTGATTTTAAACGCATCTATATAAACACATACATAATTATATATCTACATATGCGAATGCTAAACTAAATTATACATAATTAAATTATATTGAATTGAATTAAATTGATATTATAAAATATTTCCAATGTAGTGCAATTTGTTGCTAACTCCAAAAGCCCTCTTATCAAAGAGAATTATATTAAAAGAAATATATATATATATTTTATGAGTATCGAAATTATAGGAATATTTTTAGGCTTAGGCTTTATTTATATGAAATTTAATTTAAATTTATTTTTTGTTCTTTATGTACAATAAATTTACAATTTTCAACAATATTTGATTTTTTACGCTTAAGAAATGTACCGTCATGTTGAAACATTATGTATGAACAATGCATAGGCGAATACATCTAGATGTACGTATGTTTCGTATGCTACAGTTTGTTTGGGTTTCATTTTGTAGATCGATCAGCCTGCATCGCATTCCGCATCTTCCACATTCCAGACCTAACGAGATGATCCTGAAACCCGGAGAGATTTCAAGACAAAGGTGTCCAGAAGTATGCTGCAAAATTTGTGTGGCATACTTTTAGGCATTCAAAACTTCTGTTTTCTAATCTCTACATATTTCAGAAAATCTCATATCGCCTTTCTCCCAAAGTGAGAGCATCAGTGCCAAAAGCTTGCATCCCAAAACCTCTCTCAATCATCCCATACCTCCCAGTCACTTCATCTAGTTGATAAAGATACCATATAAATCGTGCAATCATAAGCAAAATGTTAGAAGATACACAAAGTCATGTTGATCTGGAGATAATATCGTATCTCTTCGATATATAAATTTATACACAGAAACATACGCATAGAAAACATTAAGATGATATACAGACATGCATACAAACATATATTAAAAAATATGAATATTGTATTTCGATTCAGATATTGTGTTAATGTCTATAACGAACATATTGAAACTATTGAAAGTAAACACAAATTAAGAAGTGCAATAATGTTAACGAGGCAATTACCGCTGACCGGAAACGGAAGCGGGAAAATAAAAATTAAAACAAGATGAAAAGGACAACGCAAATCCGTGAGAGCGTGCGAGCGAGATAGAGGATTGTCGGCCAGTTAGACAGAGATGCAGATAGCCGGTGAACAGAAGAGTGACAGAGATGGCGCGCATAACGAAACAATTTAGTCATAGATTTAAAGACAAACAAACCAACACACATTTACACAGCGATTAACGATTAACTATAAACAATAACTAAAGCGTGGTCTTAGGTGTTCGATATTACATTTTTTTGCTCTTCGGTTTTATTCGTTCTTTTTCGCGGTTCCAATGAGAGATTCCGATACTAGAATTGACTAGAAAACGCAGCGCGATTTGCATATTATATAAATACATTTAGAGCCAGATAGCGAGCGAGAGTAAAGCGATAAATATTAAAAGAAAAACAAATAAATATATGTATATATATACATACAGGCATACAATATATACATGGATATATACTAGATGTTTATGTAATACATAAATGGCATTGAACGATTTCCAAGCACATTGCAAGAGCCCCAAATTCAGAATCGCATGAAATTGCCCCCAAACTCTTTGTGTTTCACTCCAGATGTAACTCGATTTTTTCTATGCAAAAGTAGTTGAAAATTATAAAATTAAAACGATATACATATATTTAGACACTTACATCGACAGTATCCTATTCGAATGATTTCGTTTAAGATCTTGAGTTGCGACTTTGGACATGCAGAAGGTTACGAAAGAAAAAACAGAAAATGTGTATGAAATAGTATAAATAAGGTCGGATATTTATGCCCCGACATTACGCTATATGTATGTGGGGCAAGGAACAACAACCAATCCAAGAAAAAAAAATACAAAAATACAAAAAAGAAGAACAACCAAGATGATGTAAGCGATGGATCGAAGTGAGAATTGATGCGAACGGCACAAGTATATAACAAATTTCAACAAGTATATGACTGAGCCAATGACTCAAAAATAAATTTTAAACAAAAAGAAAACCAGAAATATATGAGAAATATAAAAATGATAAGCAAGATAATGTTTACCCTTTTTCTTTTTGGGAAAGGGGAAGTTATAAATTTATTAAACAACGAAAAAGTCAAATAAATTGGTTTGTATTATATATTTTTGATTACTCTAGAAGTCATGGTTTGTTTACTAAATGGTATGGTGCAATCATCTAAAAACAAGTTCCCAGTTATCAAAATGCTTTATTTTTATACAACCTTGACCTATTTTCAAAAAACAAAAAAATTTGTTAGATTACCAATTTATTTTGTTTCACATACACTCAGGAAAAATATAATCTTTATATTTTTAAACCTAAAAAATATTTCTTATTCCATTTAATAGTTCAATTTGTTTATTTGACCATAATATCATTGGAAGTAATTAAAGATATATGTAGAGGATGCCCCTAAAACAGCTGATATTTTCGATTTAATTTTGGTATTCCTCAGTTCCATTCCATGCTGCAAAAGATTTGTGCGCGCCGCACTTTCACCTCCAGAGCTTGATAATTCCCAGCCTATCTGGGATCAGATCGCCGACTGTGCAATCAGTCGGAACTGAACTGGAGCCCTCTCTCTTGGGCTTTCGGTTATGATCGGTTCGCTGGGGTCTCATCGTCTCATCTCCCCATCTCCGCATCTCTGGTCCGCGACCGCTTCAGTTTGCCGGCGTCCACCGTTCGACGAGCCACGCCACCATGAGCTGTCCCTACGCAGGAAACGGGTGAGCTGGTACCACCACCCCAAAAGGCGACCCTCAATCTCTAGTCCCCGCCTTTCCCACCCACCAGAAACGACCACGACGACTCGGCGGTGCCCCTGACCACGGAGGTGGGAAAAATCTACGGGGAGTACCTGATGCTGGACAAACTGCTGGATGCACAGTGTATGCTCTCCGAGGAGGACAAGCGACCCGTCCACGATGAGCACCTGTTTATCATCACGCACCAGGGTGAGTATAAATGAATACTCCATGAGTGCGATACTATATTCCTTCCATATATCTCCCCAAAAGCCTACGAGCTTTGGTTCAAGCAGATCATCTTCGAGTTCGACTCCATTCGGGACATGCTGGATGCAGAGGTCATCGAAGAGACCAAGACCCTGGAGATTGTCAAGCGACTAAACCGAGTGGTTCTCATTCTGAAGGTGAGTTATTTTCGAGGGTTTAGCGCAGGAGTTCTAAAAACTACAAACATTCATCAAACAATCGATGGAAATGTTGTTGGCGGACAGGGACACAAAAGGAATTGACGTGTGCCCAATGCTGTGTGACTACACCAAAAAAAAGGAAACGAAACTATTGTTACTTGAATTTTACACTATTGAGTGTAAAATAATGCAATAATAAGATGAGTATTAAATTAACACTTTTAAACTTATTAAATTGAAACTTTCGATGTATAAAAGAAAACACAAAATATTAAGTTAATAATATTTCATATGAAATTAATACTACTGAGTATAGAATTTATATTATTAGGTATTAGGTCAATACCACTTTTGTATAGTACATCTAGTATATTTTTAATACAAAGCTTAAAGAGCTAACACTTTTGATTTTTTTGGGTGTAAGCAAAGTCCCTAAAAAACAGCTAATAATTCCCTTTCCTCTGTTAGCTTCTAGTGGACCAGGTGCCCATTCTGGAGACGATGACCCCGCTGGACTTCATGGACTTTCGCAAGTACCTGGCGCCCGCGTCTGGCTTTCAGTCGCTGCAGTTCCGCCTGATCGAGAACAAGTTGGGTGTGTTGACCGAGCAGCGGGTGAGGTACAACCAGAAGTACTCGGATGTCTTCAGCGAGGAGGAGGCGCGCAATTCGATCCGGAGCTCGGAGAAGGATCCCTCGCTGCTGGAGCTGGTGCAGCGGTGGCTGGAGAGGACGCCGGGCCTGGAGGAGGACGGCTTCAACTTCTGGGCCAAGTTCCAGGAGAGCGTGGATCGGTTCCTGGAGGCACAGGTCCAGAGCGCCATGCTCGAGCCGGTGGAGAAGGCCAAGAACTATCGGCTGATGGACATCGAGAAGCGACGAGAGGTGTACCGCTCCATCTTCGATCCGGCGGTCCACGATGCGCTGGTGCGGCGCGGTGACCGCCGGTTCAGCCATCGGGCCCTCCAGGGCGCCATCATGATCACCTTCTACCGGGACGAACCGCGCTTCAGCCAGCCCCACCAGCTGCTCACCCTGCTGATGGACATTGATTCGCTGATCACCAAGTGGCGATGTGAGTGATGCTTTCTTTAATATATATTACATTAACTTATTGGTGCTAAAAGTACATAATTGATAAATTAATCAGATTTTTACTAGATCTCTTTTTTAATTTTACTAGAAAATCAAAAGAAAATTTACTTTTATTTTTTATTGATTGATTTAAAATTCAAAATTGATAAATTTATCAGATTTTTACTAGATATCTATTTTAAATTTACTAGAAAATTAAAAAAAAATTTAATTTTTATTTTTCATAAATTTGTCTAAAATTATTTAGCTAAGAAGAAACACACTTCTTTAGTCAAACTGCAGGAAATTTAAATTTAAAATCAACGATTAGTAGTTAAAGTTAAATTTATTCTTTAGCCAACAATTTATGTTGTATCTTAAGCATGCTTAAAAAATATGTACTGAAGTGAACTGAACTACTTTCTACTCCCGCCACAGATAATCACGTGATCATGGTGCAACGCATGATTGGATCCCAGCAGCTGGGCACCGGTGGATCGTCCGGATATCAATATCTGCGCTCCACTCTCAGGTGATCAACGCAGATCTGTCCGCGCGGAGATCAGTGACCTCTAAATTCCACTTAAATTCCTTTCAGTGATCGCTACAAGGTGTTTCTGGATCTTTTCAACCTGTCCACCTTCCTGATTCCCCGCGAGGCGATTCCTCCGCTGGATGAGACCATTCGCAAGAAGCTGATCAACAAGAGCGTCTGACGATCGGCAGGGGATCCAGATCCAATCGAGCAGTGTTTGGCTATGACTTTCATTTTCTACCAACAGTTTAATTTTTTGTGTAATAAAATCACTTGTTATTACATTTATGGTGTTTATTATTCTGGCTAACTGAAAAATTAAAATTAAAGCCATCTAAGTAAATGTGACTTTTTATCAGCCCAAAAGTAGGCCATACATATTTTGGCAGCATTTCACTTTTCTTCTCCCTCTTTTTTACTTCATCGATGATGATTATTTGCTAAAAATGGCAAAAAATTAAAATGTCCAGATTTGAACGCAAATCGATTCAGAATTAATCTACGAGTTCAACAAGGTATGACATTTCATATTTGGGCTATTATTTCTTTTGTTTCGGCAAAAAAAAACGTATATTTTTGAGTGGAAAACATAGATGCATACTTTTTGAATAGCAAAATTCCTTTCATTTTCCCTGAGTGGGGGGTGATATATCACCCATATCATGGATCCGAGAACTCATTACGGTTTAATATAAATCAGACACGTTACAAACATCTTAGAAAAATAACAATACTCTAACCTACGCTTTGAAAATGTTACAGCGTAATTAAAATTTAGCCATTTGCAGATTGTTTGCTTAATTGCTGAACATAGAATGAGAAAGCAACAGTAAATTCAGCACTGAACTTCAAACAGTAAATAAGCAAACGCGAACCATTTCCGAATACTGAAAAGCAATTATAAAGCAATATAAAATTGGACTTGTTTACTTGTTTCTCATTTTAATTCTTAACATTGTTTCTCAATTTAGTTCCATATTTTGAAAGTTTAATTGGTTAATTGTTTAGCTGGAATTTTCAAGAGATCTTGTATAGTTTGGTTATCTTCTCGGCATTCAAGTTTTGCTTTGGAGAGCTTTCTGAACCGACTATCGCTGTTTGCTCAAATAGAGCACACAAAAACATAACCTTTGCCGGTGGCCTTTCCCTCGGGCGATAAGCCCCAGATTTAAGCACTGAGTTTTCAGTTTCATTATTATTTATTAGAATGGGATGCCAGCTCAGTCCGCCCCGCTTTCCCCTTCACGAGTGCAATTAATTAGTGGAATTGGATTCGAGTCGTCTTGCGAAGGGAGGAAACGGATCAGACCCGAACAGAACAATACTGAAATCAGAGAGCTGAATTCCAGGGCATTATGCAAGCTTAATTCGCTTGAATCGCTTACGTGAGCCACTTCCGAAGGCAAAATAAAAATTTCGGACTACCCCCTCATTTGCTTGGATGTTTGCGGCTATTTTTGTCCAGCCTGGTCGGGTTTTTTGTTTGACAATTAGGGAATTAGCGCTCTGCCCAGGTAATTATGGACCGTAACCCTCGGCCAACCCTTAAAGCAGGTCCCTCCAGAATTCAGTGGCAAAAGTTCATCGCAGTTCTAGGTCATTCGGTTCTAACGACTTTCATATTTTCTAGTTTAAATGAAGATCCGATTCATCTTATACGTACGATTATAAAATTAAGAATTGTTTTTGAACTTAGCAATTTGAAATTGCTATTAAGGCGTTTGAAATCATTTTAAATGGCTTAAATAAAAGTAATAATGTGTAACTTTAAATTTAATATTATTTTAAAAATTTGCATTATTAAATATTTTTTTTGAGTAAAAAATCTATTGAGATTTATGCGTTATTGTTTTTATAGAATATTACGTTTATAAAACGAAATAAATATATGTATACAACGATTATTATACGCATACCAGAAGTTTACCATGCACATATCGATTTAGGCCCGTCGGGTTTTTTAAGATTTTAAGATTTCCTAAAAATGTTTTTATTTTTTTATATTTGTTACTATAATAATTTGTAATATATACTGTTTTTAATGAATAAATCGTGAGATTTGGAAACTAAAATGGCCTACTTGAACAGCGGAAGGGTACCTGTGCGGAGGCAAAACCCACGCCGCCGACGATTGCGGCGTAAGCTCATTAATAAAACCAACAACAACCACTGCTCGGACGACAACAGCAGCAGCTACAACAGCAACAGCAGCAACAGCAACACCGGCGACAGCAGCAACATCAGCTGCGATCGCCAAGATCAGGCGGATGCCGAGCTGGAGTCTCTCGTCAGTCGCTTACTGAGTCTCCGTTCAGTTGGTCGAGCTGTCTCCGAATTTGTAAAAAAAAAAGATCGTAATAAACCAAGGCGAAGTGCTAATAAATCGAGCAAAATGCGCTGCCTGGCATTGAGCGCACTGTTTTTGTGCCTGGCTCTCGGCGGCCACTTTCATTTGTCAGGTAGGTAGAAAGAAATAAATTTTAATCACAGGTAGTCATACTGAATAATCCCGACTCTCAATCCATCAGCTGCCTACAAGAGCGAGGTGCAGATCACTCCGGATCCCCTGGACTCGCTAGAGACGACGACCAAGAAGTCCAGTTGGTTTGGCGGCTTCAAGAAGTTCTTTGGCAGCGATGCTACCACCACCACGACCACCACAATTGCTCCCCCGAAGGCGGTGACCAGTCCCAAATCGTTGGTAGTTACCCCAACGGCGGCACAAAAGCCTCCACCACTTGTAATCTCGCATGCGCCGCTGGTGCCGTTGGGTCCGCGACCGGACACCCCGGGATCCTCGCCCTTTGGCGCCTCCCCGCCACCGGCCAGCGGTCCTCAGTGGCCGACGAGCAGCACCGCCCGAGCACCGCAGCAGCAGCAGATCATTCCCGGTCGTCCCCAGCAGGGAGGAGGCACTGCAGCACCCAATCTGCCACCTGGCTTCGCACCCTACCGACCACAGAAGCCCCAGCCGAACAGCTACGACCTGAGCTATGGCGGTGGCCCGGCTGGAACAGGACGTCCTGGCTTTGGACTAGGCATTAGCACCACCTCCGCCACCACCACCAGCACCACTACTCATAAGCCAGTCACCACCAGCACGACCACAGGTAAGACGCCGCAGCAGAAGGATGACTTCCCCGCGCTGCCAGGACCACGAAGGCCGTCCCAAAAGGAGGACTTCCCAGCTCTGCCCACGGCGAAGACGCCTCCTAGTTCGCCCACGCCCACGTCGGGTTCCCCGTCGGCCTGGCAATCGCCGCTGCCCACGCCTCAGCATCCAGTGCATCCGCCCACCAAGGCCACTCCAGTACAGCCCACTCCCGCCTCCTCGGTCCACCCACCCACGTCTACCCACACACCCACCCATGGAGGGTCGTTGGGACCTCATAAGGTCATCGGCGGGTCGACAACCACTGTGCGTCCCGGCTTCCAGTCGTCGGGCAACTCGGTGGCCACCGACGACGAGATCCGCCAGCTGACCGAGCAGCTGTACACCAAGGAGACCACGAACAACCAGTTCGGAAACGTCCAGGTGAACCTGCAGGGACGCACGCGATCCATCGACAGCGCCGATGAGGCACCCAATCCGTAAGTAATCTGTGATATTTGGACTTTTTGGAGTCAAAAGTGGGCCACCCCTGTTTCAAAGGTCTGGTTTTCATAGAGATTTTCTCAATTTTCCTGTTTACAAGGACAATGATAAGAACCCCTTCTTCATTTGAACAGTTGAATTTAGAGTTTTAAAGGGTTTATAGATGCTACAATAAGCGCTTGGGAGATTTTTGCTTATGGTGATTTACATTTACTTTGTTTTCTACATTTAAGGACCATTTTCTCGTACACATGTTACATTTAAAGTAGAGTTTCCATAACAAAAGATCAGATTGATATGTGCTGGTCAATTTGATATTTCTTAAGGATCTAGTTATTCAAATCATTTTGATATGGACAAAGATTATGTTTATTTTATTTTACATTATTTGTTTAAAGAACTACTAAAATTAGTAATATGATAAGATAAAATATCCAGTTGATATGTTTAAATCATAAATTTGACATAAATCATATCGGCTTTTTATTGATATGAAATAAGGTAGGATTTGACCCTATTTTATTTCGAGTTTTTTCGGTGTGTATATTTTTAAGAGCTTCCTTTTCTTGCTAATGAATATTAATTAAGGGGCATGTCAAATTTCTGTTTAAATTCCTAAAATTAAATTGGAAAAATTTAAAGAAGGTGGATATACCTAAATAGGCTCAAAATCCCATCCTAGATTGCTCATGACTTGATTAATTAATCCATTTAAAATACCTAACAAGATATTAAACTGTTATTAAATTATAAATTTTTCCAAAGACTCCTTAGTGTGGACGCGAAGGCCCTGGAGTCGCCGACGATTGCCAAAATGCGGCTGTTGTTCAACAACTACGAGCACGACACCCTGGTCAACGAGCACGTGACGCCCAACGAGCGGAAGGAGGAGAACGACTTCCTGGACGCGGTGATGGCCACGCCGGTGATGCGCCAGGCCATGCAGTTCCTGCAGCAGAAGGGAGTTGTGGGTCCAGATCCGAAGACGCACCGCGACCTGGTCAAGGAGCTCTGGTTCACGCAGTACTCCCGCGGACAGGGCAAGATCGGCAGCTCCGGATTCGAGCACGTCTTCGTCCACGAGGTGAAGGACGGCACCATCATCGGGTTCCACAACTGGGTCTACATTGGCGATGAGGAGAAGGACGGCCGGTTCGACTACAAGGGCTACATGAAGGAGCAGGACATTGGCACGGTGAGTGGGGAGTCCTTAGAATCTGAAAGAAAAAACTACAATTACTATTTATCCCCTTGCAGAAGGGCAAAATCCTGAAGATCCGGTTCTCGCACCAGGGACTCAACAAGCCAGTGAACACTGTGTTTGTGGGCACCTCTCCGGAACTGGAGCTCGCCCTCTACACGGTCTGCTTCCAACTGAGGCCCGATCGCACTTGCCCGGTCTCCTTGGGCAACAGCAAGTTCGGCATCATCACCTATTCGTGGCGCTACCGGGGAAAGAACCTAATTGGCAGCGCCTATCCGGAGATTTGAGGCAGCGATCAGTGATCAGTGATCAGCGATCGCTCCTCCCGCAGTAGTCGTAGCACTTTTTTTTCTGTCGCCTTAATAAATAAAGTAAATGTGTGAAATACAAAACATTCTCTTTTAATTGAAGGCACTAAAAATATATAGTTACTATAAAAAAAGTTTTAAAAATGATTTTATTAACGTATCGAATTAAAATGCGCGGGTTTTATCAAGCAGTTCGTCGCACTGCTTTACAGTTTAGTTGAGAGTTATAGACATATCAGCATGTAATTTCCCTTTCAGTGTACAAACCGAAAATCAAATCCTTGGTAACTATATGCCTATAACCGAAAAATATTTTCATTATTTTTTATTTTTAAATTAAATTTTTTTTAATTTTAAAATGGTTTAGTATTTTTGGTATAGCTTTCAAATTGGTCACACTGCCGGCAATTACAAAATATACGCGCGTGTAATGGGAAACCTGTTTGAGCCCCAAGCGCGGCTCTTGGCCAGTTTTGAGCTCTCTCTCACATAGAGTTGTTAAACACCCAAAAATTATTAATAAAATTAATATTATTATTTAAAGATCTTCGTTGCATTTTACAGTCAATAGCAAATTTAATTTTCATTGTTTGATTCTACAAAAAACTAAATACGCAACAGGAATTTTCCCTAAAAATCTCTTCTGGTTACTTGTGTTAAATATTTTGTATATGCATAAATAGCAACATTTATTTTTAATTTTGTATGAATTTATTTAAAGAATATGGTCCGAAAACACTATCCTATGTATTTTCCACCAAATTAGCCAATTAGACTACAACATTTTTTTTACTGATATTTTATATGATCCTGACAACCCTAAGCCCGCTCTTCCTCTCTCTCTCTTTCTCTCTCACTATCGGCAACAAGTGATCTGCGTTGACCGTTGTTCCATTGGGTTTCCAGTGGTTTCGGCCATTTCAGTTGCTGTTTGACTGCCGGAGGAGTTTGTTGTGCATTTTTTTTTGGTGCGCGGCGTGCCACGGATTACAACCACAACCATACACATATGTACACACACTAAGCGGTCAAATTAAGTTTTGTTTTTTTTTCGTTACCCAACTCGCAAGTGCCGTGCAATTATTTGTTCTAGTTCTGTTAACGTTATCCGAAATTGAAAAGCGTCGACACTTTTTGACAAACAACGCAACAGCCATAGCGTAAAATAGAAGAAGAATCACAAACAACGAAGCAGCAAGAGCAAGAAAGCAAGAAAGAGGGGAAAAGCGAAGAAAGGGGGGCAGCAGAAGACACCACTGCGGATGAAATGTAGCAGAATTCTTCCTCTTCTAATGTTCTGTGTGCGGTGACGAAGTGACGCCAAAAGAAACCGAGCGAAGAAAGAGAGAGGGAGCTCAAAAAACATAAAACACAAACTCACACGCTGGCAGAACGGTTAACTGAAACGCAAGGCAACAACAAAGCAAGTAAGTAACGCTCTGAGAGAGAGAAAAAGGGGAGAGAGGAAGAAGAGGAGCGGAGCTCTGAAGCCTCTCTTGGAATTCAAATCAGAATCTGAATCTTGGTCGAGTCGACACAACAACAACAATAACAGTACGAATGTCAATAGAACCAGGATTGCCAGGCGCCATTAAAATCTATTTTTATTGAACAACTTTGATTGGTTGGTGGGGGTTAGGAAAGCAGTATTTTCTAAAAAATGGGTGTTGAAAATTGTTTACGTTTCTTAGTGGCGTAGAATTCGATATTACCTAAAAAATGCGGTGAATTTGTTTAGTCTTTTGAGCAATGTATATTTAAGTATCCAACTAATGGAATTTTATTTTAAAGTTCACTTTATTAAAGTTTTTCCTATATTATTGTTTATTCATAATTAATTCTGACTATTTAAAAATAATATTTAATATCAAAGTAGGTCCAATCCATTCTTGTCGCGTTTTTAAGACCTACAACGTTTTCAGTTTAAAAACTTGTTGAATTTAAGAATTTATAAAAACCGCTCCCAAATGAAATCATCCACGCTTTTTTCCAAAAAAAGTGCACAATCAGTCGATCAATTAATCAGGCCGCCCAATGCCATTGCCAATAGCAACAATGAGTACTCCAAGCCACCCCCATCATGGCTAATTATAGAGGTAATAAAGTTTTGGTATTGCGGTGAGCTCATCGGGGAGATGCAATCGATTTCTAACCACTTGCACGTGTTTAACTCGAACCTTTTGGATTCTTTAGTTGGGTTTGTGTTCATCCAAAGGCCCAGATGCCAAGACCTGTTCTCTTCAACGAATGCGATCGATTTCAATTTGTGTAACGGCACTTGGGGCTCCCCCATCCCCCGATTTTCGATTCTCCGATCCGTTGCAGTTGCATAAGCTTCTCCTAACGGTTTTCGAGTGGTTCTAGATGCTATATTTCGGTATATTTGTCCGATCCCTACGATCGTCCCAATCGGATGCCTCGATTTGGCTCGCCTCGGTTCGTTTCGTTTCGTTTTGTATCGTTTTTGGGCTTTCGTTCGGTTTCGATCAGCGACGTTTTGGCAAATCATGGCAAGGCGAAAGAAGCCAAGAACGCTGCGCTGCCAACGGTATACGATAGCAAACAGTTAGGCGTGCAAAAAGCCTGAAAAAAAAAACAGAAGAAGAAAAAAAAATCGACGCAAAAGCTATAAAACAAAAAATTGGTGGTGGCGCAAAAGAAAACTGGTTCCGGCCATCGAAGAATGCCGCAGCGGCCACTTGGCCAGGTCCGAATGTCTCTGTGTGTGTGTGTGCTTGTGTCAGTGTATGCGTGCCACTTCCGTACAACAACGCCCTGACCCCCGCCGCCCCCCTTCACCCCTTTTCAAATTGGCCTCTCTCCTCGGAGTTCGCGTTCGTTGCCTGAGTCTTTTGTTTTCCCTGCTCTTCGCCGTGTTTTCTTATCGCTGCTATAATTTCATACCCTGCCGGATAGGCGGAGGGTGATTCCATTGGGGTTCGACTGTTGCATCGCTCGGGGGTCGTCAGCGTTAAGAGTAAGAATACCAAGGTCTTGATCCAAAAGCCATACTTCAGTGATTTTATGGGAGAATCACTTTTGAACGGTTCTGTTTGGGTTAACCATCTCAATTTTAATTACCACGGAGTCCCAGGTGTCTAAAACATTTTTCCATTCGTTGAGAGTTTTAATTCTTGCCATTAATATTTTTGAAAAAAAAGTATTTATAAAAAAAAACATTGTTTAAAGAGAGGATACGATAGAGTGCGATATTGAAAGTGTCCTTAGGGCCTATTTCTCGTCCGCCTATTAAATTTAAAGAAAACTTTAAATTCTGATTTCTCATAAAATTTAAAGGTTTTAACCCTACTTTAAATTAGTATATTTTAATTCATTCACAATGCAATCCTTTCAAGGGTATCTGATATTCTCAAGTTTTCTAGTTTTCCCATTTTGCTATCGATAATTTTTATTTGCTTTTCGCTTTCGTGCTCATTTTCATGCTGGAGACGCTGGCAAAGAAAAAACCGAGCCGCAAATGCTAAAAATGCATAACAAAAGCCAAGGCAAACACCACCACCAGTGCAAATGGCAGCTCACACAGTCACTCACACTCTTGCTAATGCGACAAAGATGTTAATTGACTTTTACTTTATTTAAACAAAATAGTCACAGCGAGCACAGCACAAACAACAACGAACAACCGTGATCTCCATTGAGTGAAATTTTTAATTTACGTTTTTTATTAATTTATTTTCGTGTGGTTTTTGCGGCACATTCCCGCGTCTTCAACTTTGTCTTCGGCGTCATCATTTCGGACAGACACTTCTGCTGTTGTCGTCATCGATTTCGTTTTTTGATCGAAACCCTACACACTGTTATTAAGTTTTAATCGATTTGGATGATGCGATAATTGGAGGCATCAAAAATCAATTTCGCCTGGGAACTTTTGCCAGCTATGATTTGATTTAATAAAATCGATAGAGCTGAGTTTAATTTCGGTGGGCTAAACTTAAGACTCGTTTGAGAAAGTCGCGTAATGGAATTCCTTTTTTTTGTTGAAAATATGTCAAGTTAGCTTTTATTCTTTGGGAATATATTTTGTTAATCTGTTAATTTTATGCTTTATTAATAAACATAAGGAATACAAATTCTTTCTGTTCGCCTTATTATACATTTAACTTCTACACTTTCACCACAATTTCTTCTTAGTTATTGTATACCAAAATATTTACTAATTAAGGTTTAATTAAGGTTTAAATATTTGTGTACCTTTAATGAGGTATGAATATGATCTAAAGATTCAATTGGGTAATGAATCGATTTCTTTTTAACTGAAGTCGGAGCCCCATCTTTGGTGGCGGCACCTTCGTCAGATTTGCAGTACCTTTTTGGCCCCGGACCGCCTTGCCCCACATTCCGCAACGCCCCCAAGACGCAGCTGTTTCCCAGCTCGAGGGCGCCCACTTCCAATTGGCCTGTGTGGATGTGTAGATGGTACACGCAAAAATAAATCTATAATTTGTAACAGTTTAGAACGAGAAGAAATCTTCGAATTCTGTCATATTAGATTCTATGGCAAGTGCAATTATTAATTATAATATCTAATTCTAATATTTTAATAGTTTTATTACACACAAAACACTCGCTGTGATCAAATCGATATGCGCATGGTAAATTTCGCATTTTTTATACTGATATCGTTTTTACAATGCAAATTTGAATAATTTATATATAAAATTGATATTTTGCCGATTTCTCTTACTCGGAGATTCTCTGTCTTCGAGAAATAGATACCACATAATATCAATATGATCATCGTTTCATATCAAGTTTTTTTTGGGTGAAGATTGCATTATTTTCGTTCGGTGTAACCGGCGTCCCTTGTTGCTGCCACCAATGTTGCGGGTGCGGCAGCAACAGCAACGCACACACGCAAAACGATTGCAAAAAACAAATCGAGCGGCACTCCTTTGGCTGACACCAACATGGACTAGAGTTGAGTTCAGTTGAGTTGAGTTGATTGTTAGAATACTTTATGCACCGCCACTTTCAATTGTCTCCGGCAGAGATTTTTGAAAATTTCCCTTTTTGTTTCTGCATGCATAAAGTTATCCGTCGCATTGTGGGCTTGTCTCGCTGTGTATTTGTGATCGATGGCAAGCTGGCAACATGGCGCGCTTTTTTTCTTCCAAAGGTTTATTGGCCTTTTGGCTTACTCTCTGCACGTGCGTGTGTGTGAGTGTGTGTGTGTGTCGCCATTTTAGCTCGAACTTGGCTTATACCATTTGGCTTGACTCTGGTTTTGGTTTTTCGGTTTTTCGGTTTTGGCCCTGGTGCTAGTGAAATCGTGCGCCGACTTCAACTTCTTGCTAAATATTTCTTCTTTCTACATGAAATTTTCTATTTGTCCAACCCAAAAACGAAACGAAGAAATGCCAGGCCAGGCCAAGAGCAGCAGCAGCAGGGCAATTAAGCCGCTTACTGCAACAACAGAGAATAATATATGACTAGTCACTCCCTAGACAAGCCGAGCCGAGCCATGAGTGCGTGTTGTTGACTGTTTTTGGCCAGAGCTTTTAGCCAATAAGTCAAACTGTCAGTCAGGCAGTCGCAGCCAGACGTTGTTGACGTCGCCGTTGGCTTTAATTGAAATTGCCTGGCCATTTGCAGGGGGAAAGGGAAAGCGCGGGGTATTTCTTTTGGTTGGACTGCAGTCCAAATCGAATTAGCCGGGAATTTGTGCGGAGCCACAGGGCAACGAGCTGCAGATTATCGCGCGGATCTTGGCGGTGATCTTGCAGATACGGAGTGGGAATTTGTTGGGTCAGATTGGTATGCCAGATCCACTTTGGGGGAATTTGTGTGAATTCAGAAAACAAGAAGTTGTCAGTTTTTAAATTGGATATGGTCATTTTAAAATTATAAAAAATAAATAAATGAATAGAAACGGACAAACAAACGGACAGACGTACATGTCTAGTTTTAGTGATGTTGATCGAGAATAGATATACTTTATAGAGTCGGATACGCCTCCTTCACTGCCTGGCAAACTACAACAAAACCACTTTTAAAAATATAAATATTTATGGATTTTTGGCCAAAATATAACCTTTCTGGTCCCAAGCTCATTTAAAATTAATAAATTAATTATTTATCTTTCAATCAACATGGCATACACGCAGCCAAAACGAAAGCCAACTTGCATATCGAAAAGCAATAAACCTAAAACAATACAAAAAGTAAACAATAAATAATGCATAATTGCGGCAGGCAAAGAGCGAATGTGAAATGTGTTAAGTGGGTAACAAAAACGAAACTTGAAAGTAAACTGAAGTAAACCGAAATTAATTGCTGCTCGAATTGCAAATTGCAGTTCGTCAAACCGACTCAATTAAAACAAAATCGAAATCATAAACGTAAACGAAAACTAAAACGTAAAATTAAACAACTAAAGCAACATAATTAAAGATCGTATTTGGCTGTGCGTGTGCGAGATGGTGAGGTGTTGTTGAGATAAAGCAAGTAAAAACCTATCGAGTTTCACTTCGTGGCAGCCAGAGCCAAATCCAAAGCCGCACCTCCTGCCCCCGCTCCTTATATATATCTTTTTCTAGCCACTTTTCTAGGGCCATTCAGACTTCTCAGCTATGCCAAGAATGTATCAATACCCTCGAAACGAGAAACTGGCTGCCAAGCCACCAGAGACACACATTCTTCAAGCCGCCTAACCAACACCAAGACCCGATTCCGATTTATGCATAACTTAACATTTAAGCATTTGTACAGGTGCGGTCGGCTGCCTCTGTGTGGAGTGTGTGTGTCATAGCTGATAACAAATCATTTTTAGAAATCGAACAAAAGCATCTCTCAGAGTATTCCATTTTGTCTCATGTGGTCATGGGAATACGGTTGCCATACGAATATTTCCCGTGTCGAAATGGAAATGAGAGAACAGTCTGTTATTTCATTTAATTTAACTTGTCACCGAAAATCAAAAGACTTAGGCAGTGAACTCGAAAATTTTCTTTCTCTACGCTGGAATTTTAATACTTGAGGCTTAAGAACGAAAGACTTAGGCAACAAACTTGACTAGTTTTTGGTTGTAGAAATCTTTTTTGAAATAAGAAAATAATAATAAAAGAAATAATAATAAATAATAAATAAAAAGAAAAAATAATAAGAAATAAGAAGTCTTACCTAAACCAAAATATTATAAGTATAATATAATATTCAAATGTACAAAGGTTTAAACTTGACTATTTTTAAAATAGTGCTATAGAATGGGTTATTATTGTGTGAGAAATGTATAAGAAGTCTCATTTAAAGTATAAATTGATATATTATATTAAAAGAAATTAATTAAGAAGAGGAATCCTAATGCAAGTGCCCCCGGTTGCGTAATTTCCGTTGCCATCTAAACTGCCCAACCCAGGTCGGTCGCACAAACTTCGCTTGACTTATCCAACAGTTAGCCGCAAATGAAATTCTTATGATTGCTATTCCACATCGTTGGATATTTGCTCATTGATTACGAACATACACACACACTGTCGCATAATCATGATGTTAATGCCGAGGCTGTTGTTGCTATTTTCGTTGCTGCCGTTTTGGTTTTGTTGCTACCTTAGCATTAAACATGGACTGCAGGCAGCAACAGCAACAGCAACGTCTTAGCATTGGAATGCGGTCGAACCCGTAGCTAGCCAAGATTTTTGTTGGCTGCCTTAGCCATTGTTTTTGTTATTATTACACAGCAAAAAAAAATCTAATTTGTCTCAAAATCAAGGCAAAATTGTGTCAAATTTTTAGCATAAGCAAGCATAAAATAAAATAATAATCGAGAAGTTTTTAGATAACTAAATAATAATAAAAGTTTATTTAAACTTTATGCTGAATCAAAAATCAAAAAAAAATGTGTATGAATTGATGATCATTCTGATATTATTTGGTATCAATTTTGTCTTGATATGCGGCATCTCAATTTGATAAGCTTGAAACGTAAATAACAGGCCGGTTGCTCCATTTCGAATTAGTTCTTGGTTCTTACTGTCTTTTTCTAAGTCTGATAATCTTCGAGAGAGAGAATTCGGGAATATTATATTATTTAATATCAATAATACGCGTATAAATGCCAGAAATGTATCATGCCTATATCGATTTAATCCCGGCGCGTTTATTTTTGTGTGATTTAAGTACATTCTAACAAAAATGTGATTATTTTGAATATATTTCTTAAATTAAAAATATCCCATTTTCGCCCAGTGTATGTAGTATGTAGCCCCAAAAGATCGACGGAAAGAGAGGGCTACGTGTGCGTACGTGTTGGCCTGATGAAGCGGCGAACTGAATGAAATTGTCTGACGAAGTGTCAGCCTCCCCCCGGCCGACTCGAAAACAAGTTCCTCTATTGACTCTGTTAATTCGTGAGCACTTGCCGGGCCAGTTCGCATCGCACAGATTCGTTACTGGGCCAGGCCCAACTTCAGTTTCAACTCCAACTCCAAATCCACTTCCAGCCAACAAATCCAAATCCGATTGACTCACTTAAGACAAAACTGCATGAATCAAATCAAATCAAATCGAATCGCGACAACTTCTCTCTCTTTCGGTCTTTTCGGTCGTTGTTTTATTTTCATTTGACTTCTCTGTTGTTTTGGGCATAAATATTTATGTATGTGTGCTAAAGGCATTTGCCGCAAAACAGGTGAAAGTTTTTGCCTGAGAAAAGGCAAAGACAAAACAACAGCAGCAACATCAACATCAACATGGGCAGCATAAGCCAAGAAGTGTGTCTTGGTCTCGAATATTTTGTTTTTTCCTTTTATTTTCGCTTCTGCCGCATCTGCTTAATATTCTTTTGGCCAACCTATATTCACATATGTAGTTTTGGGCTTTCTGGGCGTTCGCATTTCATATTTACGATATTGCTTTTTTGGAAATTTCTTAATGAACTTGAATGTTTAACTTCTCTCTTTGCCCTTCCCCGTTTTGAGGCGATCATAATTTTGAACGCATTCTTGGCATATTAATTGGTTTTCTTTGGGCCAAGTTGAGGCTGGCACTTATAATATTTTAATCAACCAATTGTGAAGGCAAGTCATGTTGGTTCCTTTGGTTTTTGTTTTTATTTAATATTGATCTGTTGCTGTTGTCGGTAATACAAAAGATTTAAGTGCTTTGAGCAATGTCAACCTATGAATAAGACATTAATCATATTCCTTACATTTTTTATCTCGAAGCAGTTAACGCCATACAATTAAAAATGTGTAGGTGTTTGGAGAATGCTCACTTTAGATAGCTTAATGCATGGCCTTGACTTAAGATGGATATCTCGATTTTCTGGAATTTATACGCAAATCGTTTTTACCATGCAATACTGGTAAAATTTATATGAAATAAAATAATATCGCCGATTTCTCTCTCACGGTGATTCTATGAGCAGCAATAAGCAATATGGCGACCTAAATTTCAACCATATCAAAATGATATGCGTAATACTTAATTTAATTTTTACCCATTTAAAATTTCATAAAAATGCTATTTCTTTTTGCCAATTTGTCGTGTCCCTTCATTAAAGCCCTTTGGCATACTAGCGCTTCAAAAGGCAATCGTGAATTTCTGACGTGTCTTATTTAATAAGTTTGATTCCCTCGGATCTTCTGCAACGATGCAAACGATTGCTACTGTCATTGTTGCCGCTTCACGATTTAGTTGATTTTTTTTATTGTTTTGTTTTTACCTCCGCCGTTGCATTTCATTGCAGCCCGGTCTCGGTTGGCAAACATTTCCACAGAGACACGAAAAAATAGTAGAGGCGAAGAAACGAAAAATCTGTACTTTCATTCATAGAGCGGCCTTCGCGTCATTGACTCCGAACAGTCACCGTCACTGTGAATCGCTCAAAATCACACCGAGGTGTGGGGATAAGCAGCCGCCCGGGCAACAATTTTATAATGCAAAAGAGCGAGGTATTTTATAGAAAGGCGCCATAATTACACGAATTTTTCCCGAATGCCTTGATTTTTGTATTTTTTTTCCGTTTCGATTTGCCTTGAGAAAAGTTTTTAAAAATTTTACCTAACAAATGACATTTCTTCTTGCAGCAATGAATCAACCGGTTTGAGGATCGCATCAAAACCGCAACATTTCGACCAAATTCGATCCAGAGATCATCGTCAGCAGAGGGAGCAGAGATCGGAAGCCCAGGAGCGAAGGAGTCCGGGAGAGTATCGTTTCCACACTGACCCTTGACCCCCGGAGCGAAGCGGAGGAGAGTGAGTCGAGAGCAGCGAGCACGAGCACACCGGAGCCATGGACTGGGCCGAAGGTGATCTGGTCTGGTTCGACCCGGGCATGGGCCATCCCATTCCCGGCGAGATCCAGGAGGTCCATCGCGCTGCCCAGGTGATCGTCGTCCAGGCGCTCATCAAAGGCAAGGTGGGTGAAATTAGCATATCTAAAATCAGTTGCCATGTTGTGATGATATTTTAAATATCATTAAAAGTTGCTTTTTAGATTCTGAAAATATTTATTAAAAATGTAGTAAAATTTTTAAGGCAGATCTTCTTTGAAAAGCCCCCGATTGGACGTCTATATCCTATAGCTCCCAAAAAAGCAATCGGATATTTGTTACAACATTTTTAGATTTTTTTTCATTCTTATTTTTTGATGCACAAATTGATTGGGGTAAAAGCGCGTTCCAATCGGACGTCTGTAAACTATAGCTCCCAGAAATAATAGGTCAAAGTTTTAAGTTTTTTGACATATGTATTTTCATAAATTTCGTGGTTTATTATTTCATATTTTACATTTGTAGTTTCCGTTCTCTTTTTTAATTTTTTTCCCCCTTTAAACATATAACATTTTCTCGCAGTGCAGTCTCGCACCCTCTGTAAAAGGTGCGAGTTCGCACCATCGCCTCGTTTGGTTTCGTTTCGTAGCTTACTGTTTGAATTTCCAATTTGTTTTCGGTTTCGCCGTGGCCCATGAATGCTTTTCACTATTTTCACCCGACATGAACTGTTTGCCCGACTGTTTATATTTATTTCGGTTTTCATGAGCTGCCCTGGAGTGTTTAGCAGGTTGGAATTTATGGAATGTGCTCACTTGGATTTATGTGCAACCATGAAGCAAACCAAACAAAAAACAAAATTCGCAGCGGAAACTGTGCCCAGCCGGATTTATTTTTTGGCCATCGGCACGCGTGTCTACTGTACAGTGCAGCACCTGTGCAGTGCACCTAATTGCACCTGCCAGCGGACAGCGTTTCCTTTTTCCTTTCTGCCACTCAGCAGCAATTATGAGCAGATATCAAGATTGAGAACTCACGGCAATCAGTTGCAAGTCGTCGACTGACAGGCGCAACATTAGCACAGTAAAAAAAAATACTACATTAAATTGCAGTTTAACATGACAGCAGATAATATAGATCTGGATGATCTTAAGATTCTTATCCTAAATCTTGTCACATCAACATGTCTATTATGAATTCTCGTTGAGCCTGCAATTCCCATACAAATTTGACAAATACACTGAAATAAATACATTTAATCTTGCTAATGGGTGTGCCAGTGTCGACAGTACTCAAAGTGAAACCCAAAACTTTATGATCGACATTTGTAGGCACGCTTTATTAGTAATTAAACATTTGGAGAATTGCCGATTTCACTGCATAAACAGACACTTACTTTGTAAGTGCTTACTCATGTACTTTGGGTAAAAAGAAAGCAAAAAGTGTGCCTAGGAAATTAGTTTATTCAATAGGTAACTCTTATTTTTGCAAGTATCAAGTGTACTAAACCCCGACTTGTTCGTTATTTTTTTGTTACCAAATACTATTATTTTTGCACTGTGAGCAGTAGTCGTTTATGTTGGCTGGTCTAGCGGTACTAGAATCAGAAAACCGGCCACATGTGATTCGTATCCTGTTCGCATCGTGTGGCCAGTGACCAGTGTCCAAGAAATAACCTGTTGGCAGCACATGTGTTGCCCTGGGATCGGCCACTGAGACCATGGGAAGCCGCTAGCAAAGGCGTAATCGAGCAAGTGGATCAATTATCGGCCAATGCATTGCTGCAGACAAATGGTGTACCATCCCTAGCCAGAAAATTAAATGGGATTATTGCTGGTTTTTGTTGATAGGTTGCCGTTTAACGGGTTCTAAAATAAATTAAAGGCTTAGAGTTATTAAAAGAATATAGTTTTTTATTAATTCTATCAGATTTATTTTTTTTTTATTTATTAATTTTTTTTTATATTTTTTTTTCGATATCATTTAGAATTTTATTAACTATCTTGCATTTATAAGTTATTTACTTTAGTATTTTATCAACCAACTTACATATTCATAATATTATTATATATTATTCGATAGAATTTTAAATACTTATAAAGGCGATTGAGAATATTCTCAGACAAAAAGTCTGTTGGAAAGACAAGCTCACTTTAAGTTATCCCGAATAAATTCAAATTCCGGGGCAATCCCTTTATCAATTGACTCACATCATTTGGCACTGTCATTGATGCGAATACAGATCGATATCAATGGGGAAGTTGCCGAAGCGAATGCATTCTCAGCGGTCCACAGAAGATATTTCACGCCTTTGTTTGGGCCGGCTATCAAATGACAATCCCCTGCCCCACACGAAGACTGGAGAATTGAAGACTGAAGACTGGTGACTGAAGACGGGCCCAAGAACCCATCGAACTTGAACTGGTTGGGAGAAAGTCCCACACACTGGCCGCCTAATTGAATGGCGATCATCGAGGAGACTGCATCAATATCAATGCGATCGGGTGTCGTCTTTCTTTATTTTATTTTATTTTCTCCTCTCCACTCTACTCTTCTCTTTTTGCTGTTTTGTGCGTTCTGGTGGCCCACACTAAGTAGCCAAGTGGCCAACAGGAGTGTCATCTGGTCTGGCCGGGTTCGAAGTGATCCGGTCTACCATACCCATCCATATACCCATACCAAAAACCCCATCTCTCGCCGCTTTTAAAGAACGTGTTTGGATGCAGCGAAAACCGTTTTAGAAACGTTTGGGGAAATTGTGGCAGTGCCGCCAACAGAATCCGATTCCTTTCAGTTGCATTCGAGTCTTCGGGCCACAAGCGTCTTTGTGTGATACTAGTTCTCGGATCTACGCGATCCCGTTTCGGGTGCTTTTCGGCCTAGAATCGAGTTGGTGGGACCTAACCCAACCCAACTCACAGATGCGCATCGTTCGTTTTCACTTGGAGCCGTGGCAACGCGGCGGCGGCGGTTCGGTTACGCCCAGTCCCGCCCAGTCGCCCTCGCTGGCGCTCCTCTCACCCCACGTCCTGCGCCGCCAGCGACCCGCCAGTCTTGAGGATCATCTCGAGGATCTGCACTCGGCATCCAAGCACCCGGCCCTGCCCTCCAGTCGCCTGCGACGCCTCAAGTGCCGATATCCCCAGGTGGTCAAGCGGCTGTCCACCCTCTGCAGCGATGTGATAGCGCGCCATGTGAGAGTAGTTCTGTAGACAGATAAGATAAGATCAGTTTGAGAACCCAAAAAGAGAGAATTCTGATGTTCTCATCTCAGATGATCAAAATGATCTTAAAAACTTAATATAAATGTTTTCAATGTGGTTGCATCAAGTTGATTGGGCGGTACTTACATTGTTTACATCAATTTAACTACTCTCCTCTCACCATTTTGTTCTCATATTAAGAACATTCAACTCATAATGAGAACATTTGAGCTTTAACGGTTTTTGAGAGCCAATGTTCTCAATTCAATAACAATGCGATCTCTGTGCATATATTTTATTTTACAAAAAAAGCATGTCACCGTAAAATCGATACGTGCATGTAAATTGCTGGTTATGCAATACGCATATCGTTTTTACATGAAATACTCTTTTTGAGCAAATCCTGCTTTTTTTTTTTTTTTTTTTTAGTTTTATTTTATTTTTTTTCAATTTATTTAAAAATGTTTTCCTAACGAATGAAATCAAATTTACCTGGCCGCTTATTAATTTAAAATTGATATTACATATTGTAAAATCGAGCTATGTTTCATATCGATTTTTTTTGGGTGCACTTCCAGTTCGAATTTCACTCTCCTTTTGAGTGATAAGTAATCAACAAGTTAATGAATAAACCCAATTAGACTTTTCTCCTCTCACCATTTTCTCCCATATTGAGAACATTAAGCTCATAATGAGAACCTTCTTATCAAAATGAGAACATTTATGCTTTAACGATTTTTTCATACTTTATTTATGATTTTTCCTACTTTATCAAACTTAAACCCTTCTAATTAAAATTCTCCCCCTTGCAGCCACAGACGTTCGCCCTGCAGCCCGGCGAGGGCAGCCTGCGTGCCCGCCAGGATCTGGGCAGCAGCGGGGTGGAGGACATGACCCTGCTGGACGACCTGCACGAGGCGTCGCTGCTGTGGAACCTGCGCCTGCGCTACGACAAGGGCCTGATCTACACGTTCGCCGGCAGCATCCTGATCGCCGTCAATCCGTACAAGATGTTTCCCGACGCCTACGGCCTAGAGGTGGCCAAGCAGTATGCCGGCCGTCCGCTGGGCTCCCTGCCGCCGCATCTCTTTGCCATCGGAGCGGCGGCCCATGCCGCCCTGCCCTCGCCCCAGGTGGTGGTCATCTCGGGTGAGAGTGGCTCCGGCAAGACGGAGTCCACCAAGCTGGTGATGCAGTATTTGGCGGCCGTCGTTCCCGGCGGTGGTTCCGCCTCGGCCGTCATCACCGAGCAGATCCTGGAGGCGGCTCCCCTGCTAGAAGCCTTTGGCAATGCCCGCACCGCCCGGAATGATAACAGCTCGCGGTTTGGCAAATATCTGGAGGTCTACTTCAAGAGCGGCGCCATCGTGGGCGCCAAGATCACGCAGTACCTGCTGGAGAAATCGCGAATTGTTACGCAGGCGCCGGGTGAGCGCAACTACCATGTCTTCTACGAGCTTCTCGGCGGTCTATCCGAGACGGAGCGCTCCAAGTACGGCCTGCTGGAGGCGGACAAGTATTTCTACCTGAACCAGGGAGCCACCGATTGTGCGAGTGGTCGCGTGGACTGGGAATCGCTGCAGGGAGCCATGCAGGTGCTCGGCGTTTCCGAGGGCGAACGCGAGGGCATCGTACGCGTCCTGGCGGCTGTGCTGCATCTGGGCAACGTGTACTTCCATCGCCGGCAGCTGCGTCATGGCCAGGAAGGAGTGGAGGTGGGTTCGGATGCGGAGATCAAGTGGGCCGCCCACCTGCTGCACATCAGCGCCGAGGGACTCCACCGGGCGCTGACCAGCCGGACGACGGAGGCGCGAGCGGAGCGCCTGCACACTCCACTCGGTATCGATCAGGCCTTGGATGCCCGGGATGCCTTCGCCAAGGCCTTGTATGCCGGTCTCTTTAACTGGCTGGTGTCCCGTATCAACTCGATTGTCCAGAAGGGCGGCACCCACGATGCCCATCGCATCAGCATCCTGGACATCTTCGGGTTCGAGGACCTCGCCGAGAACAGCTTCGAGCAGCTGTGCATCAACTATGCGAACGAGAACCTCCAGCTTTATTTTAACAAGCATGTTTTTAAGCTGGAGCAGGCGGAATATGCCAGGGAGCGACTGGAATGGACACCTTTGGCCTGGGACGACAATCTGCCGGTGATCCATCTGCTGGCCAAGAAACCCGTGGGCATTTGCCACCTGCTCGACGACGAGTCTAATTTTCCGCGTGCCACTGATTTGAGTTTCCTGGAGAAGTGCCACTATAATCATGCGCTCAGTGAGCTCTACGCTCGTCCGCGGATCGGTGCCCAGGAATTCGGGGTGACCCACTACGCGGGTCAAGTGTGGTACTGCGTGGACGGCTTTCTGGACAAGAATCGCGACGCCCTGCGCGGCGATGTCCTCGAACTGCTGGCCTCCAGTCGCCTGCCTTTGGTGGGTGAGCTGACCAAGCAGCTGCGTGCCCAGCGGGATGCAGGGAAAACTCTACCCAAAGGAAGCAATGGGAGGTTTGTCACCATGAAGCCACGGACACCCACGGTGGCCGCCAGATTCGCGGACTCCTTGCAGCAGTTGCTTCAGTCCATGGGCCGTTGTCATCCTTGGTTCGTGCGCTGCATTAAGCCGAACCAGGAGAAGCACGCCCTGCGCATGGACATGCCGTGTGTGCTGCAGCAGCTGCGCTACCTGGGCATGCTGGACACCATCCAAATACGGCAGCGTGGCTATCCGGTGCGCCTGCGCTTCCAGCATTTCGTGGAGCGCTATAGGCATTTGCTATCCTCACCTTTGGCCAGGGGAACTCCCTACCGGGAGCTGTGCCGCGCTCTCCTGGAGGCCATGCCACGGACAGGAGTCGAGGGACCCGATTATCAACTGGGCGCCACGAGGGTCTTCCTCCGGGAGGCCCTTCACCGAGCGCTGGAAAGCGGACGAACGGAGCGGCTGCGTCGGGCGGCGGTCAGTGTGCAGCGGCATGTGAGGGGCATGCTGGTGCGCCGCCAGTTGGCGCGTCGCCAGGCGGCGGCCACTCGTCTCCAGGCACGCTGGCGAGGTCAGCGGGAACAGCAGCGATACGAGAAGATGCGCCGGGGAGCCCTAACTGCCCAGCGATTGTGGCGGGGAAGACAGGCCAGGAGGAGAGTGCACCAACTGCGATCCGATCATAGGAGACGTCAGGAGGCCAGGGAGGCAGCTCAGAGGGCTCGCGAAGCCCGGGAAGCCAAACAGGCTGTGCTGGAACGGAGCCAACTGAGCTACCTGGACATACCGGCCGAGCTGGCCTTCATCTACTCCAAGCTGCAGGGCTGGTCGCCGCCGCACGGCGATCGGCATTTGGTCAAGGTGCTGGGCACTGTGCCGGGTCCACCATCATCCGCCGTCCAGCTGCCCGAGGATCTGGGGCAGTTCTCCTTCGGCAAGTTCAGCAGTGTCTACTGCAATGGCTTGAGATTGCAGCCGCGAAGGGAACCCATCACGGCGCCTTTACTGACCAGGGCTGCTTCGAGGGATCAGGACTTCCAGGATGCTTTGGCCGTTTTCAAGCTGATCCTGCGCTGGAGCAACGACAAGGCGCTGGAGGGAGCCAAGGAGAAGCTGCTGGCCGACTATATTGTGCACAAGGCCCTGAGCTCGAGGGGATTGCGTGATGAGATTCTGGTGCAGCTGTGCAATCAGGTGCATGGACTGCCGCCCACTTCGCCAGAGGCCACGCGATTGTGGCAGCTTTTGGGGCAGTGCCTCTGCTGCTTCCAGCCAAGTGCCGCTTTTAGCAAGTATCTGATGAGATTCGTGGATGACGAGGCACCTGGGAACCTGAGGCCACTGCTCCTGCGTCAGTTGCTCCGCCAGCAGGGCAATTCCTCCTCCTCATCTTCATCGACCTCTCTGTCCAGTGTGGGTGCCTGCCGGAGCTTCGTGCCCGCCTGGCTGGAGTGGCGTGCCTGGACGAGGGGCTGTGACATGGCTTTACCACTGACTCTGCCCGACGAGGCCAGCCAAACGGTGGCCGTGGATTCGTGGACCAGCTGCGAGGAGGCCGCCGCCCTGGCCGTCTCCTCGCTGGGCGTCGCCAGTCGCGGATGGACCTTGGTCCTGGATGATGGCCAGCAGTTAACAGATAGCTGCGGCCTGGACTACGTGATGGATTTGATAGCCGAGAAGGAGCTGTGTCCCGCCTTTCCCGCTCCCCGCAGCGATCTGTTGCGTTCGGGCGCCAAGTTTGCTAGAACGACGCTGCCGGAAGCGGTGAAACGACCTGCTGTACCGCCCCCTGCGCCACCGACGGTGAGTTTAGCCAGCAAGGAGGAAGTGCCGCGCGAGCGCAGGAGCAGCCGGGAGCTGCTCTCCAGGAGCTCGGCGCTTAACGAGCGTTACTTTGAGAGGGAACCGAGTCCAGGAGGAGGAGGAGCAGGTGGTCAGGGATCACAGGCCAAGTCGCGCTCCAAGTCACTCGATGATCTGCTGGCCGGGGACATTGCACCCTCGCATCAAACGGTCGACTGCGATTCCCAGGAACCGCTGCACACTTTGGGCCTCTCGGAGAGTCGCCTCAACGATCGCTACCATTCGGCGGAGCGACTGGCTCCGATGGGCAAGGAGACGGCGCCGCGCTACCAGAAGTCCCAGCACGCCGGTCGTCGATCCCATGCCGCCTCGCACGGATCGCACTCCTCGAAATATGCGGATAAAGCCGAGTATGCCACCCGGTCGTCGGCCATGTCGGACACCAGTGAGGCGCCCTCGCTGGCCTCCCATGTGCGCCGGGTGAGGGTTCCCTCGCAGGCCTCCGATGTGGATCAGTTCTTGGATGATCTGTTTAGTCCCGTGCTCGATGGCTCCCTGGACGAGCTGTCCGATGCCCGTTCCCTGGCGGCCAGCATTCGCGGTGGTGGTGGGCATCTATCCATGGAAGAGGATGAGGGTGAATCGGAGATTGAGGATCTGGATGACTACATCAATGACATCTTCCAACCGTTGCCCATTCAGGAGACTTTGGAGAAGCTGATTAATAAGGATCAACTGGCTACTATCATCAAGGGTGGCGGAGTGACTAGTAATCCTGAATCTGAGATCGATGACCTGGATGACTACTTGAATGATATATTCCAGACTTTACCCATCCAGGAGACCCTGGAGAACCTGACCAGCAAAGAAGAGCTGGTGGCCTGTATTCGCGGCGGCGGCAGCACGGACAGCAATGGCGGCGATCCGCTGCTCCACCAGCTGATGCAGCTGCCGGGTGAACCGGAATCCGGTCCAGCTTTGTACCAGCAGCAGGTGCAGCGTGCTTTCCTGCAATCCGCGATGGCCCAGAATCTGCAGATCCAGCAGCAGCTGTTGGCCCAGAATCAGGCACTCCAGACGCTGCTCAGCCAGCAGGCGGCAGCAGCGGCGGCTGCCAGTAGCTCCACCTCGCCACCGCCACCACAGCAGGCTGCTCCTCCACAGTCGCCACCGCCACAAGTGCAATTGCAATCTCCCATGCGCATAAAGACCACGCGATCCAGTTTGGTGGTCATGGAGGCACTGCAGCCGCCGCCACCGCCGCCGCCGCCACCGATGCCGCCGCCGCTGGAGTGCAAGGATCCCTCGGAGACGCGGCACTTCCTCGATCCCTATGGAAGGGCCAAAACGGTGCGGATTGGCAAGTGGCGCTGGCCGCCGCCGCAGGATGAGCCGCAGTTCCAGACGGAGGAGGACTTCTTCGCCTTCAAGATGCGCCAGCATCAGCGGAAGACTACTCCGCAATCCCAGCACCACCAACTAGCCACCAATGGAGGAGGTATCATAATGGGGGAACCTGTTTCAGGAGGACGCGGAGCCACCGCCATCGAGTGGGAGGAGTTCGAGATCGAGAGTCCCACGCCGCCGCCCTTGATGAGGAGCAGCATCCGGCTGGAGACCACCACCAGTACCTCGATGGCTACCAGAGATGCCCAGGATGGAGCGATGCCCATGCAGAGTGTGGTCACCACCAAGCTGGCCAAGAAGAGCTTCGAGATTGGCGCGGATCGTCCGCCGCCTGGAAGTGTGGGCAAACTGAAGCTCAGCTCCGAGATGCGCCAGCGGTTGGAGCAAGTGACCGCCGGTCATTCAGTGAGATCCACGGTGTCCACCAAGTCGGAGCAGCGGGCGCCGGCCAAGCTGGAGGACACACGGAAGCTGATGCTGCAGCAGCAGCTAGGAGGACTCTTTGCCAGCGTCACGGGAGGAGCCTCATCAGGAGGAGGTCAAGGAGGAGCAGCAGGAGGCATCGACACGGTGCGCAACCAGATCGAGCGGATGGAGGGCAAGCTGTCGCCGCCACCAGCTCCGCCGGGAGGTGCCACCTCCACTGGCTGGCCGGGAGTGCTCCTTCCGCCGGCTCCCAGCGTACCGGCACCGCCGCCGCCCATCCGTCCGCCCAGCATGGCGCCACCTGCTCCGCCACCGGCGCCACAGAGTCCTCCGACGGCCAGGAGTCCCGAACCGGAGCCCGACTACCGCTCCTCCAACCACCAGAGTCACCAGCAGGCAGCCGTCTCCGTCAAGGAGCACGTGCCCGCCTTCATCCAGCGCCAGGAGCGCGACACCTTCGGTGCAGTGCGTCGGGAGCAGCAAAGGGAACTGCAGATGATTGGCGGCGGCGGCAGCCATCACCACCATTTGCACCTGGAGGAGCATTCGCCGCACTCCTCCTCCTCGCTGGCGGCCGCTGCTGCCTGGGATCAGGCGGAGCGAGAGCGTTCGCGCAGCCGCAGCAGGAGCAGGGATCGCGAGGACTACTCCGAATCGGTGTGGGATCGAGCGGAGGTCGAGGGTCCCGCCTCTGGCAGTGGAAGCGAAAAGGAGCGCGAGAAGCGGGAGAGGGAGCGCGAACGGCTCTACGAGATCCGCCAGGTGGAGCGAGAGCGGGAGAGCCACAAGGTCTACCAGCCGGCACCGCCTCGCGTGATCCAGGCCAGTTTGGACACCACCACCAGGAGCAGCGGACTGGCCACCTTCCGCACCCACATGGCCCAGAAGTACGAGCACGAGAGGAAGCGCAAGAGCTCGGCCAGTTCCGGGATGCGCGAGGAGCTGGACGCGACGCCGCCGCCTGTGATGGTGCCCGCTCCAGTGCCACCGCCGCCGGTTACTACCACCACCTCCTCCTCCTCCTCGAACATTCCCGGAGGATTGGGCGTGGTGGCCAGCAGCGCCTGTTTGACCTACAACCGGGTGCCCTGGAAGCTGCGCGTGCGCAAGGAGGTCTTCCAGCCGCACGAGCCCATCGGTCCACCGGTGGCCCTGGATCTGCTATTTGCCCAGGTGCTGGGCGACGTCTTCGGGGTGACTCCCTGCCTGAGGATCACGCCGCAGGAGAAGAGCTCGGCCCTCAATATGCTCCATGGTCATGGGGTCAGTGTGGATACGCTATCTAATCGAAATGGAGGAGGAGGAGGATCAGGAGGAGGAGGAGGAACTGGAGGGCAGGTGCGCGCTTTGGTCAAGCGCCATCTGGTGGACATGGCCCGCGATTGGCCGCTGTACTTCGCCCGACTCTTCGCCGTCCAGGGGGCGCCACTCTATCCCGATGTCAGCATCATGGGCGTCTCGCACAGCGGCCTCTACTTGGCCCGCCGGGATGCCGACTACCTGATCGTCGTGCAGGCCATCTCCTTCGCCGAGATCCAGAGCGCCGTCACCCTGCCGCGTCCGGCGGCCCTGCAGTTGAATCTGCGCAATGGGAAGCACCTGGCTCTCCACGCGGCACGCGCCGCCGCCATCCAGTCGATGGTCACCAGCTTTGTCCAGGAGTTCCGAAAGGTGAGTGGAGTGCTTTGTACCATCTATGGGACTATTCTATGTATTATTATTATAGATAGAAATATAAGTTAACAGAGGGTTTATGTTCGAAATTTAATATTTTCCAAAACACGGAAAGTGTTATGGATTTATTTATAATTTTCTTATCTGTTCAAAAGAGTATGTATTTTTGGTGTAGGACCATATTTGGCCAAGTTACAGCAAAAAAACAAAAAGAAAAAATTTAAATTTTACCAAAAAATCCAGATCCCAATTTTCCACTACAAAATTATTCGTTTTTTGACCGTAACAATAGATATATATTTCCAAATATGGATTTTCATACCTTTCTGAACTCGTTATTACATTTCCAATCGATTGGCACTTAAACCTGGAAATTTTATTTTTTGGCCATTTGTCATAAAAAATCATTTGATTCTCCTATATTAAATTTATTGTTTTCTTAATATTCCTGCCATTTATGCATTTAGTTCTATTTACCTAAAAATTAAAATTCATTCATTAAATTTAAACCAAATGATTTAAAATAATTTATTGATTGCATTCATGAAGGTGTCTAATGTACAAGTCAAGCATTTTGTAGGCGCCTTCTATTGCATATTGCATATAGTCCCCAAAAGTATGCTAGAAATATTCAAAAGTTTTTAGCCTTCAAAGCTCGTGGCAGCCAAGCTTGAAACTCTCTAAGTTGGCCATTTAGAACTTGATTTGGTAGTTAGGAAAGCAAGAGATTTTATTATTCTGGACTAAAATCAAAAGTCATTTGTAAACCGAAATGAGGTGATTTTAAATTCACTCTAAATATTTGTCCCGCTTGCTTAATGATTAAGCCTTCTATAGACAAAACTTGACATTCATGGGTATTTATATTTATTTCAGTGATTTACTGAAATAATATCTTGCCCCAATTGCAATTTTTGGCGTACCAATTATTTTGTATTCCACTTTACTTTGGCTAAATAGAAAAATAATTGCATTAATTGCGTGAATAATGGCAGACATTGGTCATAATAATGTGGCCTTAATGAAACTCCTAATGTTTTTACGGCCTCAAGATAATAATAATATGGCAGCTGGGTAATTGAAGAGTGTTATTTTTATATCGACCAGACAAACGATTGCCTTTGCTGATCAGTGTCGCATGAAATGTTAGGAAGTTGGAAAACAAAGATTTAAGATCTTAAAAGGACCCATTGTGTTGTAAAAGTATGTGTTTTTAATGTATTTGTTTAAACTGATTCAAAAGAATGAGTTTTTTGGAGGCCTTTTTCGTTGAAGGCATCTGGCTGGGTTTTCTTTTTGGTCGCCTCGAAGCTCAGTGGGTCTCAGTGGCTCCAGCCAGATTCCAGATTCCAACGCCTTATAAGCATCATCCGCGCATGGCTGATATTCATAGTTGGCGCACGTCCATCACTCGAATGGAGCTCCAGTCCGGTGTTTACTTTTCTTTTCTCTTTTCCGTTTGACACTCGAAACGGGTATGCACTTTTCGCCAATCAGACTTGAAGGAGATGTTGGTAAAATTATTTCAATATTTGACTAAATCGTTCATATTAAAGTTTGAGGAAAGCTGAACTTTCCTCGAATCTTGTCTTTAATCACTTTCTTTTGTGTTATCTTTTCAAAATTAAGTTACTGGAAAACGTAGAAAAATAGCCTAATCGAAAAGTATACATTAATTGTATTTGTTTTCCTAATACTTGGTAAATTCTTAATATTTCATTTATCAAAAAAAGGAAATTAATTTTTAAAGGCCACAGCTGCTTTAAGCTACAATTATAGGCAATTTGTAATTACCTCTTAACCAGAGTATATATTAATAATAATTATTTTTAAACAAAATATTTATTTATATTTTTCAGTTAAAGTTATAACTCAAAAACTAGAACTATTTAATAGAATGATAAATAATCATTGTTGCATCTCTGCATAAAATGAGAACTAAGCGAAAATCGGTTTGCAAGCTTCAGAAATGAACTTTCTTCAATCGTTTTCCCTAGGGTATTTCCGCTTCGCGTTGTGCGCTGGGATTTTGTTTGATCAACAAAATGATTTTCATACCCCCAGCTCTTTTTTTTTAAGTTGTTTTTTAATTCAATTCATTTTATGCGTGAAAACTCGTTAAACGCCATCTGAAAGAGAGTCGGGAGCCAAAGAGCCAAAGTCGAAACAGTTATCTCACCAGGGAATGGAAATGGCAGTTGGATTCAGAGTTTGGAGAAAGACTTTCCCGCTCTTTCTCGGGGGCTTTCCGCTCGGCTGGGCCAAGAGTTGATGGCTGAGAGAGTGGAGAGTGGGTCTTCTTAACTTGGCTTAAAGCCACTCTACGGCTCTTCAGCTCCTCAGCTCTTTAACTCTCTGTTCTGCTCGGCTGCGAGTGAAATGGCCAGTCTTGACCAGGCCGTTTTGGCCAGTTTTCTGTTTTCAGTTTTTAGCTTTTAGTTTTCAGTCGTTAGTTGTTACGAATGTGCGGTAACGGCATCACGCAGCGCGCTCTCGCGTCGAATTCTTTTGGCCTTTTTGCTGCCATCGTGCCTCGTCGATTTGACCAAGTTTAGCCTCATCTTTTTTTACTGTGCTCTGTGGTGTGGCTAGAAAATGTGTGCTTTCTTGTGGGCCGAAACAAAACAAAGCTGACCCAAAAGATATCGTAAACAAATGTATGACAAGTCAGGTGGATTCGATCGAATGGCCACAAAGCGGTCTTCAGATAAACCAACGACCTTTTGTGGGAGCAGTTCGAAAAGTGTCTGGAGATAACGCCTAGCCCATTTGGGGAAAATCACTTTCCACTTTTGTTCCCTGAACAGTCAGTTCGCTTGGATTAGTTATGATAGTTAGCGGACAATTGCTAAAAGTTCAGTGAAATCGGCAGAGTAAATGATATTTCATGTTTACTGCTATCCGAGTTTATGTTTCTTGAATGATTGTTTTTTTATAATAATTAACTTGTATTGTCTTTATATTTATTTTAATTTCCACACATGGTTTTAAAACTTACTGCTGATATTATTCTGTTTAGCTTCAAAAATCATAAATAAATTTTAAACAAGTTAAAAAAAGTTAAAAAAATAAAATTATATAAAAAGGTAATAAAAAATAAATTAATTAATTGAAAATTAAATTCACAAATTAAAAATAAAAAAAATTACTTTAGTAGCCCAAAAAAAAAAAACCTATAAAGCCAACATAGCAATACTTAAATATTGAATGACTGGATCGAAATGCACTCACATCCCCTTTATTATTATTATGGTTACTTCATTCCGATCGCGGTATCGCAGATTGGCCAACAATTTGGCCAACCATCCGTGCTGGCCAAAAACGCGCAACTCAGCATTGATTCCAATTATATGGCCATATATTTTCCAACTGCTCTCACAGAGATAAAATAAAATAAAAAAAAAAAACACTGGCGACGATCGGAGGGGATTTTCGCCAGTCCATCAAGTGGAAAGACAAACTGCAAATGGCAAATTAAAATAAATTGAGGCAGAAAAGCGTAAAAATAACAAGAAAAAAGTAAATAACTCGGAGCGAGAAAAGAAACAAATACGGCACGCATTTAACTGCATTGCCAATTTCCACACATCAAAATAATAATAATAAAAAAAGAAGAAATACAACAACAAATTACAGCCGATAGCAAGAAAAATCGCGTATACGTATGGTGGGCCGCCTGATGTGTGTGTCCGACCATCGAATCCGAATCCATTCCACTCAAACTCATTGTGCGGCAAACGCTGGCCGCATCGGTTCGTTTTTCATTTTTCGCCATTCGATTTTCCTTGTTTTTCTTGTTGTTGTCGTTGTGCTTTTCACGTTTTCCCCTCTGTGCTGTGCAAACAATATATAATATTTGAGAGAGCCTGCAGGCCGTCGTCCATCACAATGCACTAACTTTCACTGGGACGGCAAAGGAGAAGGAGACGTAATGGTCGTGACTGTCACCCTATCCTGAACCCCGAGCCCCTTCGAAATTCCCCAGGATGTCGCAGAGCGTGAGGGCCAGCAAGTCATCCGCCTGCCAGGCGGTCCAACTGACCACCGCCGGCGGCAGTGTGCCCCACAAGTTCAGCAGCATTGTGAACAAGGTGGAGTCGCTGATTAGCAAGATGCACAACGACAAGGTCAACAACTTTAAGCTGCTGCAGCAGCAGCAGAAGGACATGGATAGGGATACGAATAGCCATCCACCAGAGGATCAGGAACAGGAGTGCAAATGCGCCTCCCTCGACTCGCTGAACAATCTGACGGACGACGAGCACGAGATGCTCTACACGGACTCCGATGATGCGGAAATAGCCCACATCACGGGCACAACTGCCGCCCAGGTGCATCATGTCCAGCAGATGCAGCAGTCGCTCCAGATGCGTCGCTGTGATCTTGACCAACTGACCAACGAGAGCATTCGGGAGCTCAACGAACAGTGCTGTGCCTCGATGACGCTGCACCACCAGGAGGGTGGTGGTGGCGGGGGAGGCGATGCCCACGGCGATCTCGGACTGGCCAACGACAATGCCTGGAGCGTCGAGGAGGATATCGTGTACAAGTGCTGCACCACCGCCACCTTGGCCTCCAATTCCTCAGCGGGCAGTTTGTGCGAGCAGTGCTGCCTGGAGGAGCAGCTCAGCCTGAAGATGCAGATGCAGCTCAGCCAAAGAGACGACAACAACAACGAGGAGGAGATCGGAGATTCTCAGATGGATGGCAGCTGCTCCCCTGCTCCTCCTCCTCCTCCTCTTGCTGCTCCTACTGCTCCATCTATTCCTGCACAGAATTTGGCTGGATTTCAGGGAGCATTGCTAATCGCCGGGGGCAACAAGACGCGGAGGGTGAGCAATGCCAGCAGCGGATCCGTCAGCCGCATGGAGACGATCCTCGAGGAGCCAACGGAGTCCAAGATCTCCGTCAAGGAGATCCTCGCGCGGTTCGAGACCATGAACTCAAATGAGGTAAACAGTCTAGATTTTCGGGGATTTATTTGAAGGGATTTAAATAATAATACTTTTGGAACCTACCGAAGAATTTGGGGGGTTTTACATACTTGTTGATAACCAAATTTCCTTTAATATTTTTTTTAGTGGGGGATCCGCTCATGTTAAAGCTAAAAAAAAATGTTTCTTCTTTTCTTAAATCTCAGTAGTATTTTTCAAGGCTTCTTAATACTTTTTAGACAATTTTTGCAAAAAATCCTTAATTTTAAGTTTTCAAAAATAGACCGTTTAAAATATATCGATTATATTTAAACGTTTAACAATTTCGGAAGTAAAAACATACGAGAAATGAAACCAATACGAACGCTTTTCAGTGGACCCCCTCCCAAAAATAAGGCCAGAAATTATACGGATCTATGCAGGGTGAATCGAGTGAGATGAATGCTCGCAGTGCTCGGGTCTAACGGTGTTATTAAGTCGACACATAATCGCATTATTAGCGTGGCCAGACGAAGTGGCAGCCCACAAAGCCCACCAACTCACCAACTTACCAACCCATCAGCCTACTGAACAGTCGCTCTCTCTTACATCACGATCCTCATTGCTGGGCCCCCCGGTTGGTGGGCTAATTAGCGGGTAAACTTGCGATCTCGGATCTCGGTTATACAACCAGTATACAACCGAGTGATACATTAAGCCGGGGTCCCCGCATCATGACAGCCTCTATGTCAACATCGTTAGTGGACAACCCCCAACAATATTCATATGCATACATATATATTTCGGGGTCTATTCAGAGATTTATTGAATTTTACAACGGATCGCTTCTTTTCTTTTTTAATTTATTCAAGTGATCAATTTAGATGTGATAGAATGCATCATTCATTTTAAAAATGCTGTATATTTCAGATTTAAGCACGAAGAATATACATACAAATATTGTATTTAATCTACCCAAACATATTCGTATATTTTCCAATTTGCTATTTGCTGTGCTTTTTGTATGGTTTATATTGATTGACTTTATTTTAAAATAGGAATTATATGAGAAATGCAAAAAAAAACATTAAAATTAAAAAAAAATAATAATTTATTAAATGCTTAGTAAAAATGTTTCGATATTGAAGCACGTCTGCCACTCAGTTATTCAAATAAATCTAGTAATGGGAAATATTCGAACGTCTCCGTTGCTGCTGACCAGTGGCTTTAATGAATCCGCAGATTGTGTTTAATCGATCTTGTCCAACTGCAAGAGGTTGCATTGAGTTGACCAGGGGATTGGGTATGGGTAGCTTAGCAGATGGGTATTGCACGTTCTAAATTCCCTGGCGAACTTTCTTGGCCCCGGAAAATGAGGAGCGTGCTGGATCAAAGAAGATGCCATCACGTTTATAGTTCGGGTTCGATGACCACTCGGTGAGTCTGCGATGTGTGCGATCCATAAAAACAGAAGAGATTCAAGACAATAAGAATGGCTGAATGGGATGAGTTGGTTGGTTGGATGGTTGGTTTGTTAGTGACCCACAAAGATGCAGAGGCGATAGTACAATATGGGTTATAATACTTCTACGCAAGCTCCGTTTCTTCCGAGCGCTAAAAAAAACATTGTAATTTAACTGTAATTTGATTTCAATAATTTAATTACACATTTCGTGTGTGCTTTTTTGTGTATTATGCGTCTCTGGCCTCTGTTGCGAGTAAATTACTTTAATTTCTTTCGACCAGCGCTCATCCGCTGCAGTTTGGTCCGCCGTAAATCCATCCAAATGAACGGACATGCGGACGAGCGGACAGACGGAGTGGTGCGCATTAATTTCGAATTTTAATTAACTCGAGCTGGCAAAACAATGAAAGAAAAAAGAGGGGCACATATGAAATAACAAATGGCCAGCCGAAAAGAAAGTTTTAGCGGTCACTTAGAAATTACACTCCAAATTTAACTCTTGTTTTTGCTGCCTATGCGTGTGTGTTAGGCGAGTGCTTGTGACTCTGCGCGAGAGAATTATCGCTGCAAGTCGAGTGTTCGAGGAAACTGGAGCATCTAGAGTCCGATTCAGGCCATCTGACCCAGTTGGGAGCCTGGTTCCAGTCCAGTCCCATGCTCGAATACCCATATGCGCGGTGAACACGAGACTTGGCCCCGTTTTTGGCTGACAGCGAACAGGCCAAGTCGTTTCGATCGCATCCAGACAGCCAGACAAGTCCCAAAGAGCCTCTGGCTGGGATTAGGCACTCGGATCTGGGATCTTGGATCTGGGTGATCCTTGTCCCCAGGCGATATCGATTCCATGTCTGTTATTTTACAATGATTGCCGCTCAGACTGTTGTGGGTAGCACCCACGCCATTAAGCACTACAAAATATTCCCTTGTTTTTTTTATTAATCAAAAAAAAATGGTATTGCACTTTAACAAAAATTAGTTAAATATACCTGTTACTCTTTGAAGATTTCGAAAAAGTTTAAATGCAGAGTTGTTGTGTTTATTGATACCTTTCGAAATGTAAAAGCAATTTTTCAAATCGGACCATTCATTAAAAAGTTATAAGCAAATAATGGAATTCAAAATGCAAGCAGTGCAAGCAGTCGCTTTGCTGCATGCATATCTCCATCTTCCTCTCACTTCCTTTAGATTAGTAACAAGTATTTGATAGTAAAGTAACTCGACTATAGTGCTCTCTTTTGTTTTTATTAAATTGAACATTTATTAAATTCTTGTTAACAGAAAAAATAAAATATTTACATAGTTCTTGGGTTTTTTTTTGCAATCATTTAACCACCAAAAAGAGCCGAGTGTTATGAAAATTTCGAATGGCGTTTTGGTAACACATCTGACTTCTTTGTACATTCATTTCTGTGGTTTTCTTCACCGCACTTAAGAAATCTAAAAAATGAAGACAGGAAAATGAGCGAAAATCATGCATAATTTATAAACCTAAAACCTCTGTTATATTTACATTTCCGTTGGTCTTGCGTAAAATATTGATAGCAACTCAAACAAAAGGAAATATTGTATTGATATTGATTGATTCGCTACTTTGAAAATGATATGTCGTATAATATAAATCGATCCACTTTTCCTCTCTCTCTTCGGACGAAAAAATGGCTCTTTGGTGCATTTTTGTTTGATTAAAAAAATTGTTGCAATGCCAAAAACAATCCTCATTTACAACCAGTTGGGTGTAATGAGTTTGTTTTTGTTTCTTATTTGTTATTTTTCATTTGCTGTTTGCATTTTGTTATTTTCCTGCAGTGGTTTTTCACGATGCTGGCCAAAATTTGAACAATGCGCATAATTTTTCACATATGGCAAGTTGATTGATTGGTGAAAGATTTCCGCTTTCATAAACAACAACTTTTACTAATCTCTTCTCGCATGAGCGTGCAAAATGCATTTTGCTGGGGGGAGTAAATACACCGGACTAAGTCTATCTATATAGCCAAAAAGATATATACATATGTATATGTATATAGCTGCGTGTCTGTGGGGGCGTGCAAAAGTTATAAACGAACAACGAAAAACCAAAAAGAAAGCACTTGCAACAAATTGCACCAAATAATTGAATGCAGGCAATAAAAGTGAAAAATCACCGAATGCCAAACACTTTCGTTGCCAAAAACGCAGTGTGTTCCGCTAGTATCGCGAATCCCCAATCCCCGCCAGCTGTCACCGGTCAATATGGTAGCATAAATCATCGGCCACGCCCCCTGTAACCAACCGGTCCCGCTGGATGGGCGTACAGAAAATGGCAACTGGTTGCTCCAAGCTGGCCAAAAAGGCGCCCAGCAACTTTCACATGCCATTGACATGGCCAAGCGAAATATGCGAGCTGCGAATTGTGAATTGCGAATGGCGAATGGCGAATTGCGCCTTGCAAGTCAATTAACAAATTGCAGCCGAGAGAAGCTGCACTCTCCTGCGGTGCACGGTAAAAAATAATTGTTATCGCCAGCCAGAAATTGACTTTCAAAACCAATTTTCAATCCTTTGCGCAAAGTCTGTGTGTGCCAATTAAAAAATGGCTGAAGCATTTTAATAATTATATAAATAAAGTCATTAATAAATTATTGTACCTCCTTTAAAAGAAAAAATATCGACACTTTCGATATTTTGAAAATATTGATTTGATATCAATATCAATGTTTTGAAGGGAAAACCCAAATTAAAAATCGAGAAATAGAAAATTGTCGATATTTTTTTAAGCTCTAGTTTCACTCCTTGTAGGAATTTTTTTCAGTGTAATTTTGGCTTAAAGTATATGCAATATTGCAATTAAGTTTGAAAGTAATTTCTCTATAAAACATTTTTAGCCATCGTTTTTGTCAATTTATTCGCCGAGTATTGAAAAGCGCAGCGATTACATTAATTAATTACTTATCCTGGCTTATGACATACTTGGTGATGATCCAATGGTAACAATTTTCCTGATTTATATTTGCATAAATATTATATAACTATACCTTTTAAATATAATTAACTGATGATAACTTGATATTGTAGGTATTTATTAATAAGTATTATGAAATATTCTACTTAATAACATTATGAAATATTCTACTTAATAATATTATGAAATATTCTACTATAATAACAATAACTCAGCTCTCGCCCTCCTTCCCCTTGCAGTCACAATCGAAGGCCTCCACTTTGTCATCGGGCGCCCGAGCCGCCGCCCAGACCCTGAATGTGCCGCTGGAGCGCCTGGAGTCCCGCCAGGCGCACGCCCAGCGCAACGAGCACGGCGTGGAGGTCGGCGGATCGCGCCAGAGCGACCAGGTGCAGCAGTCGGATCTGCACCACCACCTGCAGCACCACCAACAGCAACAGCAGCAGCAGCTGGAGGACGCCCTGGAGGAGCAGCAGATGGCCGCCGAGCATCAGCAGCAGCAGCAGCAAAGTCAGGGCCAGCAGCAGCGCTTCCTGAAGCAGCAGAGCTACCTGCATTCCGCCCGCAAGTCGAACGCTGGCCAGCAGCCCTCCTCCCTGACCAACGGACAGGTTCACCAGCAGGAGCAGATCCTCCAGCAACAGCAGCAGCAGTCGCAGTCCCTGCCGCACCACGACCTGGACGCCAACTATCTGCAGGACGACAGCAACGGCGGCACTCCGCCCTCGGTCACCAAGTACTCGCTGCTCCAGTTCGCCATGCAGCACTTCCGCAACGAGTAAGTTGATCTAGTCGCTAAAAATGAAAAGTATATATGAAATTTTGATGTGTTTAAAAATACCTATCAAAATGCAGAAGAAATTTTTTAAATCGGACCATTCACTAAAAAGTTATGAGGAAAATTAAAACAGCCTCTAGAAGGAGTCATCAAAAATTTCAACAGCCGCTAGATGGCGCCATTAGCTTTGTTTACTGCATATATCCATCTCCCTCGCTCTCTCGAGAGCGTTCTCTTTTGTTATTATTTAGAAAAAACTTTTAGTAATGATAGGTAAAATAGGAAAGTATAGTAGGAAATATTTGTATAATCATCATCTTGATAAAGATCACCTGATTGAAGCGTTTTAAATCACTATTTAGGAGCATTTAAAAAAAAGGTTGTGAGATGGGTCGTTTTCGCCCCACCTCTCCCTAGAAGGCTATTGATAGTAGAGCTTAAAAATGATTGGTTTTTTGATATTTTGACAATATTGATTTGATATTATCTATGTTTTGAAGGGAAAACACAAATTAGATATCGAGAAATAGAAAACTGCCGATATTTTTTCAAGCTCTAATAGATAGGATATACAAATTATTTATTTCGAATATATTTAATTCATTTTGTTGTTATTTTTACAGCCAACTGAGGGACGCTGACCGCCACCATGAACGGCACCAGTCCGCCGCGAATCGCTCGTACGCGGAGCTGGTGAAGTGGCAGGGCCACGCCATACGCCTGCCGCTCCTCCGACTGCCAAACGATTTGGCGCCACTGGCGCTCGAGTGCTTCGACTGCATCCTGCGCTACTGCGGCGACATCCCGCTGGATCCCGACCTCACCGAGGTCAAGTGCGTCTACACCGTGCTCATGGTGAGTGTGTGGTGTGTGATGGGTTCCGAGTTCTGGGTTACCCAAACCGGTTCAAATCAACGTCTTTGAGGTGGTCCCGCAAATATGTGCAACAGGTTTTGGGGCGACAACTGAATCGCTGGCTGTTCTGCTGCCCTAGAAATTCGAGCTTCGCACCCGAACCGGAAACAAATTGTGGACACCTCGAAGTCAAATAACTGCTAGGGGAATTTTATGTGCCGAAAGTGGATTAGAGATCATGACAGTCTTTCAGCAGCACTATTTATCGAGGAAAAGCAGTTTTCAAAAATTTTACAAAATATTAATTCAAGTTTCTTTAGGTTTTTTTGGGTCATATAAATTTAAGACCTCTAAATTTGCAATTTTTCTTCATAAATAATTTTATGAAAACAGTAAAGTTGTACAAATTGTGGGAAAAAGTTTTAGTTATTTGCGAATCAAATGCAATAATGGGAATAATTTTTGATCAAATTGTATAATTGTTATTTGTAAGTCTTGCCTTACAACAAAATTCCCACGATAAAACAGAAAAATTCAAAACGGTTTACAATTTATGGAAACTATGTTATGCACTAGCCAAGTCACGATATTCTAGAATCTATTAGCACAAAAAATGTTTGGTTGATCATTTATTATTATTATTATTATATTTATTATTTTAAATAACCTGTATTATTTACTCACTATTCCCATCTGATCTTGCAGCACTGTCACAAATACTTGGCCCTGCGCGACGAGGTCTACTGCCAGCTGATGAAGCAGACGACGGCCAACCGTTCGCCGTGTCCGGACAGCTCGCAGCGCGCCTGGCGGCTACTCAGCATCCTGGCGGCGTACTTCGGCTGCTCGGACGCACTGCGTCCCTACCTGATGGAGCATCTGACCTCGGCGGCCTCCGATCGGCGGCGCTCGTGTCACGGCACCGCGGCCGTTTGCCTCACCAATCTGCGGAAGACCGCTCGCTGCGGCGGCCGGAAGAATGTGCCCAGTGTGGAGGAGGTGACCGCCGTGTCCGCCGGACGTTCGGCCCGCCGGCAGATCTACCGCCTGCCCGGCGGAGCGGAGCGCGTGGTCAACACCCGCTGCTCCACGGTGGTGGCCGACGTCATTGCCGAACTGTGCGCCCTGCTGGGCGTCGAATCGGAGGCGGAGCAGCAGGAGTTCTCCCTGTACTGCATCGTCCAGGGCGACGCCTTCACCATGCCGCTGGCCGCCGACGAGTACATCCTGGACGTGACCACGGAGCTGCTCAAGTCGGGGCAGCCCTTCTACCTGATCTTCTGCCGTTCCGTCTGGCACTTCGCGTTGAAACGCGAACCCGCCCCCATGCCGCTGTACGTGGAGGTGCTCTTCAACCAGGTGGCCCCCGATTATCTGGAGGGTCTGCTGCTGGAGCTGCCCGGCAATGGAGTGCCGGTGCCGGAGATGGTGAGGGATATGGCCAGGATTGCGGCCCTGCTTCATCGGGCCGCCGATTTGAGTCATGTGCCCGCGATGAAGGAGATCAAGTTCTTGCTCCCGAAGCCGGCGCTGGGCATTCGGGAGATCCGTCCCGCCCAGTGGGTGGGCCTCGTCCAGTCCGCGTGGCCACAGGTGGCCAACCTGAGTCCCGGCCAGGTGAAGGCCCAGTTCCTCAACGTGCTGGCCACCTGGCCGCTCTTCGGCAGCAGCTTCTTCGCCGTGAAGCGCATCTGGGCGGAGGAGGGGCCGCATGTGGAGGACAACCACAGTCCCATGTGGCGGGACCTCATCCTGGCGCTCAACCGGCGGGGAGTCCTCTTCCTGGACCCCAATACCCACGAGACCCTGCAGCACTGGAGCTTCATGGAGGTCATCTCCACGCGAAAGGTGCGCTTATTGGTTTTTATTTACCTAATGTAACTCTGTTAATTGTATTTTTTGTATTATTCAGGTTCGCTCGGAGGACGGCGCCCTCTTCCTGGACATGAAGGTGGGCAACCTGATGCAGCAGCGCGTCATCCGCGTCCAAACGGAGCAGGCCCACGAGATCTCGCGCCTGGTGCGCCAGTACATCACCATGGCCCAGATCAGTCAGCGCGACAAGCGGGAGCTCAACTAGGTGGAACCCGAGAATATCGGGATAATTATTATAATAATTCTTATTCGTATCGATATTGTATTGAGTTTATTATTTCTCCCATATTTCTACATATTTTTTTGTCGCTTCGTAAGTCTCCATACCAGATACATATATTTATTAACGCCCATATGCAAGATACATATGTATGTTTAGATGTTTATGTTGTGCTGGTTTCCGAACTCCCCGATTCTTCAACCCCCGATCCTCTCACTCTCCCCCAACTCGGTGGCGCTACGACGGCCATATAGATCCCCCTTCAACCCGCTCAAAGAAGTCCCCTTGTCTTAAGTTTAAGCGAACCAAGTGCAATCCGAGTGCAGGAATTGAACTCTCCCAGCTCTGAGTCTAATTCTCTGAACCCCACCCCCTAAAACACCCAATTTCGATTCAACGATTTCTTTTAGCACTTAAGATTAGCAAACTTTATTATTATCATTTTTTTTTGACATTTGTTAAATCGAAAATTGCTTAGCTTAATCCCTAAAATTATCATAAATAAATACAATTTATATATGTATATCTATCGCAAAATTTTGGGTTTCTAATTTGGGAGGCCCATTTGTTAGCTATGGGAAAAAAAAGAGATACTCGGTACTCATTATTGCCGGAATTTAAGGACCTAAGAGCCTTGGTTATAGAAAAAAAAAATGAACGCTATTGTCGAATACATCGTCTATTAGATACCAGTTACTCATCTAAGAGAAAGCGACTGAATTCCATTATTTGCTTATAACTTTTTAATGAATGGTCCGGTTTAAAAAATGTCTTCTACATTTCGTTAGGTATTTATTAAACACAATAAAGTTGCATTTCTTTTTTGCCGAAATCTTTAAAGACGAGGACGTCAGACACCTTTTAAAATGAAAAATCTGCATGGTTAATCCCAACTTTCTAGCTTTTATAGTTTCCGATATCTCAGCGTTTATACAGACAGACGGACATGGCTAGATCGACTCGGCTATTTATCCTGTTCAAGAATACATAAACTTATACTATTACATACTTTTCCCCTTTTTCTCTACGGGTAACTGGTATTAAAAAAAAACCCGTCATTTGTCAGCTTCTTAACTATATAATATTTGGTATGAGTTGATCGCTGTCATCCTCCTCATCGTCCTCGTCCTCGTCCTCCTCCTCGTCATATTCGCCATCCTCGTCCTCCTCATCGTCCTCGTCCTCTTCCTCCTCCTCCTCGTCCTCCGCATTTGGCTTATCCTTGTGGCTGGTCACGGATGTTGCTGCTGTAATCGTTGGTGTTGCTGTTGCCGTTGGTGTTGCTGTTTCTGCTGTTGCTGTTGCAGCTGGCGCCAAAGTTGCTATTGTTTGCTCCTGGCCAGTGGACTGCGTGGGGCCGATGGGTGGTGGGCGTGCCACACTTGTTGCATTGCCCCTCACGGCTTTCTCCCCGATTGTTGCCGGTGTGGTGGCTGCGGGGGTGGCACGCCTCGTTGTAACGGCGCTTAACGCTTCATTAGTCGCATTGTGGCTGCCAGCTCCAGTTGCCACCACTGTCGTCCTTGTGGCTCCGGCTCCTGCTGCTCCTGCGGTTGCCACCACGGCTGCGGTGTCATTTGTCCGGCGCTCCGGCTCGTTAACCGCCGGCAACTTTTCCGCCATTGCGCTGCTGTCATCGAGCACACCTGTGGGCATGGCTTGCTCCTTGTCCTTCTCCTGGTTCTGGTCCTGGTCCACTTCCAGTTCCAGCTCGGTGGGCGTCGGCGGGGTGATGCGCGGCGGCGCCACCGAGGTCAGCAAAAAGTCATCGCGTATCTCACAGTTCTTGCCCAGAAATCCCTGCCGGCACTGGCAGCGGTAGCTCCCATCCTCGCGGCTCAGCGACATGCACTTGCCCTCGTTTTCGCACGTGTCCGGATGCTCCACGCAGTAGGTGAGCTCTGTGGGTCAAATCGTTAGGTCGGTTGGTCGGATGGTCGGTCAATTCCCCGGGGGCGGTCACTATACTCACTCTCATCGCAGAGCATCCCGCCCCAGCCTGGCTGGCAGTTGCACTCCCACGGCGCCTCGCAATCTCCGTTGGCACATCCCGGGTACGGAAAACACTTGTCGCACTGGCTGCCCGTCCAGCCCACCTTGCAGCTGGCGGAGGAAATCGAGTGTGGTGTCCATGGAAAATAGTGGAGGGTGTGGGTTAGCTCAATTCGTGTGGCTCAAGTGCAAATTAATCAGTGATTGGGTACTACTTTTCGAATTTCGTTCTTGTCTCATAGCAATTTTAAATTTTTTGGATATATTTTAGTATGTAAATAAATAAATACAAGTGGTTAAAGGTTCGAATGAAGTTTGAATTGATTTTCTTTAGGCATTAAATGGAAATAAATATTATTTATCTAATATTTTATTTAAATTCAATCTGAAAATCCTTTTGAAATTCTTGTATTTTTCCCCCATTTCCTGGAATAAGTTGTTGCTCATATGTTGCTACTCACCGGCATTCGCCTGGTTTGCGGCAATATCCGTGCTGTTTGCTGCACTCGGAGTCGCAAAGGGCTGGAAATTAAGACGATTGAGTGGGTAGGTAGTGAAGATCGCAGGACAGGACTTACGCGTCTGGCAGAGCAGTCCCGTGTAGCCGGGCAGGCAGAGGCACTCGAGCGGCTTGTTGCAGGTTCCGTGCTGGCAGCCCGGCATCGTGGCGCACTCGGAGCAGGTGCGTCCGGCGTAGCCGATGCGGCAGCGGCACTCCCCCGGCGCCTCGCAATATCCCCGGGTGCTGTGGCATCCGCTCCGGCAACTGGCTGCGGGTCGTCAGAGGAAACAGGTAATTGAGTAATCAGTCATCCTAGCTCCAAATCGATGTTCAGTTCCATTCAAGGAACTTTTAATATACAACCGCAGTTTTTGTATCCACCTCCCTCGCTCTCCCCTTAGCCGAGGTACCCCCTTATAAAAAAAATTCAAATTGGCGAAAATTTTATATTTTCAAAATTTTAATTTAATTATTATTTTGTTATCTATTCAAAACAGTATGTATTTTTGGTGTAGGACCATTTTTGGCCAAGTTACACAAAAAAAACAAAAAAAAACTCCAATTTTTACCAAAAAAAAATCAAAATTTTACCAAATACCTTACTGAACTCGTAGCTTAATTCTGAATCGATTTGCGTTTAAATCTGGACATTTTAATTTTTTGCCATTTCTAGCAAAAAATGATGCAAAACTTAATTAAAAATTAAATTGTTGAAAAAGTGATGATTCTAAATTGAACAACAGAGAACGCTATAGTCCTTTGTTTCGGCAAATAAACTGAAATTTTATCATCACTTTTGGGAAAATTTAATTGTTCATCAATTTTTGCCTTTTTGATATCATTGACATATTTTTTGCTAAAAGAGGTAAAAAATTAAAATGTCCAGAATTAAATGCCAATCGACATTCCATATTTAAGCAATTATTTCCTTTGTTTCAGCATAAAAACTGATATTTTAGGGTGAAAACATGGATTCGAACTTGAAACAAAAAAAAAGTTTTTTTCAGTCGTAATTTGGACAAATCAAGGCCGACCTGGGGCGGATCTACAATTTTGTTCTGGGGGGTGATATCAAAGCAAAGGGTATCTGATGGTCGACTACAGAGTTCTCTCTTGTTTCAAATGTTTTTAGAAGAATAAATCCCATCCCATTAGAACTCCACTTACGTTCCGTGCAAAAGAGTCCTGCCCAGCCGGGCTTGCAGATGCACTCGAAGGGCTTGGTGCATCCTCCATGTTGGCAGCCGGGCAGCGGGATGCACTTGTCGCAGAGTTCGCCGCTGTATCCGATGCGGCACCTGCATTCCCCGGGTCGCTGGCAGTAGCCTGTGGGTCGAAGGGGTCAGAGGTTTTGGAAGACGGATCACCTGCATATCGAATCATACCGTTCATGGGGTCGCAGCCTCTTCGGCACATGGGCACCTGGCAGAGGTCACCCTGCCATCCCGGCAGACACTTGAAGTCGCCCTTCTCATCGCACACATAATGGGCATTTGGCTTCTGTTTCTGCGACTTTTCGCAGGCCTAAAGTTGACAAAAGGTCTTGGGATAAGTGGTAAAATATATTTAGGCGGTTTTCACGAACTTACTCGCTGCTTCCACAGGGGAATATTCGAATTGCTGCTTTGGCGCGCCTCGAAGTTTCGCCTAAAGGAATCGATTCCCTCCAATTTGAGGGCAGTGATCGCGGTTACCAGCAGCAGCGCCGCCTTTTTGTCTGGCAACATATCTACGTTGATTTTGGAATAATATATTAGCTATATAGGCATATGTACAATCTTAAGTTGGAAATTACCACCCTACAAATTAAATATAATTTAATTGCTGACTTTATGAATTTTATATACCAAAGTCAAACACTTGATATACAACTTTTATCCAAAAAATAAAGTGTAATAACAAACCAGAGTCTCTTGAAAATAATGGCTAAATATTCTGAGATTTATGTTTACACTTAAAGCAAGATCATCTAAGTGGCCCCCAAATGACCTTTCTTAAGAAGCCAGTAATGTTTTGCCTAGACTTTAAACCTGCTTTATGCCAAGTACTTTAAGCCGGAATAAAGAAAGCCTAAGTGAGGCTCTGGCAACTGTCTTGACGTATTGGATTATCGGCTCAAACGAAAAGTGGCTTAGACCGTTAAAAGAAATCGACTGCCTCGACGGCCCACAGTCGCGTCACAATTAACATGTTCGAAGACAACTTTCTTCGCGGCCCAAAGCCGAAAGAACGGGAACCACACTGACTTCTTGATGAATCACACCGGCGGCGAGGAGACCAGAAGAATGCAAATCGAGAATTACTCTTAACGGTGGTTGGACTGCAGCTTCTCGGACAGGTGCACTCCACTCGGCGACGGTCCGTGTCGGTCTGCGATCGCTTTCGGACTAATCAAGTGGCCGCCTCTGGCCGATTCTCGACTCTTTTTTCTTTCTACTACTCGAAGCTCGTCGGCTTCTCCGTCTCTTTCCCTCCGTCTTTCTTCTGGCCTTCACCGTGAACTCTTCGCCGAGAGGCAAAGACAGCGAAAGAGCGCTGGGCACCTGACTATTTGTAATTGGGTCAACCGGTAGATCCAAATCAGCTGAGAGTCGAGCCAAGCACAGTGGGCGTGGATTCGTATTTTATAGACTACAAAATATCATTATTAGATGTAAAAAAATTTTAATTTTTATTTCTTGAGATATAATCCTATCCTAAATAATTTCACTTGAATTTGAAAGCTAAGAATATTGTTATTCACATAGTCCACTTACTAATCATTGTAAATAGACAATCGCATTGATTCAATTTTGAAGATTTTATTGGTATTCTATATTAATTTTGTATTCTTCGTGTGCCGTATATATATATTTCTTTTAGCAAGTGCTCCTTTTTCGAATACTTTCATTCCACTGTGGTCACTCAACCAAGCTACTTGCTGGAAAGCCAGGAATAATAAAGACAAGAATTGGTTACTTTAAAATTATACTCGTTCTTTATTGAATGATCTCATTATTGGTTTAATTATAATTTTAATAATTACTTTCGACATTCGTGTGTACCTAAAGTTCAGATTAATGCTAGGATCCAAACGTTAATTCCGACTCCAGAAGTTTGTCCGCCAGTTGGGCAACTGAAATGGGGACCTCACTACGGTGTGAAGTGTGTGTATGTTTGCAAGTCGGGGAACTAACGATTAGACAGATACACTCATGCACATCCATATATATATATTTCAGCATATATATATTTAAGGGTTCTTTCACTACGCAGCCCGATGTTATGCGGTATTTGATGACTTAGTCTCTAGTTTCTAGTATTATCCGATCCGAGATGAGCGTCTCCATTGATCCCCAGCATTTATAGAGTTCTTGCTAGGGTTTCCTAAGCTACTTAGAGGAAAGCTCTCCGAAGAAAGTCCACAAAAGCCGAAAGATAATGTATTGGATTCGTGTTATAAGAAAGTTTTGAAATTCCCATTGAAATATCCATTGAAAATGGATTTCTAATACTCTATCTTCCGGATCGCTACTCTAGAGAGACAAAAAAAAATCCTGACCTCACACACATATGCTAAGATCTTCTTAATCCACTGGCTTAATGTTTAAACGCTTACATACGATGGGCTACTTTTATTTGGGCCGAAAGTGAAGGGGGGACGGGTGCTTGCGGGGGTGCTTGGGGGCGGGGGTTTGCGGGTGATATGATATGATATGATGGGGGGGCACCATAACCGTACACCATAACCTACACGGGGACAAAAAAAAAAGTGATCGCCTTAGACGAAGATGAACTGGGCGTGGCCGCACTTCTTGGGCGGTCCGACGGTCAGGCGCAGCCACTTGCCGCGGCACGACGGCGCCGGCAGCGCGCTCCAGCGTGTCGTGCGCCCGGCCAGCCCCTCCCCCCGGCAGTGGTAGGTGGGCGCCAGCGTGGGCGGGGGCGTGGCCGGCACGGCGGCGCTGCGTTTTCCCGCTGTCCGGCGGCTGTGCGACCGCTGGTGGCGGTAATCGGAACTCTCGTTGCTCTCCGTGTCCAGGGCGTTCTGCAGGTCGTCCTGCTCCTCCTGCTCCTGCTCCTCCTCCTCCTCCTCCGCCTCCGTGTCCTGGTCGTCGCCGTCACTGCTGTTCTCCTCTAGGTCATCCGCCCGCTGGCCGGAAGAGGAGGCGGCAGCGGTGGTGCTGGTCGGCGGATTGGGGCCCTGCGGTGTCCTGGCGGTGGTGGAGCTGGCCACAGAGTCCTGGATCAACGCCTCCAGGTCACAGCGCACCGTTATACGGTCGCCTGCAGGGAGAAACAAGTTAACAAGTGGAGTTATTAAAGGTGTAAAATCGTTGAGGATTTAAAAATGAATAACCGTTAAAGCCCTTATATATATACAATTTATTGCATTTAAATCGGATAATTCATTAAAAAGTTATGAGAAGATAATGAATTTCCGATAGATGGCGCCACTTTCAACTACTTTGTACTTACCCTCTAGCATCAGGTTGTATGGCGGCAGTTTGTGGCAGGCCTTGGAGGCTTTTATTACCTCAAATTCCACGCAATATCTGAAAGTAAAATTCAAATAGATGTAACAAGTTAATATTAAATATAATTTGTAAACGGATTTGGTCAGAAAGAGTGTAAAATATACCCTAATTCAACTCAGATTTAACTGTTGGAAAATATAGATTACAAAAGACGTGAATGGAATTTCAAAACTAGAGCGACTTCAAAGCCAAATTCGTTTGCCAAGGACTAAATATTTCCTTAATTAATTGTCCATCCCCATAGTTTGCATCGTCTGTTCACCCATTCATTCACCGATTCATTCGTCCGTTTGGCCGTTCATTGATTATGCATGTCCTTCGGCGACGCCTCATTAGAGTGCCAAAGGATCTGGCTGGCCATTGAGATGTTAAATATTATAATTATTGTGATTCTGCTCCGTCAATGGAGGAGCAGCAGAAGGAGACGGGCGGATGGAGGTCCTGATTTGTGCAATTGTGCGGACAGAAGGAGGGCGAATTCAGGACTTCAAAGGACAGGAAATGCGAATTGTCTATTAAGCCTAACAATTTCCGTTTCCTGTAGGCAAAAAAGAGCGAAAAAAGAGCAGAAAAACAAAAACAGCAAGGGAAAGAGATGAAAACAAATCGAACTGACAAGTGCCCATGAGTGTGTGTACGTGTGCGTGTGTGATTCGAGAGTGTCTGTGTGTGTGTCTGACAGCTGTCAAGGTGTTGACAACGGAAATTGCGTAGGAAATTTCAAAAGTGCCTGACGTTTTGGGGCATTTTTGATTCTAGCCCCCCTTCAACCGGAAGGCCGGGCCACTTAGCAAAAAGGGGCGCCCCTTAGCCATAGATTCGCAATCGCAATCCAATGACGAAGGCAAATTAGCCGGGATGCAGCGGAAATGGAAATTGGCTTGGCACTCAGACCGCAGAAACAGACGATTCCCCAGATCCCCGCAGCCGAGTCATAAATAAAAAGAATTTTTGTTATTAAAAAGGGGAGTCGCCGGTCGAGATTTCGAGGCGGAGGACAGCGGGGAACAGCTGACAGCTTAATTAAGTCCCGGCAAAACCAAGCCAAACCAAACCGAAGGACCCTCTGCGCCCAGGCAATAAAGGTAAATTGAAAAAATTAATGTAAATAAACAGGCGCAGACGCCGCGCCGAGTAATAAAAATAAACAAGGCAATGCACAAAACTCGAGGACCAAAACATAATTAAAGACAAGCAATGCTCGGGCTTTTCCGGGGGTATTTGTCTGGCCGGGAAAACAGTAGGGGGAAACCGGAGCCCAAGTCCTTGGCCACTGATCATAAAATAAAAAGCAATTGTTATGCTTGGCTTGCGGTGAGCGGTGGAATAGCCCAAGCCCGCATTTTTAGGAGGGCCGCCTAAGCTGAAATTTGTGGAAGGAGCCCACTGATTTATCACAAAACGAAACGATGTCCACGCGGATGATAAACGGATGGAGGGAAAAGTTTTCGGGTTAGGGCAACCACAGATACGGGCCGGAATTTTTAATTTATTAACTGATTACGCGTTTGAATCGCACACAAATCAAATCAAAAATCGAATAAAAAAGAGCACACACAATAATTCATTAAAAAGTAAATTGAAACGTTATAATCAATTCGATGTCACACGGCAAACCGAATATTTAATGGAGCTTTAATGGACCTAAGCAAAAAAAAAAGCCAGAATGAATTACTGTCGACCTGTCGGCTTTTGCTTTTAATCGAGAGCCTCCAACTATTACTGTCACATCAACAGTTTACCGCTGTTCTCCGCTTTCCAGTCGGTTGAATTTCGTTGAAAATTCACAATTAAGCAGTTTGGTTTTTTACGGCCTGTTAACTTTATGTGCAGCACTTGGGCGCAGGTGGATCCTAAAATTCATCATTTTCCGGGGCTCATCCTGCGTAAGTGCAACTACATAACTACAATGCTAATTACAAACACAAAGTCTAAGCTAATTTTCACAAAACTTTAGGGCTTTAATATTTGCACACGAATATCCGCCTGACCTGGCAAATCCACCCTGGATTAACAGAATAAATATGCTCACTTTGTATGTGTGAAAATTAAAGCCCCTGAAGAAGGTTGTACACAAAAAAATTCTATATGATTAATGTCAAATTTATAATTCAAATATATCAAATTAATATTTTATCTTTCCATAAAATTTAAAAAATATTGTTTTAAATACCAAAATTAATATTTTTTTCAAAAAATATTGTAAAAAAAGATAAACATAATCTATATTCATATCAAAATTATATTAATAATCTTTTTGTCTTTTTTTCTCTGCATGCACGCACATTCAAAGCTAAACCAAAAAGTACAGCAACATATTTCACTCTGAATAAAATACCTGCGAATTTATTTAAGAGTTAAACCAGGCAAATTCCGAACCCAATTAGAAAGTCCATAAGGCGGGAGGAAAGGGGTCTAGAAAGCAGTGATGAGCTCAGCTTATCCTTTGTAAGCAAAAATGCTTGTCGTTTACTTAATATTTCACGAATTACCAAGCTGAGGAGATGAAATATTTTATTCAATTTACCCCTTTAAAGTTTAAAAGCATCTCAGGTATTTTTGGACTCTAATAAATGGATAGTTAAATGTATTGAAAAATGTGCTTTTGCAGATATTGAATAATAACCATTAAATGTTTAGAATTTAAACTTTCTCCTTAAATATTGTTTATTAAACCTCGAATATTATTTGGTTAAAATAATAATAAATTTCTTCTTAATTATGTTTATAAATTGGTTAGCAAAACAACTAAACACGAATTAGCCAATGCGTATTTACATATTATTTGAATATGCTTTTTATGCCTTTATGCAAACTGTGCATTGGGCCATAAAAAGGCAAATATAGTCAAAGCCAATTTGTCCCAATTTGCCGTTCTAATGACTTTCTCCTTCAACGTGTGGCTAAACGTATTAATAATCAATTAGTCCATTTGAAAATACTATTGAAAGCCAATTAGTCAAAAAAAAACTAATGGTGCTTAGCTAATATAGTTTTTACAGGAATGATAATTTTCTCCCTCAGATTTCAATGGACTCCCGTTATTGGGCTTCCTTGAAATGGCAGGACCTCGAATTAAGGTCACCGGCAATGGCAAATGGCAGCCACTGACCACAATGGATCAACTTCTGTCGGCCAGCAAATTGTGGCCAAAAACATTAACATACACACTCCTCGCTTTCCTGCTCCTCCGCCGCCGGAAAAGTCATTTTCTTGTCAAATATTTTGCCACTTCAAAGGCCGTCAACTGTCAGCGGCAACAGCAACAACAATGGAACAACAACGGGAACAACAGCATACAGGCACTTAAAAAAGTATTTGCACTCGCTTATATGAAAGGCAAACAAGAGCCGCCACGAGATGAAGTAAGCGCCGCTCCAGCTGCGCTAAAAATAATTGCTCGACAAAGTTGGCTCACAGCTGGATGGCCACACGATGTCCCGCTGCCACGCCCCCTCCCCCTTGTCCTTCCGCCCCCTTTTGCCCCCAGGACCCGCTTCCATTTGCCTACCGCCGATGCCAATGGCGATGCCCGGAAACGAAAACGATGGCGCCGACAAGGGGCAGGCGACATTGCAATTTAGACTTGAATAGACACTGAGAAAAAAGCAGCTGTAGTGATTGTATTTTATTAATAGTTTTATAAGAAAAATGTGATGCCTTTTAGTGGTTTAAATTTGAAGGAAAATCCTAAATTCGTTAAAAGTGCAAATGAAATGAGCACATGAAATAAGCACTTGAATTAAATTATGAATTCAGAATATAGACAATTTATCAAGGGTTTTTATGGTTTTCATTTGTTTAAAATTGAAGATAAAACTTAAAGTGCAAAAGAAATAAATAATATTTGTATTTAAATTAAATTGCGAATTAAATATAACCTAAAGACAGAAGAAATTACAAGAAAAGAAATTATTTTTTTAAATCTCCCGTTTTGAACTTCAGTTTTAATGGTTTTTGTTTGCTTTAAATTTAACCAAAAATCTAAACTGCTTGAGAAATTAATAATTTTTGTATTTTTCTTTAAATAAACCGAATATTCATATGTAAATTATATTGAATTAAATTCAACTTAATGGATAGAATATTTTCGTAAATCTTCTACTTTTGAATTTTTTTGTTCGAATATAAACAATTGATCTGCAATTGTATTCAAATTTATATTATTTAAATGATCTTAGCTGTCTTCTAATTTTTGTTTCTGTGCATTCTTTGAGCAACAGGCAGCAGGGAAAGAGGACTTCTTGGTCTTGGACTCGGACTTCGACTTGGTCTTGGTTCTCGTCTTCGTTTTGGTTTTTGCCCGGCCAGAGAGGAAGCACTTTGCGGCGCTTGAGTGAGTCGCCTCCGAGGGGAAATGTTAAAGGGATTCCGCTGGACGTTTGTTGTCGTTGTTGTCAGCCTTATCCAACCCACCAGCCCACCGAAAGCCCACCCACCCACTTTGCCACCCGGCCTTTCTTGCTTTTTAATGATGATTGAGCGGCGGAGGCGGCCGCAGCTCGGAAAACCTTGTTGCATACTTAGTCAATGCAAAAGCTGATTTGGTAGGGGGGGTTTCCACAGAATTTCGGGGGCGTGGCCGGGGGTTGGAAGCTGGGGGCTGGGGGATTACTGTGACAGTTTCGCATCGCTGGCCACCGCGAGCAAAAGCTTTGTGCAAATAAAGCTGTCGGCATGTAGATTAGACTGAACTGAAACATTCTCGTTCCCTTTTCCCTTCCCTTTTCCCTTTTCGACCAAATAATTGATATGGAAAGAAAGTGTCGGAGGTGCAGAGGTGATTATTTCCCTTTGCCATTCGCTTGCCGATTAAAAATAGAAAATGTGCCATAATGGCGAAGGGAAAATGTGGATGGTTATAATGAGGATGGTGCGCTGTTTGAATGGATGGCAAATTTAAGCGCATCAATTTGATGGCTTTATCAATTTTCCTTTTATTCAATATTCAATATTTATTTAGTTTCTTACGTCCAAAATGAAATTTGATATGATTTGATGTTAAGTGGTAAAAACGATATGCGTATAAATACCAGAGATTTACCATGCTCATATCGATTTGATCCCAGCGTGTTTTTCTTTGGGTGTAGCTATTCGAAATATTTTTGAAAACAAGCCAGTTAGAATTACATAAAAGCCCTCAAGGAGAAGCCCTTAAAGTGGCAAACGGACTGTCCTTGCAGATGGAAACTCGTTTAAATAGCTCGCTCAATGGGAATTTTTCCATTTAACCATTTCATTTGGGCTCTTTCAGATGCTTAGCCTTGTCCTGGAATCTTCGGTTGGCCCAGGCCCACCTTTAGCCCCCTTTTTAGCCGCCTTTCTGCTTGGCAGCTGCCCGCCATTAAGTGCATAATTCAATTTGTAAAGCCGCCGACTTTGAGTGCCCCTAAAAGTATGCAAAGCAGCCGCAGACGGACAAACAGAAATCCGCATCCGCAGACTCCGCGTTGAGGAAAAGCCGCCTGCATAGATCAACGGGCATAAAGAGGGGCTATATATGTATATATAGCCGGTATACATATATACATACATATAGCCACGTATAAAGGGGCCTGTTGTAATGAAAATAAAGTAGCAGCTTTAACGCATTTTTATGGCTCTTATTCCGCTGTCAACCGTATGCAGTCGAAACGAAAACAAGGAGGGAAAACAAAAACAGAGTGCGCGATAAATGTGAATGCGAATGTGCTTCCAAGAAATGCGGCGGGGATTTAGGGGGAGAATGGGGCGGAATAAGGACGACCCACCTGCTCTATGCAAATGAGGAAGGTGGGAAGATGGGATCGTAAAATCTGTCAATTCGCAGACTCATTGTCTTCAATTTCCAGGGGCTAGCAATCAAGCGGCCTTTTTTTTCTTCGCCCTTTTTGGGGGCGCATTGCGGGCAGGTTTGGGGCCCATTTTTACCAGACTTGCATAATAAATAAACAAAATAAATTGTAGATTCATAAATGTATTAAGTGCTTACATTTATGCACAATGCCTAATTGAAGCTTACTTACCTTAAAATGACATTGCAAAAAGATTTTTTGTTCAGTTAACCCTGCTAAAATGTCTGACCTTATACTTTCATAGTTAAACAAAAAAAAGAATATTAGCAATTTTGATTATTTTTTAAAACAATTAAAATTTATTTAGGTTAATTCATTTATTATTAATTAATTATATTGACTTGGGTAAATTTGGTATAGGGGTAATCAAATTAAATAAAGTTTTAATTAAATTCCTTATTCTTTCATTTAAAAATGTTAATAATTAAAGTGGCATAATCAAATTAAATCTAGTTGTGAGCTGAGCTTTTTGCACCACCCAAATCAAATTGACTTATTTATTTATTAATTTTCCATTCAAGATACAAATTAATAGGTTATCAAGGTAATCAAATTGACTTATTTATTTATTAATTTTCCATTAGAGATAAAAATTAATAGGTAATCAAGGTAATCAAATTGACTTATTTATTTAATAATTTTCCATTAAAGATAAAAATTAATAGGTAATCAACACATAAGATTTCCCTTTTAAAATATCTTTAATAAAATTCGATGGCATCTAAAATGGAAAAGCGATTTTGTTCGACATCTTATCGGAATGTCCAGCTTGGACATTGGCATTCGAGCAGCAGATATCGATCCTTGGGGTCCTCACACTTTTTGCTTTATTTCGTTGTTTTTTTTCTTTTCCTTAGCCAGGAGCGGGGTGGAAAATGAAGGGGAGAGCGGGTGGAAAGTCCGTCCCTGGTTAGTTGGCATTTTCCTCGGCCGCTTTGTTTGCTCGCGTCTGCCGGCAAATTTATGCGGTCCAGGCTAATCCTCGTGGGGATTTGGACTTAAAACGTTTTATTGTTGCCCCACGTAGGCGCAGACAGTGGGCGTGGCCTTCGTCGGAGGGGGGCGTGGCACACACGGCTGTCGACTGCAGATTTCCCAGTTGCCTTGTAAATTTATCGCATTAAAAAAGTGTGAATTCTCAACAACGTCGTTGGCCCCTCTTCCTTTGTCTTTTTGTCTTCTCCCTTCCATTTTCCATTTCCCTTCAACTTGAACATCCTGCTCCATCTTCGCCTTTTTAATTTCTTTCTGCTTTCCTCCCAAGCTCCACCCACTCCACCCAATCCACCCACTTCACCTTACAGCCTTACAGCCGCTTGACACTGTCATTATGTAAATTAAATTGTGGCGAATTATTGTTTTTATTCTTATTTTCGGTTTCGCCCATCTTCGCGTGCCTTTGTTTTTCGCCCCATCTTTTGCGTAATTTATGTATATGTTTATTTATTTCTCCTCCACTTTCCACTTTCATCTGCTGCCTGTCGCCTCTCCTGTTGTTCGAGTGTATAATTCATAATTTGCGGTTTGGTTCCTGTTGCCGCCTCTCATATCGCTGACAAAGCAATAAAAGTTTACCCAGCAAGTTAACAAATCACCAGGGAGGCTGGACAAGGGGGCGTGGCACCTGCTAGTGGGCAGCGCAGGGGGAGGGGAGGCTAGGATATCGAGACTTTGTCAGGGGAGTCATTAAAATTAGCTAATATTAGCTTTACTTGTTGTCAGAAGACTTTAATATACTTTAAATCCCTTTCGACTTTTAATGAAAATATTTTTAATAACAAAATGTCAAATCTTTAGTTGTAATTGATCCAAATTATTATTCATTGCTTCTTAATTTTTTTGCAAACACCCTAAACAAACTTGATATAATGATCAATTTGATAATATGTTGTATTAAATTTCTCCTGATATGAGGTACATCATTTTGATATGCTTGAAATGTAAACGACATGTTCTAATAATAATAATATTATTATAAAACGATATGCGGATAACACCAGAAATTTACCATGCACCTATCGATTTGATCCCGGCGTGTTTTTGTATGTGTATTTTGTACTTTTCCAATAGTCAAGCCTCTTACACTTATTCAGGCTCCAAATGAACCATAGCTCCTTATTAGTCATTCGTCATTTTGTCATATTTACCGACGTATGTATGTACTTATGGGTTCGGCTTAGTGCCAGAACTCGGAATTGCTGCTCCAGAGCAAGCTGATGGGAACTGCCATCGATCCGTTTCAATTAGCAGCAACAGTTTAGGTAAACTTCCCTTCCTCCCACGCCGGCTTAGTGTCTCCTGTATTCCGTCTCCTGTCAGCCCACTGCCTTCTCCTTCGTCTTCGTCCTTGTTCCTGACCACCCGACTGTTAATTAAAGCCCAGAGGAAGAGACAGGACACACACATGCAGATGTTTGTCCAGGAAAAAGGAGCAGAAAATTTAAATTGCCTCCTTGCAATAGTTAGCTACCGAAGTCCATTGAAGAACGCTTATTTGACAGCGAATTCAAGTCAAGTACGAACAAGAAATCAAGCATTTGTTGGTTGAATTTTGTGCAATTAAAGGTTATTCTTTCCTAAGCAAATTTATTAATAATTTCTCTCTGTGATCTAAGAAGTTAAAAACATTCTAACAGACAAAACAGGGCGATAAGCCAAACAAGATGGCCAAGGAATCCTGAAAACAGGACAGCCGGACAGACATAAAAACAAAGCAACAAATGAAAAACCGTAAAATAATAAAACGCGGATTTAATTTAATTTTATTTTTGGAGGGAGAATTTTATTCTGGAGGTGCAGAAAACATAAATAACAAGGGCGAAACGTATCATAATAAACGGCTTTTGTTAGGTCAAGGGACTCGTGAAACATCAAAAAAGAACGCGAAGCACTGAGAAGGTCCTTCGGTCAGGATTCTTCGGCACGTGATTGATGTGCGCTCATTGTGGCATCCATAATGGGCCAGCGAAAGATATGTTCGACAGATTTTTTGCTACCTCTTGAGCTGTAGCGGATTCCGGGTATATCAGACTAAATGTGAACTCGAAAAATATCAGATTTATTTTGTGTTTAGCCAGGGTGTCAGCAAGTCAAATCCCGGATTAGTACACGAAAATGTCACGAGTCAGTTTGGAAAACCACCAGGAGAATGGGCTGGACAACTAGAAAGAGAAGGCTTGAAGAATACAGAAAGAGAGGGCATTAGAATGCCAGTTGTTTGCTCGGCTCATGTTTGCCTTCGCCTGGGCATACCATACCACAAATAGGACATCAAGGACACTTAAGGACATGTCGCAGACACTCGGACCTAGACCCCCGAAAAGTCTGGCCAACCTGGCCAAGCAAATCATAAAAATCAAAGGAGGCAAACAAACGGCACAAAAAACGGCAAGAAAAACGCAGAGAAAGTCGAAAGAATTAACAACGCGTCAAATCAGGGCCAGCTTAGAACAGTTTAATGGAGCCCCCACCTTTTATGATGGACTTTTATTGCCAGCGTTTATGTTTTCCATCCTTTGGCCCCGCACTTTGCCATGTTTTCCGTCGGGACATGAAATTATTTTGCATGTCGCGCGCCATAAAAACTCAACGGCTAGCAAATTTGGGATAAACCCACCCAGTCGCCCAGTTGCCCCGTCGTAATGTCCAGGCTCAAAGGCGTGGGGAAAAGCTATAAGTTTTCCCATAAAAAGAAAAGCCAAGTAAGTGCCATCTGTAACCGAAATGAGGGATTTGCCAGCCAAGTTCTGATATTCGGTTCTAGGATCATTTTGAATGGCAATTCACCAGGGCTATAAATCGAAGGGAATGAAAAAAACAGCTCAAAACTCAGAAGAATTTTCTATATTTAGTTTTTTTTGCACAAAAATGTTAGTATTTTTGGCATAACATGAGAAAAAACGGTCAGAATATGAAATGTCATACCTTTTTGCGCTCGTTAATAAATTCCCCATCTATTGGCATTTAAATATGGAAATTTAAACTTAATAAAATTTAAAAAAACGCAAAAATTAGCAAACAATTTATTTTTGAAAATCAATTACCCTGATATGACTTCTTCTTAAAAGTGTTTCACAGTTTCAAAGCAATACAATTTTCTACCAAAATGTTGTACAACAGGGCGTATACTTACTCATGATCATGGTTGTGTTTGTAGGAGTCGCGGTAGCGCGTGCGCAGATTGCGCCGGATATCAGTGCTGTCGTTGATGTGACGATTGTGCGAGAGTGCAGCTGGCAGGAGCAGGGCCATTTCTGAAAGAAAATACAGAGGAAAATGCAGCGTTATTTTCGGGAAATCAATTTCCACGCGCGGAATCCCAGGAGCTCAAGGTTGCTCCTTGTGTGTGTGTCTCTGTGTGAGTTTTGTAACGCACGCATAGCCGCCATAATTCAATCGCTACGCACACCTCCGTACCTTCGTGTACATACGTATTACGTATGTCGGCGAAAGCGGAAGTATGCGTGCCGGAGCGCCTGGGGCTATGCTACGTTTTTGGTCCCCGCCTCCGTCGCACTTTGCTGTTTGCCCTGTCGGTTGCTCTTTTCCTACTGTTTTTTTTTTTAGCAGCGCGGAATCAAAACATGCCATTAACAGGCGACCAAATAAAAAAGTCAGGCAAACAGCATGAGCTGGATACACGCTCCTCTTCCTCTTGCTCCTCCTCCGACCGCAGATTGCATAGAAATGCGAACCGCACTGCCATTCCTTTCCATTCCATTCCCTTCTGTCACGAAGCCAGCGACAACACGTCAGGCACCGCCAGCACCAACAGCAACAAGAACAAGAACAACAACACCCCATTCCAGCACCAACACCTTGGATGACCCGACGTGCCGCGGGTGCAGAACGATGCCGCATGCCACTCTACACTCTAAGAAATCAAAAGGAACTCTTTCCCTGAAATTCGTAACAATCGCTCTTTAATTAAGAAGAAACAGATTTGGGCAACCCCTTTGAAATTCCCTCTTCTTGAAGTTTTAAGTAGATAATAATAGAAATACTTATGATTAATAAAGAAACCGGTTATTTTGTGAAAGATTAACTTTAAGATAAATAAAAGTAAATATTTCTCCGTTATTAAAAAAATTGTATACCTATAGTTTTTTTTTCATATTTAATTTTAGAGGGCCTTAAAAAAGTACTTATTTTCTTTATGTTCCTTGATAAAAAAATTAATTTAGTTTTTAACAAATTATTTTAACAACATATTTTCATCACAAGTAAATTCGACTTAATATGAGAATAGAACGAAAAGTAAAATAAACGCGAATTCTTGAGGACATTCATTAATTGTCACTAATTATTCATTTTTATTATTTGATTTTAGTATTAAAGTATTAATTGTAGAATTAAAAACTGAAGACACACAAATTTTCGCACTGTGTGCTGCCCCTTATGCTCTTCTTTGATTCGCTACTGTGTTTACCCGATATAATTTACGTGTGCGATTTGTTTACTGTTTGCGCAGAGACTCTCGAACACTCAAAGGTCCTCCGCCGAATCGAGAAAGGGGTTCCGGTGCTCTGTGTTCGGTGCTCCTGGGTGTTGGATGGATAATCCGGAGAATGGTGAGTGGGGAATGGGGAACGGGGCATGGAGAATGCATTGCTTTGCCTGTCAGAGGCAGTTTAGGTATAGCAGCGAGGGGTGAGTGAGGGAAGAGTGCCCATTCAGTTCAGTTTCAGTCGGTTGTAATGAATGTTAGGAACCTGTAAATCCTGTATTCTAAATTATTGTATTCGTAAACGGCAAAAGCCAAGATAAATTGCCCTCTGCATGTGATTAACCCACTGGCGGCCATTGGCGACCACCGACGGACTACCAGAGAAACGAAGCAGGAACTCAAGAAGGGATTCAGTGGAATCAGTTGAATCAGTTGAAACAAGGGATCATGATGGGCCACCGTCTACCGTATGTGGACATGGACATGGGCGATCGCGGCGACGGCGTCCAGCTGAACGGAACCGAGAACAGACACAGGCGCTGGCTGGAGAGGCGCCACAGGATGCGGGATCGGTTGAGGGAGCGGGAGCAGGAGCGGAACCGGGAGCGGAACCGGGACATGGAGTGGAGCCTGGAGATCATCAAGCCTCCGAACGAGCAGTCCGGACGTCTGGCAGCCGCGGCCAAGAATGCCATTCCGGCGGTACTTCGTCTTGTCAAGGAACTCCAGGTATGGGGATTAAAAAAAAAATACTTTTACACTATACAAAAATACTATTACACTATAATATATTAATATTAATTAATATTGATAATTAATATTTTTCAGGGACCCTAATAATAATAATAACATATTAATATTTTGACTATGTTTAATCTTTCAATATTTAATTTCACATTTATTTCTACTATCGATACTATCGATGGCTCTAAAATGTAGAAAACATTGATGGCTTGCTTTTATTATCGATAGTATCGCTAAGCCGAATAATTATTTTTTAAATTTGTGTACATTTTAAGATCAAGTATATTAGATATATATTATTTTCCCTAATTTTTTTTGTTTTCCTTAGTTTTTGTAATTTCTTAATCATTTTTCATAACTTATACAAACAATACACCCAGGTAATGGAGACCGATCCGCCGGAGAACACGTGGGCGCGTCCCAAGTCGATGAGCAACCTGCTCCGGTGGCGGGCCAAGATCCGCGGACCCGAGGGCAGTCCCTACGAGGGCGGGGTCTTCGAGCTGGCCCTGAGCTTCCCGGAGGCCTATCCCTTCGAGGCGCCCATCGTGCGCTTCATCACGCCGCTCTACCACTGCAACGTGAACGGACTGGGCTACATCTGCGTGGACATCCTGGACGAGCAGCAGTGCTGGTCGCCGGGCCTCACGGTGGACAAGCTGCTGCTGTCGCTGTCGGCGCTCCTGTACGACGCCGATCCGCTGACCGCCTACAACGCGGAGGCCGCCGGCCAGTTCCTGCAGGACCGCGAGCGGTACGACCGCATCGCCCGCTCCTGGACCGAGCGGCATGCCATGGACGTGCCCTGGGATTGAGTGGTGGTCGGCACTTCCGGCTTAAGTTCCGTAGTCCTTCGATGGGTCGAGCGTGGTGCTGGCATAGTTATTTTGGACTTGGTTTCGATTGTGATGCAGATTGAATTTTGGAATAAACACGATGGTGTGTCCTCTGTACTCGGCACAAGTTTTCCCAACGAGCAGAAGGCGGAAAGGGAGGGATGTGTTATTTCAGGGCTGGTCCATATGCGTTGCATAATTTTAGGCGCCGCAACTTATGCAAATTTAACGAGCCAAGTGCTAAGCGCTTTGCGGGGCGGGGCAAGCGGAAGGGGGAATGCGAATTTGCATAATCAAATGCCATATTGTTGCCCTTGCCCCTCCACCCCCTGCCATCCCCTTCCAAGGTCCTTCCGCTCAGACATCGCCTTGGGCATATTCACTTCCCGGGAAACTTTGCGAGCTGACTTGCTGCGTTAAAATTGGAAAAGTTGAGCGTTTCAGCCGAGAGTTTCTAAGCTCCGACAGCAGGTGCTGCTGCATTTGATCAGATCAATAGTTATTCCGAGTTGGGCGGTAATCAGTTACAGTCCATTGCAGCGGCATAGATGTGTAAAGATATGATGGAGATTGAAGTCTATCAGATTTTCAAGCGAAAAACTGATTACTATTGGTTTAATCTAATATATTTTAAGGCTACATTCTTTATAGCTTAAGTTTCAACAAGTATCTTTTATCATATATGGCCTATTTGCTTGAAAATGCTGTTCTTAAATGCCCGACCATATTTTATAATTTATCATTTTCCATTATATATGACAAATTTGTTTCTCAAATTCTAAACTATATTTTAATATTTATGGTTTAGATATTATTCTTATATCTAAAATATAGAGGAGTATCCTAGCATTCTCCTACCATATTTAATAATTCATGGACGTATTATTATAGTTATATCTGAATATATGGCATATTTGTTTCCAAATGCTGTTCTTGAAATTTCGTGAAATATCTTAGCAATTTCCATCATATATGCCTTTTTTGTTTTAAAAATTCTGAACTATATGATATGATTTATTGACGAGATATAATGCATTTCCCTGGAGAGGGCAGGGTATTCGGGGGTCGGGGTCTGCGGCTGATTAGCTCCGCCCAAAACTGTCGCGGTGGCACTTCATCGTTCATCTCGGACGATTACCGACTTGGCGGCCAAGCAGCCGAGATGACATTCACACTCACAGACGCCAGTTAATTGGAATTTAGCACATGGCAACTGAGTGTGTGTGTGTGTGTGCGAGAGGGTGTGTGTGTGGGTGAGTGTTAAGCAATTATTTTTATAACGTTAATGAGCACAGCGCATTATTTTGGAATGGGGAATGGTGTGGAGGTTTTGGGTTTTGGGCTCTGAGCTTTGGGGCTTCCGAAGGCCACAGTGAGGGCCAAAAGTACGTGCACGTGTGGCAAATGTCGCACGACAAAACCGGAAAAAGAGGCAAAAAATCCAAGCAGCCAACCGAAAATTCCCGAAAATTGTGTGCAACTTGAGCCCGAGTTGGTGAATTATGTAGATGGCAATTACCGCAGAGTTTGTTTTTTCTCTGTATTTTTAAGAGGCGAGGAGCGGACTGATCTTGCATATTTTATGGCTTTCGGGAAAGTCCTCCTCCTGCTTACCATCATCATTTCAGCCGCAATGGCTCCTTAACTTTTGTCTTTGCCTTGGCGCCATTTACCTGTCTTTACCTTTAACCTGTTTGTCTTCCGGGCCACGCCCCTGCCCCTTTGTTTACCTTAATTATTGCCCATGTGCGTGTATTCTCTTTTCTTACCCCCCCACACAGAGCAACTTGTTTGTTAGCAATTAAGTGGAAATTAGAAAATTTTTAATAGCATACTTAAGGGCGCACCGCACTGACATATTCCGTTTCCGTTTCCGGTGAACCGGCAGCGAATTGAATTTGTCTTGGCTAACGCGACCCATTTTTAAGGTATGCGGATGGGAAGTGGAGGTGCTCCTAGGGTAGCAAGGTCAAAAGCCAGGAAACGCTGCATCTTGTTCACTCTTATCATCGCCATAATATCAGCTATATTACTAATATTTATAATAGCATCATTCAACCCTTATATTATATTAAATATATTATATATATTATATAATATATTATATTTAAATTTTTGAAATTATTTTCGGATCGAATCAAATTTTTATGACAGTATAATTTATGCGCGGATCCACTGGGGCGATATAGGAAATTAAAGGAATTTTGGTATTTTAAAAGTAGGCGGACTAATAGTTAATAGTTGTATTTGCTATGTATTGCTCTGAATGCCATATAGCAAATATGTGCTTTATGTGCTTTAAACGACGATTTTAATGCCCTGTAATTGCTGGGGAAACACAAGACGATTTTCCGGCCATATTTGCTCCAGTATCCGTATCTGTTTCTCTTTCGCTAGTCCTGCGGCGAGTGTCTGTGGGCTATTTGCAGTACAAACACAGCCCCACTTCCGCCTTCCGCCCACACACACGAGGGCGGTGGGCGTGGCCTGCGGGGGAGTGGGAAGTGCTAAAAACAATAAACAGCTTAAGCGCATTATGAGCGTTAAACACACATATAGACACCCACGGACGGACACCACACACACACACACGAAGACCAGCAAACGCCTTAATTAACATTTCCTCCCAGAAACCCAGAAAACCAGAGAACCAGGACGACAGGACACCGCAAATGTAAATGTATCTGTGTGCCAGGATATACATAATTGCGGACCAATTATGAAACAGGTTGGAATGCGATAGCAGGGGTTATCTTGTCGGTTCCGATTTGGGGGCTCCGCAGCTACAATTCGCATTAGCCACTTGTTTGCGGGGACTTTGGCTGTATTTTCCATAAATATACCCTGTCGAGTCAATTTTATTTTAATCTATTACAAACATTCCGATTTATAAATCGGAATTTCACGTCCACACTCCCCCTGGAATTAGCCAAAAACAATATCCTCGCATTTTGCCAGCAATGTGATTATGAATTTATTTTTAATAATTTTCATTTCATTTGAAACGGGATATTATCGACAACTAATATCAGCTTCAATGGTCCGCGGCACTCAGTGGGGACTGAAAACTTCCGATTGCACACAACATTTTTATCGAATTCCTTCAATTAATTCCCAATTCGCGTGCGTCCTTTCCTGATTATAATTGTAATTAAATATGTAATTACATATAAGCGATTTTAGCTCTAAAACAACATCGAATTTAATGAACAGCTTAATTTCGGAAATTCGTTAGCTGCAATTTTGCTGAGCGAGTTTTCCCCTTCCCCCAAATGTTTAATTTAACGAATAATAAAGGATAATAATTTTGGCAGTCATTAGTGTTCGTTTTTTTTTTTTTTGTGCAAATATATAATGAGATAGATATTATGAAATAAATATATGAGAGAATTAGTTTTTCTAGCTCCAACTCACGTAAATTAAATCCTCACATTGCTTGTTTCTCTCTTTTTCGAAGTCAGAGAAACTCCGAGAGAAAGAAATCGGCAAATAGATATTATTTAATATCAATCAATTACATGGTATGCGTTAAAGTACCAGAAATTTACCATGCGCTTATCGTGATTTTTTTTTGTGTATAATTTCCACCTCTCACGTTTCGCAATTTAAATTTGCTCCCATTATCTTCGAATGGCCGAGTGCAGATTTTGCAGCCAGTGTCTAAAACAATGTTGCCACTCGCTTCAATTAATAATGGCTTTTTTCTCCTGTTTCCTCCGCCAATCCGACGCATTCATCTGTGCTGTTGGCAGCTCCATTCTTCTGGTTCTGCATGCGGTTAAATAATATTTTAATGGCAGCAATCAAAGTTTTAATTAAACGCTTAAAGAGTTGTGCGGTGCACACATGTGCCGAGCACAACAAGAAAAAATGGCAAACCAGAAGGCGAAACTAAATCCAAACAAGAGTGGGTGGTGGGTGGTGGGGGAGTGGGTGAGTAGGCGAGTGGGAGGGCACGTCCAAGGCTAATGGAGCGCAGGCGACCCAAAACATAAACAAAAACTTTCGCAGCGATATTTTAATAGTTTCCCCCGACCCAATCCCCAATCCCCCTTTGTCTGTGTGTTTTTAAGCCGGCGGTGACACTTAGCCAAATATAATATGGCTTTTATGTCAGCCACTTGCAGAAAATTGCTTTGGATCGGGGGGCGGGGTGAAGGGCGGGGGCGAGGGGTGTTGGCTCAATGGCATTTTTTGCCGCCGCCACTTTTTCCACCCACCAACTTTCTACGCCCTTTCTCCTGCAGCTTTCTTTCACGTACTCCGGCTTTCTTGTTTGGAGTTTGGCAGATCCGTTTTTGCCTTGGCTTTTGGCTGTGCGGATGCAAATACACAGGGAGAAATAGTCAATGTAGTTCAAAAGCCCAAAAGGGGTCCAAACAACATTTCAAATATATTTGTTTCTAAAATGGAAAATATATTTAGCTGCTTTTATTTTTAAAATGTTCTTAATTATTAAATGTTTATTTGTAAGAACTTTCTATATATTTTTAAAAAATGAAATTAAATTTTTTGCTTAGACCAATTAGTTCCAATTTTCAACTCCAAGGACCTAAACCCTATAAGAAATTTAAGTGCCTGCAAACAGTGGATTGCTAATATGTTGCTGGTAAAATATGTACTAAATTGAGTTTACAGCGCGGAATTGATATCCATTGTGTTTCCTCCCTGTGTGAATGCAAAAGGCAATTTGAAAGGGTTTCAACTTTCTGCAGACAGCCCCGACCACCCAGAAGACCACCCGAAAAGCCACCCACAAAACCATCGCAAAAACAATGGATGGCAGAGTGGATGGAGTGCATCGGAGGTCTTTGATGCCGCTGTCAGTCTACTTAGTCTGGTTTAGGTGCAAAAGCTTTTTGCCCCGAATCGCTGTTTGCCGTGCAATGTCGTGTCGGGACAAAAGATATCCTGCGACTCCTATCCTTGCAAGGAAGCGGGTCAAGGGTTGTGGGATGATCAAATCAGCGTGTTTATGACGTCTAAGGTTCGCTGGCAGAGGGGCGGGAGCTTTGCTTAATTTCATTTTAGCCAGATTGTTGCCCATGTAAGTCGAAAGTTGCCAACGCAACCATTTAATGCTTTTTTTAGAAACACAAAATGTTGCAGCATAAGTTTTGACAACTGGGGATGTGGAAGTTAATTAAAGCGGGACCCTTGAAATAATACTATTTCATTGGCGATATTATATCATCTATATTATTTGATTTTTCAAGTAGTATTTTTTACCATCATCTATCAGAATATGGAACTCACCGTGCAAAATCTTCTTGTCGTGATGTCCATGGCAGCGGTATCCTTGGCAGCTGCGCTTCTGCTCCAATGTGGGGCAGTGTTTTCCTCCGTTTTGGGCCGCCTGCAGGATCTGGCGGTTCCGCGTCATCATCCCAGTGCCGCAGCCCTTGTCACACTCGCTCCAGGCGCCCCAATCGCCCACCTGGCAGTCCAGCACTGAAATCGAAAGGAAAGAGGTTGATTTGGTAAGTTTGTGGGTTCTTTTTAAAGGATGTGAAACCTGTACTGATAGCTTATACTTAATAACGCTTAAATAATATTTAATTGGTATATCAAAGTCTTAATAGTTTTCTAGTACCAGCAAATAGTTAAGTAGCAGCTGGAACTTAGGGCTTTTAGCTATAAAAAACTTCTACTGTTCGTTTGAAACTCAAATTAATGCATGCACAAAAAAAAACACGCAGGGACCAAATCGATATGCGCATGGTAAATGTCTGGTATTTATACGCATATCGAAAAAGAGAGGAAAAAAGAAATAAACTAGTAAACTAGAGCACCTAAATTCACTATTGGTATTGGAGAAATTCGAAATTCCCCCCATTTCCCCGAAGAATGTAAGGGACCTTTAAACCTAAGCCTACAAAAGACAAGGACGCTGGCAAATTGCATTTGACATGGCCGGCACTAAACGCTCTCGCTGGCCGCGCTCAAGTTTTTTAATTAAAATGCTGCAGCAGGGAAAATTAATTAAAATCCATACGCCTTGATTGCGCTTCTCGCTGCCCAAAGCCCAAAGCCTTGGCTTTGTGCCTCCTGCATTGGCTCCCGGCTGGCTGTTGTTAGTGTTAATCAAACCCCCCAAGTCCCATTCCCATTTCCAGTTTCCGTCCAAGTCCCAATCCCTGACCCCTGACCCCTGACCCACTGAGTCGCCAGCAAGGCGCTAATGAAGCCACAAAAAGCTTTCCACAAACGAATTGAAATTCGCCACGGTTGCTTGCTCAGCTGTTGCATTGGGCGAAAAAATCGCTATGGTAATAATTCAGGCCGGGTCAAGATCCATTTCGAATACTCTTTCGCCCGCACTGCACTGAATTCATAATTAATTGGATTTTAATTTAATTATGCTAGACCTTAAACTACTTAGTATTTAATGGGGAAACAAAACATGTTCCTTTGGCCAACTTTACTTTATTTAGTTTCTTGCAAACTTTTAATAAGCCCAACTATGGTAATTTTAAATTCATTTTCCATTAATTGAATTAATATTTTAGGAAAAACCATTTTAATTAAACTTTTTTTGTAAATTAAAAAACCACTTAACAAAAAACCCTTAACTCTTACAATTCTTAGTTATTTATTTTTGAGATACTGACACGGTTTTTAAAGCTATCTGCTTTATTATCTTTTAATAAGTTATAATAGTTATTATATTTAATAACTTCTAGCAGTTATTATCAATGTTCCTATCCCAACTTTAATCTTCCTTGGTCTTAATGTTAATTCGTACTCTGCCTCAAAACGGCGCAGAATTATCCGTCGTTCCATTTTATTTGCCCGATCCGGCGATCCCGCGGCATCGACTGTCATACCCGGGGGGTAATTTCGCACAGTGCACAAAGGCAATTTATATTTTCATTTTCATTCTCACATCGACTCCCGGCTGTCGTTGGCGCCCCATGCCATTGGCTTTTTATTGTGGCCGCGCGAAATTAGGAAAAAGAAAGTCGGGGAAAAGGACGAAGGCGCCGTTCGCGCGAACAAAGCGCCTGGATAATAGAACTAAGTGCAGGAGCTGCCGCTGCTGGCTGGGGGTGGAATAAAACTAAAGTAGTTAAAATTATGATTGCATTGGCTCCGGAGCAACGGCTCCTTCGCACCTCCCCGTCATTCCCCGATCCCCGATCCCCCATCCCCGTTGGCCGGGCGTTTAGCATATTGTGTGCGGGGCCCATGAATGCGAATGCGAGCGAAGTTTTGCCAAGGAAAAAGGAGTTTGGACCACGCTGTTAGTGCAGCCAGGTTAGCTTCACCTTTTATCGGGGAAAAATCAGGTTCCTTAATCGATATCTCGGTCTATTTCGAATCAAGAGATATTGCTTCTTACTTTCTTCTTTGGAGTCAGAGAATTATATTGTTCAATATCAATTTTACCAGTATTGCATGGTAAAATCGTTATTCAGCTAATTGAGGTGAGAGATATTATGCGCTCATAACTTTTAAATCAGTGGTTCGATTTAAAAATTTAGTTCTACATATCGGTAGGTATAACTAAACCAAACCTTATTGCATTTACACTTTTACAAAATCGCGACTTATTTTACCACCGCCAAAGGCAAAGTCAGTGCAACACTGATTCAGCGCGACTCTGGGGCTTGTTGTGGCACTAAATGGCATTATGCTGCTTAGCAATCATGCCACTTGATTGTTGTGGTGCTGCGACAAGGAGCTGAAAATTAGATGGCCAGCAGGAGGAGCCGTTGCAGCAGGAGCAGGTCCATTGCTTTCAGCCGTCGGGATGCAGCCGCCAGTTCAGCACTTAATACCTTCGTCCTGTTCGTCCTGTTGGTCCTGTTCGTCCTGCCACTTGGCTGCCAGTTTGGCCGGGAAAATTTGTCTGCTTCGCTGACCGGGCTGAAAATGATAATGAATATGGCCATGACAGTGGGAACGGAAATGGAAATGGCACTGAGAATGGGAATGAGTGTGAGAATGATGATGGAAGCCGCTGCTCTTGATGGTTGATGGCGTTAATAGACGCGCACTTTGATTTCATTCTCTGCCAGCGGTCATTTTAGCCAACTCTTCTAGGGGAAAGTTCAGGGATTTGCATACGAGTTCCCTAAACATTGAACCAACTAAATTATGTTAGCATGCTAAGTCCGTAAAATAAATAGAAATAGTTTTTGGAAGTTTCTTTTTGTTTACCGGTCAGTAAATAACGTTAATTATATTATCAGCAATGATTATTTGAATAAATTAAATACATTATTAATATTAGATAAAAAATTTAATTAATTTGCAAGCGCCTTTTCATGTTTTAATTTTATATTTGTTGCTAGTAAGTTGGACTAATCAAAATACTGGTTTCTGTGTCTCTCCCTAAACATGAGTTTGCGTCAAGAATTTTATGACTTTATCAAAGAACCAATTATAAAGGTCAATATCTATGCTTCTGGTAAAGCGAACTAGCGAATTTAAGCCAGGACTCTGCGGCAATGACACAAATATTCGAGAATCGCAGCAGCTGCATTCGACTTGGGCACTTGTCATTGCGATGTCGCTGATGCCATTACCGCTGAATGTTGAATGTTGAATGCCGACTGCTGATGTTGCAGCTGATGTTGCTGCCGTGCTGCACTTCCTTGGGGCTCATATGCACAACATAACTCACTGTCCAAGTGCGAGTGGGATTGGGGGGATTCTGGGGATGAGGTACTGGGACCTGGAGTCCAAATGACCAGCACCCCCGGAGGGGCGCAACACCACTCTCGGCGGCCGAGGGGCAAACAACAAACGGTTAGCGACGCGACGACGGCAACTGGAAAATGTTTGGACCACGAAATGGGGCAGCAAGCTGACCGAAACAGCACAACATCGGGCCAGGGTTATTTGTGGTCAGCGAAGTAAAACAAATGGGCGTCAAATGCTGCTGCCGTTGTTCCCAATGCACTCGGAGAAAACTTCACAAAAATGCATTTTAAATGATGGTTTAAGCCAAAAAAAGAACTTATAAATTAAAGTAAAAATTGACAATCATTTAGTGCCTTTTTAAGAATTTTTAAAAATAACTTTAGCTTAAATTTAAGGCCAAACAAATTATAAACATTTTATTCACTTAGCGATAAAACATTTTAATAAATTAATAGAGATACTTAACCTATCTTATAAACATATCTAAAATCCTTTAAAAATTGTGGGAAATGGAAAAAATATTGAGGCTTTAAATCCAATCTTGATCTGTAACTTCTTGGCTCTATTTTCTTTTCTAACTCATTTGAAGTCATTTTAGTGCCGGAATCGTTTTTAAGTGTGATGCTGCTGGAGCTCTTTGTTCCGGTTTTTGGCACTACCGGCCATTGTGCTCGACTATTTGAGACTGTGTGTGTGTGTTTGTGGGCCCGGTCAAGTAAAGTCAAACAATTGCTTTTGACAAACTCAAGAGCCGCAGATAAGCAAAGAATGAACAGTGAAATGCGGCAACAGCTGGAACTTTGCTTTGCCTCGCCAGCCAGACTCTAATTACGTAACAAAGCGCCAGTTGTTCTTGGCCCTTCGCACTTGACAGGGAACTGGAATAGAGCTCCTGGCCCTATGCCCCCATAATCGGCTTCCGCTGCATTATCGTTATTGCCCAGAATTCTGCATAAGTCGGGGCAATTCGCACGACATTGCCTGACAGCTAATCCCGGAGAACAAAGCAGCAGAGGCAGTAACAGTTACTGGCTAAAGTTTCTGGCCGAAAGACAGGCAGTTTGCAGTCTCCGGCAAAAGTTTGCCACGAGCATATTTCAATAACCGATATTGCCCCCAGAACCACATGGGGATTGGACCTGGGAAGGAAGGGATAGCGATGGGAAGGGTTCAAGTTTTTGATTACCTGTTGTATTAATATTATATTTACATAGGTTTGTTTATTTTATATTTTAAGTTTCAATTAAGTTCCCGTTAAGTTTCGGTTAAGTTTCTAATGATAAACTAAATTCCGGAATATTATTTAAGTACTAAGTACTTATTTAAGAATATACCTTTGTTTTAACAACTTAACTTTTTTGGTTACAAAGCCTTTTAAAATCCAATGACCAAGTATTCTATTGTGTGTCTTTGCCATCACTGATGCAGCCGCAAGAACATCGAGTGTTGTCATAACAATAACCGAAACTTGCTCCAAACACTTTGGCTTTGCGAAGTTTATCGGCAGCAAGTTGAGCAGCCAGTCCCCAGTCCCCAGTCACAAGTCCTTAACCACCTCCTTATCATCCAGAATTCTGTGCCAGGTGCCCCGTTGCCAATTTTCAGTGGAACCAATATTATTTAGCCAAATATTTGCCACCGCCCAAGGGCCATTGCTATTCTTCATCGGCCGTCCAATTGTTTTTTAATTGTAGTGCCATAAATTCACGCAGCTAAATTCAATTACGAATTACAATTGCTGGGCTGCCTGGCGATTTGGCATTCAAGATTACAATTATACGCACCCATGCACACATTTTGCC